AAAGAAAAAAAAAACAAAAAAACAATCAAAACCTGGAGTGGCTAGCTCTAGTCCTAAAAGGCTACTTCCCTGCCTTTTTTAATATATTTTTTTATCCTGACCCTTGAGAAATGCTACATGGCATATATTTAGAGGTTTCCTTGTTTCAGTCTTTTTGGTTTCATATTGCCCCTTTATGTATAATTTTTTTTCTAAACCATTAGTTTCTGAGTTGATGGAGTCAAACTGCATTCAAAGATCTAGATTGTTGAATTTTAGCATCGACCAAATCAGTGTTTGATAGAAAACTGCGGAAGCGTACAAAGTCGGTTACAGTTCTCAATACATTTCTTATATTAGTTTGCACAGAAGCTTTCATTAGTTTGTATCTTTATTGAATATACAGTTTTATTTCAATGATAAGGTTTTAACTTGACTTGCACTGAGATAAGGATCACCGTTTAATGGTTGCACCTACTGTACATGGTGGATAGCTGATCTTAAAAATCCTGAGATGCCTATTTAAATTTCGACTGATAAGGAAGTTGCCTATAACAATCCCAAATAAATGTTTTAATGTAACTTTGTTCAAAAAGGATGTGTAACAAAAACTTGTTTTAACTACACAAAACACTCAAATATAAAAGTTTTTGAGCATTGAAAGTGACTGTTGTGTTTGCCCTTTGCATAGTTAAAAAGATTGGTGGTTAAAGTCACCTTCACATCTAAGTATTGGAGAATCTCAGATCTCCCAGAATTGGGGTGACCCTAGTGTTTATGTTATATCTGGACTGTCCAGAGCCAAAGGTGGTCTTTTCAGTTCTGGTTCCCACTGAATATATCAAACGATTCTTTTGTTGGTCCCCCCACCCCATTTAAAAACAACACTGGCCCTCGTCTGGTCCCCCTGATTATTTGGGTCTAGAAACGCCACTGCCTTTAATGCTCCTGTAGCTATATAAGTCAGTCATGTTTTGGTAGGTCTTCAGTTCCTCTTACAGATAGGGTACATACTGGTGGGATCTTAACTGTAACTGGATACATGTTTAGATAGAAATAGAAAACCCCCTTATTGCCCCACTGAGGAAATTCTGGTGTTTACAGCAGCAAAAAGATGATAGAAAACATGGTCACACAAATGTGGACCTTGGAAAAATGTATAACAATGAAGAGTTAAAGAGAAAATAAAGTACTGTAAAGTGTTTTAACAATATAAATACTGTGCACCTGGAGAAAAATCTGATGTGCAAAATGACAGAAGCATTTTACTTCACTAAGGTAGAAACTGCAAAATCAGCATGAATGTAACAAGTTTGTTGGAAACGGTGGTTGTAGAGTGGTTACAGCTGCTGGGAGAAAGATCTGTGATAACGCTCCCTGGTGCATTTAGGGTGCAAGACTGTCACTGAAGGAGCTCTCTAGTTCTACAGGGGTGGCCATGGCCACCCTTATCCAATCTGTGGCCACCCCTACCATTTTTTCCCTCTAATACAGATGGTAGCAGCAGTAATACTCTCAAGTGGAATGTTCTAACTTTAATTTCCTATATGTAAACAATTACCTGACAACAAAAACACTGGTCAATTATGCACATCAATATACTAACGTTAAAGATAAATACAGAATTCATGGCCTTTTCAGAACTAGATTTTGTCTTATATGGGGTAGAGAGAAAATTATGTGCTTCTGCAAGTTATCTAGGAATTTTGACTGAAATCAGAGATAAATAACTACTTTTATATTGAGTAATCCATTTAATGTAGAGATTAGTACATGTAAATATTAATTTTATGCAGAATAATTATTAATAAAAGTAAGTAAGTAATGACAATGAATAAGATGTTCGTCCCAGAACTCAGAAATGAAAGAATTTTGTCCACTACACCTTTAATTTAGACAGCATGGATGTTTAAATATATGCGTCTATTTGTTAGGAAAGGCTGTAGGAAAATATAGTTTGTCTTTATTTAGAAAATATGGATGTTGTTATTGTTCATTTTCCTTTTGGAACTGTGTAGATTGACCCCTCAGTGTGCATTGGTTATTTCCTGGCCACCCTTATTAAACTTTTCTGGCTACAGCTCTGCAGTTCTGTAACACCTTCATGCATGGGATGGTAGATATTATCCAAAAGTGATGTTTATTTAGTTGGGATCCTTTGTTTCCCAACCCCTACACTGAGTCCAGAGGGCATCCAGTCACAGAGCTGGCCTTCCTGATCAGTTTATCCAGGACTTTCTCTCAGGTACAGATAAGCCACTGAGACAGACAGCTCCATAAAATGAAATAGCAGATAAGATAGCTAAAAAGGCTTTAGGAAAGCAGAATATAGATCAGATTCCATTTGGGAAAGGTAAATCAATAATTAAAAAGAAAGAAACAGAATTATAGCAAAAAATATGGGATGAAGATGAGAAAAGAAGGTTATATATATATATATGAAAGCAAATCGTTACCATGTTTCAAGTATTTAAAGAAGAAAATGCAAACAGGATTATTGATGACTAATTTCATTTATGAGTCAAACAATGCAGCCACATTCTTAAAAAGAAAAAGCATTTCTGAAAATGCTTTTTAATTTGAAATATGGTAATGATTTGCTTCCATATACAGGTGCTGGTCATAAAATTAGAATATCATGAAAAAGATTGATTTCAGTAATTCCATTTAAAAAGTGAAACTTGTATATTATATTCATACATTACATACAAACTCATATATTTCAGATGTTTATTTTGTTTAATTTTGATGATTACAAATGACAACAAATGAAAATCTCAAATTCATCATATCAGAAAATTAGAATATTGTGAAAAGGTTCAAAATTGATGGCCCCTGGTGCCACACTCTAATCAGCTAATTAACTCAAACCACCTGCAAAAGCCTTTAAATGGTCTTTCAGTCTAGTTCTATAGGCTACACAATCATGGGGAAGACTGCTGACTTGACAGTTGTCCAAAAGACGACCATCGACACCTTGCACAAGGAGGGCAAGACACAAAAGGTCATCGCTAAAGAGGCTGGCTGTTCACAGAGCTCAGTGTCCAAGCACATTAATAGAGAGGCGAAGGGAAGGAAAAGATGTGGTCGAAAAAAGTGTACAAGCAAGAGAGATAACCGCACCCTGGAGAGGATTGTGAAACAAAACCCATTTCAAAAATGTGGGGGAGATTCACAAAGAGTGGATTGCAGCTGGAGTGAGTGCTTCAAGAACCACCACACACAGACGTATGAAAGACATGGGTTTCTGCTGTCGCATTCCTTGTGTCAAGCCACTCTTGAACCACAGACAGCGTCAGAAGCGTCTTGCCTGGGCTAAAGAGAAACAGGACTGGACTGCTGGTGAGTGGTCCAAAGTCATGTTCTCTGATGAAAGTAAATTTTGCATTTCCTTTGGAAATCAAGGTCCCAGAGTCTGGAGGAAAAGAAGAGAGGCACTTCATCCACGTTGCTTGAAGTCCAGTGTAAAGTTTCCACAGTCAGTGATGGTTTGGGGTGCCATGTCATCTGCTGGTGTTGGTCCATTGTGTTTTCTGAGGTCCAGGGTCAACGCAGCCACATACCAGGAAGTTTTAGAGCACTTCATGCTTCCTGCAGCTGACCAACTTTTTGGAGATGCAGATTTCATTTTCCAACAGGACTTGGCACCTGCACACAGTGCCAAAGCTACCAGTACCTGGTTGAAGGACCATGGTATCCCTGTTCTTAATTGGCCAGCAAACTCTCCTGACCTTAACCCCATAGAAAATCTATGGGGTATTGTGAAGAAGAATACACCAGACCCAACAATTCAGAAGAGCTAAAAGCCACTATTAGAGCAACCTGGGCTATCATAACACCTGAGCAGTGCCACAGACTGATCGACTCCATGCCACGCCGCATTGCTGCAGTAATACAGGCCAAAGGAGGCCCAACTAAATACTGAGTGCTGTACATGCTCATACTTTTCATGTTCATACTTTTCAGTTGGCCAACATTTCTATAAATCCTTTGTTTTTATTGGTCTTCAGTAATATTCTAATTTTCTGATATGATGAATTTGAGATTTTCATTTGTTGTCATTTGTAATCATCAAAATTAAACAAAATAAACATCTGAAATATATGAGTTTGTATGTAATGTATGAATATAATATACAAGTTTCACTTTTTAAATGGAATTACTGAAATCAATCTACTTTTTCATGATATTCTAATTTTATGACCAGCACCTGTATATTGGGTTCAAAAATCTGTCATTGTAAAAATTATGGAGAAAGAAGCAGAAGGGAAGAGATCATTTATACTAGATTAAGAACTGGACATACCTACTTAAATGAGTTTTTGTTTGTACTAGGGAAGAGAAATGATATATGTGAGGGTTGTGAAATAAAATAAAATGTGGATCATGTTTTGATGGATTTCATGCAACTGAAATAGGATGAGGAAAGTAATTTTGTAAAAAGAGAATGGAGTATTAAAGGAATTTTAGGGACAGAAAGAGATAGGGAGGAAAAAATTGTTATTAATAAAGCACTGTTTTTATTTTTACATAACACGAAAATAAAAAATAGAATATGGTAAGTGGAACTATAGAGTTACACACTTGTGTACAGTAGGGGCAGTATGCACCTGTAAATTGTTTGCAATCCGCCAATCTAACAAAGAAGAACAAGACTTATTTCATATTTTTGGACTACTACAGTCTGGAAAGATACTGAAGTGTCAACGTGACAAAATTGGAAACATCGGAGTCTTTTTGCAATAAATTAAGTGTAATCTCCAAACCCTATTCCCAAATCATCAGTTTTTGGTACAGAGGCTGCTTTTCCCTTATGCAAATAAAATAAAAAAAATGATGCATTTAAGATATCTGTTACTTTCCTCTTTTTCTTAGCCTTGCTGCTCACACAGCATGTGCTTCTTTGCAGGGACATAGCATAACACAGCAGCCTGTGTATTTTTGAGGTACCGTGTTTGCCAGTAGGGGTGATCATCAGTTCTGCGTGTAGTAACTGCGTCGTCCAACCCCCCCTCTCACCGCCTCGCTTTTTTTTTTTTTTAACTTCTAGCAGAAGTGCGGATGTGAGTTGCATATTGATACGGAACAGGCCGTCGCTTTTCAGTTTTAGCAATGCGGGCTTAGGAAATGCTCATCGTGCGGAGCTATGAATCCCGAGGAGCAGACGGTAACGTGGTTGATTTCTTTAGGAGTGCTCAGCTCGCCCAAAAAGAACATAGCAGACCCAGAGGAGTTCTTGAAAACATCCCTCAAGGATGGGGTCGTCCTGTGCAAGCTCACGGAGCGACTCATACCGGGATTCACACCCAAGGTAAGCTGGTCATTTATCAAAGTAAACAAATGTCAAAACCGATCGACGGTGTGAAGAAGGGCGGGGTTTGATGAAAGTGATATCCGACAGGAACTTGTGTCTGCAGCCGCTGGCCTTGCGTTTTCTGTCCGAGCTCTAAGTTTTTTTGACAGCCGACCGGGTTTTTTTCTATATGTAAACCGAGCGCTGCATCGAATTAAAGCAATTATTTTACGAGTTTACAGACAACAGATTTCAATATTTGATTTCCTGTGGAAAAAAAATGTTCCGCATTCTTGATATGACTGAGTAGGTCAGTGGGAACAGCTACTAAAACCTTAAACTAAAACACTTTTTGTCAGGAGTGCATCAACAATTCAGCGGGCAAACAGTTCTACCAGGAGGATCCACCAGAGCAATGACTACTGATTGAGATTAAAGTTGGTTTGTATGTCAAATGGAGAGATAACAAAGTTGATCATGATAACAGTTGCAAATTTAGGTCGTCACTTCCTCTTGAGTGGCTGTACTTCCCGGTGTTGTGTCGAGATGTGTTTCCCTAATGCCTGCTTCACTGATACCTGGTTGGCCCCCTACCAATGGTGGACTAGGAAGTGTCTTTGCAGATAAAATGGTGCGAAAAATTCCTAAACACACCTGATACTAAATTGATTGACCAGACCGCATTTATATCCCAACACACGGCAGATTTCAACAGGATACCAGTAGCAAAGCAGACAGTGGTACTTTTAATTACTATGTTAATAACTGTGTATAGTTAATTAGACGGTTGGTGAAAAACACACTCATATAATATGTTTAAAACCGCAATAAAGATCTTAAAAGAACAATGTATTTGAGTATTTTTTTTCTCCAATACAACTTGGAATTATGGGTAATCCAGAGCGTAGATTAAAACCATAACCATTACCTACGATGTGTTAGCGACTGGGAGCGGGTAGGTGGGTGTTGTACTTCATATGGGCCCACCTAGGTAATGTTGCTTACGGGCCTATTTTTGTGTCATTACGCCATTGTGAATAAGGTAACTGAATTTCAGTCTCTTCACAGGCATCCTTAAAAAGTCTTAAAAGGCACTGAATTCTTCTATATAGAAATAAGGCCTTAATTGGTATTAAAATTTCTTAAATCAGTCTTTCGTAGGTCTTAAAATTGTTAACAAGTCATAAATAGGATTTTATTTTCATAGTTCATATCAAAAATTAAAATAAGTCGCAATAATTTTTTTGACATTTACCAAACAGCTTTGCTGTAACCGTTATTAGTTCCATCCTGACAGCAGAACCAATAAAAACAACGTTGCAAACAGACCTTGGGGTGATGCGGCAATAACTTTTTAACCTTTTTTTCAAGAACTTTCATTGTAAATTCAATGAAAGTTGGCTATCCAGCTAATAGTGTTGTGCATGGCTTAAAAAAGTACCAAGTAATGTATATGAGGAATGGAGTATTTTGAGAAAGAAGGCATTCAAGCTCGGCAGGATGGGAATCAAAGCTGTGGAGTCAGACCAGGGGCGGAGCTAGATGGGGGCCAAGAGTGGCCATGGCCACCCTTGGTTGAGAAATGGTTTGATAATTGATAATAATCAGTTGAAGCACCATAAAATAATTTTAAAAACAAATAAAACACTTTTTTTTTTTTGACAAAATTTTTCTGTTAATAAAAGTCAGAGATGGTTGTACCTCATAGAATGAGCCATGGGACATGTCCCCTGCACTTTTTCAAACATCCGTTTTGGTCCCCTGCATGTTTTACTGTCCAAAAACAATGTTACGCTAGAGTACAAAGACATTCGTCGAGCACTAGGACCAAGCAGAAAACCGCAGGTCAAATTGAAGCCTGCTTACCTGAGTTTAGAACGCCCACAAGCTCCTGATTGGCATTCATCTTTTCTTGTGTGATTGACTGTCACCACTGTCACTCCTGAGAAGCTCACTTTGCAAACATCTGATGCGTCACTGAATGGGTCTGTGATTGGATGGTCAAACACGCTGAGGTTAGTTATATTGAAAAATACTTAATCAAAAATTTCATCAATGGAAGGAACTGAATGCATGAGTGGTTCTAGACCGGGGCCAACGGTCTAATCTAGCTGTGGACCCTGTTATGGTCCATGTAAGGAAAACATACAGTACGAAAATTGAAAACATTTCTCATTGTAGGTTAGACAATTTTCAAACTGATTAAGATAACATTTAAAATAAAAGGAAAACAAGTTCATCTTCTTTTAGGTATGTGATATTTATATAATTTTTAAGAGCAAAAATACCAATTTCTTTGGCAAATAATCATAATTATGTTATTAAATTAGGATACATACATTTATTTTAAGAAAGTTTTACTTTTAAAGATCAGCGTTTGCATTGTAATGCTAAACCAATTTCTCAGGATGATATGCACTGGCAAAAAGAGACTACATTTGATTTACTTGTTCGGACCAATTCAATATTTTGCTATTTCCATTTACTCTAACAAGTATTTAGAAACTGCAATTAACCACAAGCTTCAGTTGTACCAAGATTGGATGATAGTATTAATCTGTTTGATCAGGAGTCTGCAACCTTTTTGGCTCAATTAACATACTTGCCCCATCAGTTTTTTTGTTCTGTGTTTTTTCTTTTCTTTTTTCTGTGTCCCCATTAAAAATCACTGAAAAACTAATGTTGATTTTGTGAATTAAGGCTCTGGATGCTGAATACACTAAGACTGAATCTCATCTCTAAATGTTGTCGGTACCTGCATACAAACACTTCTCTTTTATATGGTTAAATCAAGCTGTGTTACTGTCTATTGCAGTAGTTTTCAAGCTCAGTCTTCAAGACCAACTATACTGCAGGCGATGGTGGGTCCTGATGAATGAGCGTGATTTGACGCCACCTTAGCAGCAAATGTCTGTTGTTCCACATCATGTGACATCTGTATAATTGCAAGTCCCCATGGTAATTTATTTTAGGTCTTTGACTGTACTGTGGGTGGATGGATTTGAATCACAGTTGCATGAGGGCAACTGGTGTAAAAACCTGAATAGATGAAAGAATAAACTATGGAAAAGCAGTAATCTTTAATAGTGGTACTTGGGGCCCACTCTCCTGCACGTTTTATACGTACCGCTGGTCGCCTGAAACTCATCAGCCATCAAGGGCCAAAAAGTCAATTTATTTAGGATAGGAGTGTGGAGGCAAGGATGAGGTCTAAGTTTACATGGTGGTAAAAAATGCTAAAAACATTGATTTGAAGAGTAAATTTTCTCTGTCTAAATGTCTTATTGTATGTCTAATTTATTATATTTATATTATAACTGGACTTGTGCTGAAAGTTTCAAACAACCTGAAATAGTCACAGATTTGACTTTAGAAGTTTTTGATACACTTATGTTAACGTTGAATCTTCAGCCAATTAGCTCTATTGGATTGAGCATACTTTGTACGACTGCACCTGAATGCACCGCGAGTGCTGTCAAATAGCTGTGGACTCGACAGAACGCAACCGGAAGTCGTAGCTTCTGTTTTTACGAACCCAATTTGGTTTAGTTTCATATATTGACTCCTGCAGTCACACCCGTATTTCAAACATAAACGTTTGGCTTCGCGAACAGTCATGGCTTTTCTGCCCCTGCGTAGTTTTTGCTTGTTGGTTTTTGTAGACCTTTATTTTGAAAGTCATCAAAATGAGCCGGATGTTTTGCGTAAATGTGGCTTTTGCGTTTCATTTGCTTCACGATAAGTCGGAGTGGATTCATATGTTTGATTTATGAAGTGGCAACGCTTGGATAGCTTTTAAAATCTGATTTTGAGTGACACTAAAGCTGAAGGTCGGGGCTTGAAGAGTTAATGTGTGTCATATTCTAGCCTTTCTCACTCAGCCGAGCTGTGAGTTTATATATGTATTTTTTGTGTTCAGTATTCCCAGGATCCGAGAACTGAAGCTGACTGCCTCGGCAACATAAAGGAGTTTTTAAGAGGATGCTCGTCGTTGAAAGTGGAGGTCAGTTATTTAAGTTTTTCAACTTTTTTCGTTGTTGCTTTTTATAGTCTCATCTATCTATCTATCTATCTATCTATCTATCTATCTATCTATCTATCTATCTATCTATCTATCTATCTATCTATCTATCTATCTATCTATCTATCTATCTATCTATCTATCTATCTAACTTTTTTAAACTCCCTTATAAGATGTTGCTTTCTTTTTAATTTTTATGTAAATGAAACTCCTTTACCTGCATGTCAGGCATCTATTCTAGGTATTGGGTTATGGACTTTATTCTACTATGAGATTCCCATGGTATAAAATTGAGTAAAATAGTACAGTATTATTGAATGTGCGATTCTATTACATGATCTTATAGTCTGTATTATTAGAGAGCAACATGTCATTCATCCTGCTAACAGACCTTTCCAGTAAAAATACATTGGTGTGATTTTACACACAAGCTGAGGCTGACATTTTGAACATAACCAATAAAATGAGCTGCTTTTCATGCTTATTGGGCAGAGCATAATACACTTTTATTGCAAATGGTTATAGATGACATGGTAAAGATATCCTTATATACCAAATAAAAAGGTATCATAGTATAGTAGAGTATGACAAAAAACTGGAATAAATATCCACTAGATTTAATGATAGTTTTGTAATAAACATTCTTACTACAAAGAGTAGGACATCTTTCTGGTTAATTTGCTCATTGCAGCAGTGTAATGGTGGCAGAATCATAAATACTGTCTGCTGGCTATTTAGTCAGATTTAAGCCCAGCCAATAGTCTGCTGATAAACAGTGAGCTGTAGATTAAAAAAAGGCGATTCTAACATAAAAAATCAGTTTGATATGGGCCAAAAAAATGAGTATCTAAATGTATATCGGCCTGCATCTAAAATCTCAGATATAAGCAAGCCGAAGTAACACTCTGCTTCTGTTTAAAATTAATGTAACCCTTTGGTTAATAAACAGGCCAGTTTTTCTCATTCTTATTGTAGTTGTTCTGTTTAAGTACTGTCACTTGATCAAGACTTTTCAATGTTCCACACTACAAATGGGTCATTTGTATATGTATGACTGATGCTGATATTTTATCTGATAAATATTCAAAGTTTTGATATCTGTATCTGATATGAAAGAGTTGCATCAGTTTTAAATACACCACTATTTAAAACAGAAGCCACTACTGACTTCTCCCTTAGTTTGTGCAAAATGGTGATCGACTGCTTTTGTAAAAAATTATAATTTTTTTAAAGCAAATAAAAAATGTTTTTCTAGAGGTGAAAATCATAGAAGGCTTCCTTTTGTCAGCAGTTTCGGTCTAGCACTGTTCAGCAGCAAGTGGGAGAGTTTTTTTTTTTTTTTTATTCTGTGTTCTATACAGGCTGGAAAACGACTAATTCTGGTGTACCATGAATGTAATGAACAAATATATTTGTTTAAAAAACAACAACAAAATGACTAAAACTTTAGCAAACCTTGACAACAGCCACTAACTCATACTAAAACATGAACACTCCATGTCAGTATTAGCTTTCAAAGGAGTTGCTTTCTACATGGGGTAGCCAGCCTGCCGTAAGCTTCCTAACAGACTGAGCATTTACAGCTGACCAACATGAAAACGATGTGATCTAAGGTGAATGCTGATGCTTTAGTTTTCATGATCACGATCATCTAACATTATTTTCTCTTTTAACAACTCTTAATGTTTCCAAACAGCTGAATTTGTCTGCTGAAAAGTATAGAGCTTCTTGTCAAGCCTGCTGACAGGCAGACAATGCAACAAGTGAGGAATGCAAAAGGTGTTTGTTTGCGAATAAGTGCAGTTTTGAATCTTAACTTTATTACACTGTTATTAGATTTGTTCTTGTAAGTGTTCCTCGCTTCCAGCCGGTTTTACAACCTAACAGGACGGCGGACATTAATGCGTCTCCCAGGCTTTTATAAATAATCTGTTGTGGTTCTAAAGCACATCACTCGCTCTCTTTAAACAGCAGTTTGTGTCAGCCTGCCCAGCTCACTTTAATGGCTCAGTAGTTTTGCCCAGCTGGCTTGTTATGTCTGGGAGGTCCTCTTTGCTTTGTATCCACCTAGTGTGGTGTAGCCCATAATTAGATGTTCTGCAACCAGCCAGTAGGTCACTGGCAGGAGGTTTCGGAGAGGCACTGTCTACATGGTTACAATAAACCCTGCCCTTCCCTCAATGATTAAAGTTGGAGTGTTTTCTTTTTTTGCCTTTCGCTCTAATAAATAAATAGTGCCTGTCCTGTGACTGCATGAAGCAAGAAGGGTAACTGCTTTCACTTCTGCTTGCAGATGACAAAGAGGAAGCAGTAATTACTGCTCATTCCTAGCATTTTTATTTATTACTATCTTGTGAAATGTAGATGTGTTTGCTCCTCATTTTGCATGGTGCAACTACCACTTGGAGCAACATGTATTCATAGCATGACTTAATTAAGGTCAACACCTTTTAACCCATTTAGGCCGGGAAAGCATTACCGCATTTCTACCATTCAAGCCGGGGGCGCTGTTGCGTAATTCTACCATTGACGCCGGGAGAGCATATAAGTCAAGCAAGAAGAAAGAAGTTTTTTTCAAGCAAACATGGAGGAGTTTGACAGAGAAGAGATGTCGGAAGGCAGTGATTTTGAGGAGTGTGTCGGCTTTGATGACGGTATAGATGAAAATGATGACTTTGAACGCGCTGAACCAATCGAACTACCACCGCAATGCACGGAGTGTTTTCAACCGCACACCTGGAGTGAAAGTTGATTTGCCTGCAGACACCACACCGCTGCAGGCATTTGAGCATATTTTTAATGAAGAACTTTGGATGCATCTTGTTACCGAGACGAATAGGTACAGTGACCAAACAAACCAAACTCCAACAAGAGCAAAGATGGCAAAGTGGTCACCCGTGACTGTGACGGAGATGAAGACATTTATTGGGCTGTGTATGGGCATGGGACTTCTTGTGTTGCCAGTAGGCTACGAAGAGATTATTGGCGACAGAGTAAACCTCTCTTCAGGACGCAGTTCCCCCAAAATATGTCCCGGGACAGATTTGTGGCCATCTGGAGGTAAGTTGTATGCAATTTATAACACAGACATATGCATTATTATGCATAATAATACTGTTAATAAGTAATCATCAGATAGTTATTTATGTAATGTTTGTTCTTTATTTTAAAAACGTTTTATATTGCACATTCTCAATGAAGACATGATCACATATGGAAAAAATAAAGGTTGAATTTTTAATTTTTTTATTACTGCTTTTCACTTTTTTTTTTTGGAAGAATTTCAAAGATAAAATATATTTTGAGTTCTATCTGCTACAGAAGCTGAGATATCAATAATTTACTAGGCGTTGACACAGTTGCTGAATTTACAGAAAAACTTCAGGTTTTAGGGGTATTTTTTAAAATCGGCCATAGGTTTTTAAGGTGTTTTTTCCAGGCGTTTTAGGCCTAAATGGGTTAAAACAAGTGTACCTCAGCATTAAAACTTAGTGTTAGCGAGTTTTCTCTAAATTATGTTAGCATTTTGCCCCCTTTTCAAAAGCAATGATCATAATTGAAGCACACATTCTAAATAGGAGCTTTTTTTTATTTTATTCAAAGAAATGATATTGGAGTTTAAAAGACACTCATGATTAATTCCTTAACAAATCATATAAAAACAAAAAAACAAACACAAATGTTGAAGTACTCGCACTCTTTATTTAAGATGCATTATTTAAAATTGGAAACTTTATCTCCTGGAAGAAAGGTGATAGGTGTCTGAGTTGGGCCAACCTGCAGAGTGTGTGCAGGGATGTGGAGGCAGATTGCAAATGAGTGTCGTCAGGTTTGTTGTATTGCAAAAATAAAATAAATAAAAAGAGATATATTTACCACATATGTTTTAATCTTTGTTTAAAGCAAACCGCTTTATGTATGCTAGATTCTGTGTGGGTCTCTTTCTGCTAGTGCTGTTAGTGTGAACCATGAAACTCGCTCATGAGTTTTTCTTCTTACAGACAGGTCATTTTGGACTATTCTTAAGCTGCGTTTTTGCCAGCAGAAAACTCATGTGGGTAGTTTTCCAGGCCATTATTTAACACTATAGTTCCACTGCATCTACTTATGGTACTGCATCTACTTATGGTAGAAACAGGTTATTCGGGTGGAATTTTACTCTTAGAATAGTAGCCCTGGCAAGGGAGTAGATATGCTTTTGGAGAGAATCCTCTTAGTAATTGTTTTTTTTGTTGAACAACCTTTTTTTTTCCTGTTACCTGCAAACGACTTTAATTAGCCACTTTCTCCCCTTGGGAATCCGATTTTTATTAAGTTTGAGTTAAGTCATGAAAGCAAATACAATGGCACCCATGGACTGAATTTTGACAAAAAAAAGTCCAAGGTTTAGTGCATCTGGGCTCCGTTTTAGAAGCTGATCTAAGTTAGTCTGAGTAGAGAGCAGTCAGACTGAGTCAACTCATCCTGCTTCGTTATATTTAGGATTTTCAGAAGAAAGTAAACTGAATGATTTCAGCTCAGAGTGAGGGCAAGCAAAATAAGAAGACCTCATCAATGGAACCTAGAAAACGTGATCCACCATGGCAACGAGAGGAAATGAGAAGCCTTGAAGTGAACCTTACTCTTAAGTACAACTTAAAATATTAATGGCCGCTTATGGAGATGATCAAAATGTATGTGACAGAAAATGCAATACGCTTCCTGCTAAATAACAGAATTTATTGTAGTAGAGACCAGTCAGTGGGTGACTGGGATTTGATAGAGAATTTAAGTTTCTTTCTAATGCTACACTTACTTAACATAAGAAATAATGTGTGTGCATGAAATATATGTCTAGGTATATCTCAGCGGGCACATAAGAAATATATCAGTAAATCAAGATAAGGTATTAAAATCTAGTAAGATTAGATAAGGTCCAGTTATCAGATCTTTTTCTGTTTAAATTTACCAGCTGAATTTTGCAGCTTTCCTTGGCTTTATTACAAATGCATTTAATAATTTGTAACGTTAAACCTTGGTGTATGACATAATATTAAGAAGAGCAGATATGCAGCAGAAAAGGAATTTTCTCTGTTCCATAAGCCCCCTGTGAAATGGCTGTACAAGATGTATTTACAACAAAAATGAAAATTTATTGAAGCAAAAAGAAACGCCTGAAAAGCATAAAAATTAATATGCTATGATTAGCGAAGGAGCCCGGAAACCAGAAAATATATGAACATATTTTGATAGACATCTAAATGTTTGGCTTTGATGATAATCTAATCTTTTATTTGTCTGGAGGGTTTGTGATAAGAGAATGCCACACAACTGTGTGTGAGTGGAAAGGCATACCTTTAAATGCTTGTAAAGTTGACCTGTCTGCAAAGCTATGGTGTAAAATATAATCTAACAAACCTGAGATTAAAAAAAAAAAAAGATTTTCTAGCTACTTTATTCTCTGTCTGGGTTTCAGCCTCCTTGTCCTGCTCAGCAGCTAAATACTCTTTCCTCTCTACCAATGGAGATTGCTGATAATGACCAAAAATATTCATAAATAATAATTGGTCTCTAATTTGATCATCTAACCTGTACAATACTGGTAAGAGTATTAAATTGCAGTGTAAAACAAGAAACTTTTTGTTTATTAATTTGTCAATTTTACTGAGAGAAATTATTGAGTTGATGCTCATTGGTCTTTGAATCAGGTAGTAAAAAATGATCTAATTACACGAGGCATAACGAACATTTGCTCTCTAACATCAACAGGCCACTTCAGCCATTTCTGATGTTTTTTCTTCTGTCAGTTCTCAGCAGAAATGTCAGAAATAAAATACTAATTTCAGCAAATCCTGCTACTGACCAGACTTTATTCCGGGTTCTGACTTATCCTGCTTTCTGAAACAGGGCCCTGGAGTTCAATTTGAAATATGCCTCCTTCACATTGCAAACAGTAAAAGCTTCAGAAATAGCCTAAATAAATAAATACCCATCATTCTTATCTCACTAACATATTACTGTAAAGCCTGTAATGTCTGCTGTGTTCCATTAACTGTGTGAAAACATAAAAAGGAGAGAAATATCATATTTTGTTTCCAGTAGTAATTAGCATCATAACAGCTGGTCTATTCTGATAGTTCTGTTACTTGCATCTAAAAAGACATTACACACAGGTGTGGCATCATACCCAGATGTGACCTCTGACATTAGAGACAAATCTGACGCAGCATGAATTTTTCAATAAATGTAACATTTTAAGTTTTTACATTTGAGTGTCTTCAGCTCCTATGTTTAGAGACAGGAATGTGTTTTATGGGCCGACAATATGGACTCAAAACTCTATCTCAATATTTTTGAATGGCTAAAGGGCGATAGATATTTACCCTGATATGTTTTTTTTTTCCATTACGTACTTTTTAAAAGGAACACTTGAATCAAAGCTTTGTCCCAAATGTCACACAAGAATATTTGGTTAAAAAACACATGTTGAAAAACATAAAAAAATTGCTGAAAATAACCTACCAACATAGGTAAAAGTATAATTATAATACAATATAGACTGTTTTGATATAAAAGATATAATCTTATCTTATTTCTCTATTGAAAAAAGAGATATAAGATAGATTGCTCAGCACTATTTGTATCATAGATTAATTTTTAGGTTTTAAAGAAATTAGTCGTGTAATTCATTCGGGTTTAGCTTTTCCGCCGAGTTTGAACTTTGATTTATTTGAGTTTGGACTTTCAGATCTGCAACATTTAAACCGTTTGAACTTTTTTTTTTAGATTTGAGCAAAACCAAGGGAGGGACTACTCCTTTCATAAGACCATAGACGTTTATGAGTGCTTATGAATTTAAGGGCTGTAGACCCAGTGGTGGCATAAGGGAGAGTTTTGGGGGTTTTTTTGCAAACAAAAATTTAGAGGTGGCCAATATAGCAGTTGCATGCAATGTTATTGGAATAACAATGCGTGTATCGTTGTATTTCTATTTGTATTCTATTTGAGTTGCTTTGCATGTTATGGGCAGACTTGAGCATCCCTCAAAGCTAACACTACGCCTCAATGCCATTCTCATAAATTAGCTGCTGGGTCTCATAGACAATAGAGCAACAAGAGTCTCACTAATCTTACCTCAATCAAACCAGATTTCACTTATGAAGGTGTCCGCATTCTCATAGTGGTGTAATTTTTTTCATTGTTGTTTTAAGAAAATGGAAAAAAAAAACTGTTAAAGTATATAAACTGTTTAGGAGTTTCCACTGGAAGATTAGTGAAACAAAATGCTTTTAACATTTAACCAGTGGAGGATGTTTTTTTTCTTTGCACTTTAAAACTCCCCCCATAGTCCACGGCAGCTCCAGATTTACCTCACTCCGTCCTTTTTATAGGAAAACTGTATTATGGTTATCTTATTTACCTGTGGTTCCTGCAGTAGAAATGTAAATAATGGAGAAAATTAGTAGCTGCAGCAAAAGTTAAAACATTATGATCCCTATAAAGGACCTCAGCTCCCTTCTTCAGTGCAACTGAGCCTTTTTGCTTTGTTGGAATAGTTGTGATTGGGATATGTAGAAATTTGGAGAATGTAGGTTCAGGGTAGCAACACAAAACCTTGTTTTGTGGCCAGGATTCATGTTTGTATTAGGAGATGGTTTTTAGTTGCTTTTTTTTTGTTGACTAACTGTTTTCTTTCCTCTTGCTTTTCCATCCAGGGATTTGAACCTGAGTGGTTATACACTGGAGAGAATTTTGGCAAAGTCCTGAATACGTTGCTGGGATTCAACTTTGCCACACAAGGTAAATGGTTTTCAAACATTTTTTTATTCTTATTTTATTCAGAAAGTCCTACATTTGCTGGGTTTATTGACAATGAATAACACCTATTACTGAGATCTAGCAACATGTGTTTGGTTTTAAATTAATAATGGACTCTTTGATTAAAGTCATGTAGTCGACTTCAGTTATGAAAAGCCTGTCACTCCGAGATTCATAACGTTACATTGATTGTTTATGTAGCATTTTTTGCTTTTATTGATGGGTAGTTAGTAGAAGACTATTTTCAGCAAGCTGACAGTAAGTGTGCAGCTACAGGTGTGATAGAGGCAGCATTTGTGCTCATTAGAATTCTTATGCTATGTTCACACCTAACGGGATTGTAAAAGCAGAAGTAGCCATTTTAAATGCAGTCATTGGTTGACTCACATCAAGGCGCATCAAAAGGTCCTGCAACATTTCTAGAGAAGCAGGAGCAGCGAATCTTGATGCATCTGAGCAGATGAAGCAACGCCTCATGAGCTTCTGAGGTGCCGGACGCGCTTCACTAGCAGCAGCCGCTGGAGTTGGAAAAATTTTACTTTTCCTGCTTGACGCGTCATATCAACCAATCAGAGAAGCTGATCTGGGAGCTGGCAGGGAGACAGACACTGCAATGCTGAGGCAGATGGTATGATCACTCATCTGAAACAGTTTATTAAAGCCTAAATTTACTTAAAATCTCGAAACCTGCTGGCAGAATAAGTTTGCTATTTCTTATTCTGATGCCTGCAGTTTGTACCACATACCTTAAAAAAGCTAACACCTTCTTCCAAAAAAATTCCCCAAAAAAACGTTGGGGTCTATGCCGCTCCAACGACAAAATAATACTTTAAGGCATGATTGTAATCTTGATGAACTGACTGCACAGACTATGTTTTGAGGAGCGCTTTCTCACTTAAAAACATATTAAAACTACTTTTTACCAGCTTATCACAGCAAATATAGCAAAGCCACTCTCTTCCATTGAACACAGGACAAGCAGAAGCATCAGACGCATCTGGACACACTTTACTGGACAGGCTTTAGGAGTATCAAAGAGGCTCCTGAGGCGCGTTTGACTTTAATGTGGACAAGCATCAAAAATGAGGCAGCAGAAGCCTTTTTGCTGCTAAAATCGCGTCCGGTCTGAACCTAGCATTAAACCGTGCAAACCGTATTTTTGTAAATGTCAGAGAACTTCCTTTTTTTGGCTTATTTCTTAGAATTTAGTATATAATTACTGTTTTATATTGAGTGACACCAGTAATCAATCTGTGACATGGCTCAATTTAAAAAGTAGTGAATAAATTGGAGTTGGAATTCTGAATCATCAGGATGATAATGATGTTTGGGGATGGCCAGATATAAGTAAATCAGTTGTTCGTATTCAAGGTGATTCAGCTACATGTTTCCTGGATTTACAGACAGGCAGCTTGCATAGCAGTGAGCGCTTGTGTCATGCTGTGTGCAACATTTATTTATGCCTTATTGCACCTCAGACAGCGTCCTGCTTTTGTATGTGTTTAAAACTGTAATAAACATGTTGCTAAATCTATATGGTGTTGGAATGCGAAACCTTAACCAGTTTAAGAGAAGCTGCTTCCTGGAAGAGTCCATGCTTAGTGTCTTAGAGAAACCAACTTCCATCTTCTGTGTTGAATAAAATTAGTCCTTTAAAGGGATTAATTCACACTTTAGAGCGATATTTGCACTGCAGCTAATCAGTTTTGAGAGTCGTGTAATACCATCAATGGCACAAAGCAGATGCTTTCATCTAAAGAAATGGTACCGGTCCACTGCCTTACGTCTGAGCTGTGAATCCTATTTAGAATAAAGTGGATCATATTTAGCGGCTATGGAAAGGTTCGGTATTCGTCAAGGAAATTTTGTTTAAAAGAGGAAGGTGTAATGAACACAATCGTCATTTAGGCTAAAGTAGCCCTTTTACCCCTGAGTTAAAGTTGTTCTGTGTTGTTTTATAGGATTCATGTTTCTTTGTTGCCGCTCAGAATATAAAAGATTTGTGTCAACCATTCAGAGTAACAGGAATCAGAGCTGAATTTTAATCATTTTTTCGAGTGCAATGCTAAGGACTACATATGCAATATTATAAAAGCAAATAACCCAATAAACTTGGAGGACAAGGGGTCGGACACCAGGTGTCCTCATTTATTTATGTAAGCATGTTAGTGAGTTATGAATGAATGTTTGTTACATCTGTTAAAAAAGTAATGCATTTTAAAATTGGTGCACAGGCAAAACATGTTGAACAAGCGTTGACAATGTGAAGTTTTTATAGTTAGTTTTCACCCTTGTCATACAGTGCAAATAGGTCTTCTTAGGATTTTCCAATCTTTCTAGGGGATTGGTGTTGAGATGCATTAACCAGGCGTTTCCCATCTATATCCATTCCTATCAGATAAACGGTTTTATTCTAAGTCTGATATGTTAATTTAAAATTTTAACTTATTCTAATAGATGTTTTTTTAAACTAATCTATGCATTACAGAGATGTTTCTGCTGTGAAATCTTTTGAATCCAATGATATTTATAACAATATGGCTTTCGATACATCAGAGCCTTTCTCTAAACCTTTATATCAACAGAGCTGAAACAAGTGCGTTCTTAGACCAAAATTAAAGATTATTCACTATATGAGCCTCTGATCAACAACTGGAGGCGATCCAGGGAGGATTGTCTGATTCTAAACTATGACTATGGTTGTTCAAAATTTAAACTTTGTAATCTAACATGAAATCTGTCCTCCTGAATGCTCTCATATGTACAGATGCACACACAGAAGGGCTTTTTACGCCTGGGCTTGTTGCATATGGGATTTATGAGTACCACCTGTCACCGCCTTAAAAGCATCTGTGTTTAATCATAATTCATATGAAAGCAATGTACGCTGGCTGGTGTATGGAAAGCAGACGCTCTCCGTTTTTCAATCTAAACTTCAGAGTTGCAAGGATTTCAAATGCTAAAAAAAAAAACAAGATCACACAAAATGTGGCTGTTTTACTGCCAATAACAGAGCACATACTAAAAACATGTCAGATTTAGATCCTCCCTGCTTGAATTTTGAGGGTTCAAATGTTAAATGTCTAATTCCTGCCCGATCCATTGTGATTTTAACAATATTCGTTATTAGCAACAAAAGTGACGATTACCAATAATCCAATGACAAACCTGGCTAGCTTGAAGTTGGCACTAAATGAGTGTCGTTCTGTGAGTGCTTCTGCCTGTTGGCCTGTAGCAGATTGGCTTTGCTGTCCTGCTGTTTCCTTCTGCATGAAGGTTACAGCTCTTCTGAGAGAACTGCACTCATACTGCAGGGCAGCTTTCCTCCACTCACTCTAAATCAAAGGCTCCTCTGCAGCAGTGGCTGCTTGATGACACGGTGCAGGAGCTGACATAAATCTGATTTAAATGTTGCTACATGGCTCTACGTACAGTAAAATTCATATCAGAGGTTGGGAGCTTTGGTTAAATTATGTTCCAATAAAGCAAGGAGGATGCTGTGGGATGATCTCTGATATTCGTTTGCATTGTTCATCTGAGGGCTGCAAGCTGCTTGTTTATTTTAGGATTGCATTGTCAGGTTGGGTTAAATCTAATTATCCTATGAGAAATCAGAAGTTTGCTTTGTGCCCCAGAGCAGTGCAGAGCAGCAGAGCGTATTGACATGAATTATCTTCAGGTTGTCTGCCTTTACTGTGATTATGCACTTGAATGACATGTTTGTGAACTTTTCCAAGGTGAGAGCAGAGAAATTCAAATTTAGATCTAAACTTAATCTGAAGCTTCCTGTGTTTTTTCATGTTTGTTTATAGATTGTGCTGCTGAGCGATGTCCTAAGCCTGGATCTTCCTCCCCCAATCAGACGTCTTCACATGCGCTGTCCTCCCTCAAATCCAAAGGGTCTCTGTGTAGACAATCTAAATCAGTGGTATGATCGCTCTGTATTTTCTGCCTTTTTAAAGTTTTTTACTCTGTGTATTGTTTTATTAAAGTTGGCTTTTTTTAAAGATGTTTTTTTTCCAGCATAAACTGAAATTGCCAAACTTTCTATTAAGAATTAAATTCAAAAAGATCCAGCGTCTTGGTGGAAGGAGTCATTTAGTAAAAAATCTTGAGAAGCTGAACATATCAGACCTCAGATGATATCAACCTTTTCAGGTTATAGATTAATTGGATAGTAATAAAATGCCACATAATAACCTTCAGCTTTATTTACTGAAAAGTAAAAAAAATAGCAAAACCATTACCAAAAAGAACATTATTTCATGTTTTTTTAATTCCATTTCAAAAGGAAACACCGATTTGTTAAAAAAGGAGAAATAATTATTCTTAATATCTTTGCAGAAAAGCTCTTTAGTTCTTGACACTCAATAAATAATATATTTCCAAGTTGTTGTGAAAACCAGCTAACAACGTATTTTACTTTTTCAATCTAGTAGAATAAACAGGATAGAACAAAAAATTGAATTGAATTACCTTCCTTTGAGACAGATGGTGCTTAGCACTGTTCTACATGTAATAAATTAAATATAATCTTTGGATTTACTGTAAGGCCTACTCACACAGCGTGTCTCAGTTCAAAGTAGACAGCTTTAAATATGACTAGCATTAAAATTGGTGTGGAGTGTTTAGACTCCTTGTATCGTCTCGACATGCAAAGCATGTGGCAGGGAGATGTCAACCACACAGTTAGCAGACGGTGAGCTAAAGAGCTTATGTTGACATTGTTGTTCAGGGTAATGTGATGTGAGCGAAGAAAAGTAGACTAGCGTGAATAAAACTGACTATTTTAATCCCATAAAATCCCAGTGGATAATAGATCTTTTTAGCTAGTTTTATTTATGTATTCATTGCAAATATAAAAGCTTTGTTTAAGTTGGGATGCAGACGGCATCCCAACAAAACAAAAAAAACAAGGTTCACATAGAAAACACTGTTAGACCTATTTATTCATTATGCATCAGAGTTTACTGAACACTGTTCTTTAAAATACTTCAGATGGCTGGATAATTGTTTTTTCTGAAGTTATAAACATCTAGAATTAACCTGCAGATAATGTTATATGATTTCTTTTCAACAAATTTAGAGACACCCAGATACCAATTGCATAAATGCAAATACCTATATGTGAAATGCATTAACACTAGGAAATCCCTCTAGTGTTTTAACTTATAAACACTCGGATGAACCGGTATGCTCATTTACTTGCATAAATGGAGTCAATCGCGTAATTCTTTCTTTCCTTTTTTTGTTCAAAGCTACTCAAATGATTAAATAACGTGCTGCTCTTTCTTTGGGTTTGTTATAGCCCTCTTTTCTTTTTTTACCTGTCAAATTGATCCCAACCAGAAGAATGTTGACCTTTGTATTGTAGATTAATAAAATGTAATATATTCAAAATGCCGTACTAATTCAGTTGGTCTAAAAATAATCTTAGAGAATTTGTCCAGGATTAGTGTGATTTACATCAGTCCAAATGCATTCAGATTGTAGAGAATTGATGTTACTCTAGATGGGAATTCCTTTTAACTTTTTTAATTTTGTCTGTTTTTCTTAGTATGAGCACAATTTTCATGCTTTGATTGAGCATAATCACTAGACGAGTCAATAGTTTTTAAGTAAGGGGTCTTTCCCTCTCTCTATACCAGTCAAAGGGTCGCCAACATAATGTTTCCTCTTGAGCATATCCAGAAGTATAGAATGAGCTCTAAGTAATCTAAACATTGTTGTAAGCAGGCCTTTTTTACTGATTCTTTTATGTAATTCAGAGATACTCCACACAATTAAATTCCAGCCTGTCTCTTAGAGTAATGAGTCCACATAAATTACACAACGCTACTTTCTTACAGGGACAGTCTCTGTTGTAATGGATCAGTTTTGCATAGCATACTGCCTAGATATGGAAACATGGGCATATGTGTATTTATCCACGCAGATATGACTGAATAAATACTCAAACTATGGTGTCACTTTTTTTCTTTTATCTTTTGCTGTTGACCGTAACTGACCCTGGTCTTTGCACAGGAAATGTCTGAAAATGGTGGCGGCGGGCAGGTGATGGTGAAAGCCCGCTTCAACTTCAAGCAAAACAATGAGGATGAGCTATCCTTCAGTAAAGGTGAAGTGATCCTTGTCACGCGACAGGAGGAGGGAGGATGGTGGGAAGGGACGCTCAACGGCAAGACGGGCTGGTTCCCCAGCAACTACGTCCGAGAGATCAAACCCTGTGGTGAGTCGGGTTGCTCCTCCCTCTCCATAAAGCCTTTGTACTCTTGTAGCATTGGTGTTCATTTTTCTTCATTTTCTGTACTTAATTTCACCTTAATCTTAAAACGTCAGTAAATTTATAGAGCTTTTTTTTTTTTGCTCATAACTAATATTCTTTCACTAAAGATTGATTTAATCAGAGAATGTTAGATCAAAAATATTGACATATAAATGTTGTTTGGAGTGTAAAGGTGTTTTCGTTAATATCTCCTTATTTCTCTTCAGAAAAGCCTTTATCTCCTAAAGGAATTCCTCTGACCAAGAACTACTACAGTGTGGTGAGTCTTCTGTCAAATGTAATAAAAAAAATGCACAGTTGGGGGGTAAAATGAATTAGCACACATATGAACACCACAGTGGGATCAAAACCATTGCTCTAGGTCTTCAGATGGTAGATTGCAACAGTTTATGAAACTGTTTAGGAATTTAAAGCGGTCTCAAATACCTTGAAATCATCTGTCTCACTGTGCAAAAATATTTTAAAAAGTGTAGGGCGAGCCTAAAAATTTGAACAAGTACACTTTACATGTCCCTCAATATGCTGGGCTAAAGCCCCTGCTTGTCAGCTGCCTCTTCCCACAGTGGAGCCTGGCAGGAGTGTGCAGGCAGATAAGCATGATGACTAGATTAACAGCTATGGTACTTTTACTTGTTGGGGAAAAAACAGAGATGATATGCTCTACATTGAAGCAAAGCTGCAATCTTAAGCTTAAATGATGGTATGCAGAGGAGCGGCGTGAGCAGTGCATACACAAGAGTGATGTAAGAATGCTTATAGACAACTCTTTTTTTCCACAGATTTTTCAGAAAATAGTTAGTTTTAACAAATAGGTAAAAAAAAGTCTTTTTTTTTTTTTTACAAACATTCCCTACTGCACCTTTAAAAGCCACCATAGGACCTATAGCAGCTTCTTCCTACCGTTGATGTAAATGTACATGTACTGGTTTAACTTAATGTGTGCAAGGAGAAATGTTTTGCCACGAGAGAATGCAAATGAATACTTTTGCAAAAAACATTTTGGAACACATGAGTCTATAACTGAATTATTTGGAAACATTGACATAGGACATATTTGGAATACACCAACTACAGCTTTCCGGGAAAATAACTTCACACTGCGAATGTGTTTCCATCAATATTTTTTTTGTTTATTTTGAAGTTTTGCATCAGAAGAGCTTGATGGAAACAGCTTAATTAAAATCTGCTAAAAAGGAAACGGAAACGCGTTTTTCGATTAGGTTCTAACGTAGCGAATATTTACCTCACATGACCGATCAGCTGTTTCCCCAGCTGCTCACACCCTCATTGCAGCATTAGAGTAACACTTCTCTCTTTCAATATCTCTGGATGGCAAAAACTATTGCCAATAAGATCTGATTTGATGAAGAAGGTAGCTCCTGACTGATTAAAACACATTTATTAAAACCTCGGTTCATCACTAATCTGTAGGGTGTGTTCGGTTTCAGCAGCTGCATCCTCCAAGTACCCCTTCTATCTGGAATGGATCCTTTGACGTCCTTGAAAATAAGGAGGCCGGAAGGTTTTGGATATGGATTCAAACAGTTCTAGCCTTCTCCAGCATTCACTGCCTGTAACCCTCTGTCGCCTAGCAACAGTAATAGTTGAAACACAAAGCAGGCAAAGAATGGATGCCGAACTTCTTGCTACTGTTCTGGATGTTAATAACATTTTCGAGGAGTTTTAGCAGCAGTATCATCATCATCATGTATATCATATTTATAGTCCCCACACTGCAGATATATTAGAATCTGCGCTTAAATTGCAGCCAAACCAAATATCCGCCACATATCTGACTCAATAACCGTTTAAAAAAATTACTTTCATTCATTTCACATACTTGTATTATATTAAAGTGCACTTACAATATTCTCCACTGTTTGGCGTCATTTATCTTTTTCCTCTGAGCACGGAGCAGCCGGCTTGCTTGGACTCGCAATGAATCATGGGATACCCAAGGCTATGTAGGATACACAGGAATCGTCCTTCAAAATGAGCAAAAAGAAGGTGGCATTCATCTGTCACATAACGAGGAGTATTCCAACCTGAACAGGCCTTGGCGCCACGCTATGACGTAATCGACCGACACATCTTGCCTTCAGAGGACGCAGCCACTAAATGCAAACTCGACAGTAGTTTGCTAACTGTACTTCCTATTTACCATAGCGAATCGTAACGCCAACATTTGATGACATTACGCATGCATCGCCTCATTAATTTGCTCCAATATATAAAAAAACAAAACAAAACAAAAACGCTGCTTCTCATGCATAAAGGTGGATGTGTCTTGGAATGGGATTGCTATACAGCAACAGGATCAGGCCAGTCTACCATCATAGACGGCTTTCTCGTATGTCTTAGAGGTTGTTTGAAGAAAAATGTGAGAATATTTGTCAAGAAAATGTATAGCTGCATCCTTTAATATGACGAACCAAAACATACCAGTAAATCCATCACAGATGGGCTGAGAATTTAAACTGCTGGGTCCTGGGCCTTGTCAAAGCACAGAGCTTTTTGTCTCAAAGATCTGCCAAGACACCAAATAAGTCACAGCCATAGTGGTCATGGATATGCCGACAGCTCTGAGATAGAGTTTTGAATTTTTTAAACATAATTTATATCAGCTTAGCACAATGTTTTCATCCTATACTCAATTTGACAACAAGCCTAAATAATTTCTTTTTCATATAATGTTAGTTTCAAAACTCTTTACAGTTGACTTTTGACACAGGCTTAATGTCCCACTAAGAAAAGATGGAGAACCTTCACTGATGTAATTTCAGTAAGAGAGGGATAACATTGCTATTAAGTTCGAGACTTATCTTAGTATTAGTCACCTAAAAAAAACAAAATCTTTCTATTTTCCACAAATGGATAAAAAAATATATAGGATTATACTTTAATTTTGATACATTGGCTGATATGCAACTGAATATTTCTAGGGGTGTCCTATTTTTTTCTAGCCTGACGTAGTCCGACTCAATTCTAGTCAGAATATGAGTCTGATGCTGCTCCATAGAGCTGTAATTATGGGGCGTGTTTCGAACGAACCAGGAAAAAAAATGCCTCTGCACTCAATTGGATAGACCTACAATCAATAAGAGCAACGGAGTGCGTGACGTATGTCAAGCGAGGCATAGTTGTTGTCCACAAAAATCAAAGCGTGCAGTTTCACGCCTAGAATAAGAAGATGAGACTTGATCGCGTTTCTCTGTTCCTCTTTTAAAATTAATTTGCTGTCGATATCTTCTAGAACAGACCTAATAGCAGAATCTACTCACCCAAACTCTCCAGCGGCAGCCATTATTGTTGTCACCCTAGCGCGCTTTGGTCACGTGGTTGATTACGTTACTGTTGATCATCTGTCCATCATCGTATAAAGTCCGCCCTGACAATTTGATTGGATCACCTGACAGTGGGCGATAATACTCGCGCTACTATGGAGCAGAGCCAGACCGAACTTCCCCGAACTCAAACCTTGTGGGCGGGACTAAGTTCTGACTGGCACCCAGGCTAATTTTTTTCTCCCACATGCCTGAAAATATTACCCCATTGGCCGTTATTCAAAACATGTTACTTAGTAAATATCTATTTTTAATTCAGTTGATAATAGTGTTCAGCTTAAAACATAGTTTATTTCTGCCATGTTTCCCCCTTTTCCTCTTTGAAAAAGAAAAGCAAAAAACTATTTAAACTGTTTAATCTAATATATGTGAATTCACACTTCATCACTTTTTGTTGTGTTCCTTAAAGTTATTTTCAGGCCACCCTAAGTTTTTATGTGATCTGATCATTTGAAATGTTCTGTTTTTTTTGTCATAGGTGGTTCAGGATATCTTGGAGCATGAGAGGGAGTTTGTTAAAGAACTGCAAACAGTGCTCACTTCTTACCTGCGACCTCTGCAAGCCAGCGACAAGTAAGGGCAAAAGCACGAGATGGGTTCATTACCAAAACTTGGATGAAATGTTGTTGGGTAGTTAACAAACTGTTATCTTTCTTTTGTCGGTATGTTTATCACAAATACACTCTTTGTAAATTTTACGACACAATCTTTAACCTGCAGTTTTAAAATTTTTAAATGACCAAAGTCCAAAATTGGATAAGCAAAATTTTACGACTTTACTTAAGAATTTTATTTGTCCTCTATGCAGAAATTCTCAACAACTTTTGGTCCTGTTGAAATGTAGAATATAAACATCAGGGAGCTTCGAAATGAAATAAATTTAGCAAGAGTCGGTTCTGTGAAAGCAGAAGTTGTGACAGTTCGCTGGTCTGAGGTCTGTCTAAATATATTACCATTGAAAGAAGACAACTATGCAATGACTTCAGATAAGTGTTGAAATTATTTGAGCCCATCAATCTAAAAATGCTAAAAAAAAGCCTCTTTCAATTAATCTAAAACCCATTATCTTACAGAGAGAAATATTATTTACAAGTGGAAGTATTCACATTGGCTCCCAGTCTTTCAGAAAAAGGGACGTTCCAGCAAGTTTACGCAGAAGTTAAGATGGGCAATCCTAAGCAGAAAAGCGAAAAATATAGAAAGCTGTAACTGTAGAGTCCTTAATCTGTATGTTAAAGTTTAAATGTGCTGTTGAAGAAAAAACAAAATAAACCTATCATCAATTGGAGAACAGTTTCTATATAAGGTCTACTGTATGTTCTGCAAAAATCTACTTTTTTAATTAGCCTTTAGCTTTTCTTAAAGCTATTCCTTTACCAAAATCATGCATCAAGTGTTCTTTCCCTTGGAATATACATCTATTAATCCTTATGAGGTCTGCCATCTGAGCAGCAGCTCCTTCCTATCCTGAGAAAATGAGCAGCTGGAGAATATCTACTTATGAAGGCTTCCTCCAGGAAGCAGCTACCTTAACTGGGCTGTGCCAGCACTTTAAACAAACATCCACTTTCTCTGATCACGAAGGAGTGATGTGAGGCAGAGCATTATGATTTAGGCCAATTTGGCTTTTTTAAATGTTAATTCGCAAAGGGCTGGAAATGTGTTGTGAATATCTTTTTATTGTCGGTGAGGTATCTCAGACTGTTCAGCCTTTAGAAATGGTGTTAGATGGCAAGGTCATGAAGTGGGCGACACTCAGATGGGGGGAAAAGTGGCTTCGCTTTGAGGGCAAGAGATTTTCTTCTGGGTTGAAAACTATTTAATAGCAAATTAATTATTTCCCCATATGTTTCCCTATAGGTTACTTGGAAAAACCATAAAAAAAAAGCTTATTATAGGCAGTGTGAACTAGTTCAAAGTTCAGTTCACACATTATAAAATGAACTAGTTCAGTTCATAATTCAAATTTTTGAACTAAGTTCACATTTTCAAAAAATGAACTAGTTCAGTTCTTTTTTTTTTTTTTTCATATATTGCTCAATTACACCATAGCCTACTGTAGAACCACAGACAGCAATTATTTTATCAGTTGTAACTCTGAAGCTGCGCGTCAGATTTCATCTTCATATCCAGTTTTGAATCCTTATCCAACCAGGGTTTACATTAGCATTGAGGGGACAGCATTTCCCCATTGTTGCTTTAACGCTTTGTTGCTGTTCATTCACTTCACACTAGTAGCAGCTGCGGCTTTCACCCCTACAGTATATTCTCAAAAACATCAGGAAAAATGTGCTGCTTGAATGGTCTTTTTTATGAGGAATTATTAAAAGAAAAACAGGAAAGTAGTCTTTAAGGTGCAAATGTTTTTTTTAATTTTAATATTTTTTTCAATTTGAAATTCCATTTGAGTACATACTAAAAAGGAATACTGGAAAATTATACCAGGCAGGTTTAACAAACAAGTTACATGAATAGTAAAACCCTCAAGAACATTTTACTAACACAAACTGAGGGACCAGGCTGAGGTAGGAATTTAAGGTTTCTGAAGTGCGGATTTTTTTACTGAAAGCCGGTGGGCAAAGTTTGCAGAGAAATGTAAGATTGTTGCCATCATCCTCACCGACCACCTGGTCATAAACCTGTTTTAAGCGATCATACTGCTGCTTTGTCGCCTCCACGGTCGCCTCCACGCTGCTGTGGCTTCCACGCTGGTAGCTGGTGTTGCTAGATTGGGTGTTTTCCCCACTACATATTAAGGCTTGTTTACGGTTTGATTTAGCCGGGGTTTCGCCTGGAGGACTCTATAGAAATCTGGCAACCTATTGAACAGAGTGGAACTGAGAGAGCGTGCCGTTCACAGACACCAGAATGAACGAGTTCACAATAACGTTCATCAGGCAGTAATGCAAAAGCAAAAGCAAAGTTGTGGCTTTAAGTATTGTTTTACAAGCTGCTGAAACATTGGATGTAATTATTTTTAACAAACCACTTCTCCATTTTGATTCAGCTAAAAAAAAAAAGAAAATGTCCTACACTTTTATTCAGCTGAGGTTGTTTTAAACTAACCTCAAACGCAGTGAGGACCATTTTCCATCATATTCTCCAGTGTAAAACCTCAGGAGGGACTCTTTACAGTGAGGGTATTTGTTGCTTAATTGAACATGTTTGTGAATAGTCAGTATTACTTGCGTTCAACTTTATAAAATGTAGGAAATAGATCACAAATTAGAAAAAGTTGATTGTTTTCTGTGTTTATTCTCCTGCTTGCATGTTTAGGTTAAGTAGTGGAGACAGCGCCACCCTGTGTGGGAATCTGGAGGAGATCCTCAGCTTCCAGCAGGGCTTGTGTTTAAGTTTGGAGGACTGCACCAAGTAAGTAATGGAGGAAATGGTTTGAACATCACTGATTCATCACTTCCAACTGTTTTTTAAAGTTTAATAGACCCAGAAGGCTGGGAAGTTAATGCGATCATTCCCTGTTTTGTAGTAAGGCTCATTTCCTTTTATGTGCATTTACCGCCGTAGAGTTCTGCAAAGCTTCCCACATGTGTTTATGTTTTTGCAATCACTTCCTTCCCCCAGACATCACTGCCTGTTAATCTGTGCAAACGCCACCTTGTAAAGTCTTCACAGTTGCTGCCATGTTGGACAGATTTCTATGTATAGTCTCTTCTATGTATAGTCTATCTCTATGCAGAGAGGGAATTTCCCCAGTGTGGGATAATAAAAGGATTTACATTAAATTTTTTTACATTGTTACCAACAGGCTGGTGCCAGTCTAATCTGCCTCCATGATGAAGTCTTTCTTCATTATGGGTGCAGAAATCATAGCACATTTTTGTCATTAAAGTTAGAAACATATTAAGAAAAAGTTAAATGTTAAACTTTGAAAGCTAAGATTATTCAAATGTTTTTGTTGGTTTCCATGTTTTTCTTCTCTTAACCCAGCCCTCAGTTTCTTCCCCTTCCCATTTTTACCTCTGTTTCTCTTATTTTCCAGAGTTGCTGAGGGCCAGCAGAGAGTAGCAGGCTGCTATCTAAATCTGATGAGTCAGATCAGGAGCCTGTACCTGAATTACTGTTCGAGCCATCCCTCAGCGGTCTGCATCCTTACTGACCACAGGTCAGCCCCTGCACACAAAAACAGTACTGTACTGTCACTAAAAGGTCTCAGTATTAAACTACTGCTCTGGTTTTGATTTAGTCTCTAAATCTCCCACATTCTGTCACATATAAATTCTAATTAATTATCCTCATACCTTGAGGCCTTTCAATTCTTCTCTAAAAAAGTTTAAGATTTAATACCATCTAATACCATTAAATACCATTTAAATACCATTAATACCGTATTGCCATTTCAGAAGAGAAAGGAAATCGATATCAAAAAACATTTTTTGCTGTATTTTACTGATATTTGCAGTTCGTTTTAATAAACTTAGAAACCTAAACAAAAAACAAAAAACATAATGATACTTAATGATTGGTAAAAATCTGATGATTTCATGTTAAGGATTAAATATGTCCAGTGTGTTTAGCCCTCCTGCTTTAGCTTTAAATGTGAGGTTTGCTTGCATAATCTTTCCCTTCCACTGTTATCATAATTGGACAAATACATACGCCCTGTGATGCAGGGAAGCAGTGAATCCTATTTTATCCAAGACTTTCAAACAGCATTAAACTTTGCTGCAGAAACAGTTTTGCTGCATGTTTAGGAACTAATAGACAAAACATTTGCATTACATTATGCCCTATTCAGCTTATTTATTTTTGAAATAGTTTTTTTTTAACATAGCTTTGTTTATAACTACTAATTTAAACAGTTGACTAAAATGTACTGACAGGTATGGTGACACTTGTGCTTTAAACATTAAGAGACTCTAGTTGTAAACGCACTCTAGTCATATGCTGATAAATGCAGTAATTCGCTTATATAATGTTATTTCAGTCTTGTTAAGTCATTATATTCACAAAGTGCTGCTTTATTTATAGAATATCATATGATAGATACGCATAAAAAAAAAGAAGAGGCATCAATTTAACAAGATTTAAGTAAAGAAAACTACTTTTAATACACTGAATTTTATAAATTAGCAAAAAGATTAAATCCAAGTTAGATTATGAGATAATTTTACATGATACACTATATAAAAAGACACATCTTTATTTAACTTATTTTAGATCACACTTTATATTTTCAGTTTTAGGGCAGTTCAGATTGCCAAAATTATTTCTATTTGCTTTGTGCAAAAATTAGAAATTTTTTTTTTTTTTTTTTTTGCTCTTTAAATTCAGAAGTTTTCATATGGAGTTTAACGGTCTCAACGTTTTTCCTATTCTGTTCAGGCTTTGTGAGCTTTCAACAGGTTATTTTTAGGTAGATTTTAGTTACATGGAGCTACGCAAACACGCTTCCACATGTTTAATATAATTGGAAAAGTCTGGTTCATACAATGGCAGTAAGATCGATTTATAAACACCATGTGAATCTACCATTTCCACTGAATTTCAATGAAACCTTTTCTAAACTTCTGATTTTCTGCTGAAATGAAAGAAGATTAATGCTTTTTCCAATTATATGATGACTGTTTTCTTTTATGTGGGGGGGAACATCTGCTATTGATATGCTGTAGTTCTGCCTTTATCCAGAAGATGTCAGGGTATCCTTCTTTAAATGCAAATTACTTTTAGCTTCCTCTGAGGCACTACAGAGGGGCTTTGTGATTAAATGCTCCTTCTCTTCTTCTAAAATGCTTCATTTAGTTGTTGTTTTTTTCTGTATTTTTATTGTAAATGCCTGGATTCAAAGTGATTAAAGAATAAGCTAAGGTCCAGCCGTGATGGAGGGGTCTTACTTAACATCTATATGTCATGTGAAGCTCTGTGTTGAGCAAACCCACACACACACTGCTTACACATGTCGAGTTACACACAGGAAGTTGTCTGTTGACAGGATATATAGAGTTGCGGTTATATTGAAAACCCGACAGGCAGCTTTTTTCACAGTAAGCACATTTTCTTTTCCTCTCTTATTGCCTTCTTTGCTCAGAGTTACACATTGGTGCAAGTTGGCAGAGATACTGCAGGATTCTTTGCTACTTTTTTTCTTTGGATCATGAAAACTCATTTTGTTCCTTATGCAACACATAAGGACAGTTGCAGGGAGTTAAACTTAAGCCCGCACAATAAATCCAAATTCTGACTTGCACCTCGTTACATGATTGCTGGTTATAAGATCCTTCTTTTTCCAAATTGCTTCTTTCAATTTAGTGTTTGAGTCTGCCAGAAGATTTTAGAGACTTTATCCAGAAGCAACTAAGGATGCACCAATCGACATTCTCTCACTTCTGATACAGTATCCTGGATCTCTGCAGATCCGGATGCTTTTCCAATACCGGAGATGTGGAAAAATGGCATCCTGTAAACTAATGTGCAAAATAATGGATTCAAATTAAAATCATTTAGTAAATCAAAGAAAGATTTTTTTGAATTCAAGAGATCATTAATTTGAAATTCTTATGGAAATAGGCTCAATGGATATGCCCCTATGAATCTGAACATCTTATCTAGAATTTCCGCCAACATCAGGGCTGATACTGATATTAATATTGGATCTGTGCATCTATAGAAGCAGCAAAACCTTTTACTAAAGAACTATGTTATGATAATTTATCCACGCTGTTCATTGGAAAGTCTTTTCTTTTTGGCAACTGACTTCCATTATGCCCTTCGACTTCTATTAGTCACATCCCTTGTGTGCAGAGTTTTCGCACCTTTGTGCATACCACAAACCATACCAGTATTTATACGGTGGAAACACTACTAGACATCTATACATATTGACAAATACACAGTGACTGATTAGTAATAGTTTCAATTCTCACAAATTAGCTGTTAATGCAAAAACATGGTGTATGTCTGCATTAACTATGATGACTAACAGTGAAAAACTGAAAAAGCAAATGCCAAATTTATATGGTGAATGTACATAAAATCACTTTTTTTATCACTTTTTATTAGAATGTGCTTTTTCATTAACAATACGATGGGGGTTTGTGTGTTTTCTATAGTGATGAACTTGGTAAGTTTATGGAGAGCCAGGGAGCAAGCACTCCAGGAATCCTGACTCTGACCACCAGCCTCAGTAAGCCCTTCATGAGGCTCGACAAATACCCGACACTGCTGCAGGAGCTGGAGAGACATGTGGAGGTACACATAAATGTCTAAAAGAAAAAGAAGAAATACAAGTCAAATTGTGACGTTGAGGGTGTTGTAGTTTGATGTAGCTTTAACTAAAGACAAATTCTAAAAGTTTCCGATATTTGTAAGAATCAGTATTTGTAAGCCATGTTTACCTAACTACTGATAATTTAAGTAAGTCTAATAGTTAATTAGGTCTTACAGATTGTGGTGTAAAGGAATATTAATTAAAGACAGGAAAATATAAGCAAGCATTCAGTATTCAAATACTCAATGTTTGATATTTTTGTCTTTTTTATGTGCAAACCAGGAAGTTAGATCATCTATATTTTTGCCAATTCCCCCCATGCTAATAAATAAATTAAAATTCCCATCACCCTATGAAGTGAAGTCATTTTTTATTAGGGTGGAATATAGATGGGGATAGAAGAGAAACAGGCTCCCTACCATAATGGATCATCCACTGTGCTACATAACAGTTGGCTTGAGGTATTTTTATATTTTAACACTTTATTTGTCTGTTGTTAAAACTAAACCCAAGTATCAGTACAAGGCAATATCCCACTGATAATGAGCTCTTCCCACAGGATTAGGTTTGTGATAGCAGGAGAGTTGAAAGAAATGCTGGCTCAACTATTCCTTACGTTTATTCAGATGTTTTGTTTGTTTGGTTTTTTTTTTGTTTTTTATTCCCAGGAAGCTCATCCCGACTATCCGGACATCATAAAGGCAACAGCAGCATTTAAGAACCTAGTGGTAAGCCATTAATCCTCCGTTATTTATTGGGAGATCTTGTTTTCATGAATGCACCTCAAACCCTACTCGGTTTGTAACTCTGTTATGATAGCTTTTTTTTTTTTGTCTCATCTTTCTTCATTACTTCCGTAATTAAAACATTCAGTGTACTAGAAGCCTGTGTGAAAGGGTAAAGTAGAAGAATAATTTAATGCATCTCGATGGGAAACCTGACAAAATGTGCAAAAAGTCTATTTATATCATCAGGACGCTTTTGACAGGATTGAAACAAGCGGTGCAAATGTGTCAGTATATGCTTAGGTTTTCATTTTTTCTGAATAATCTCAGTTGATAACAGAGGAAACATGAAGTTTCCCCTCAGCCTCCTCGTCCTTTTGTGTTGCACCGTCAAACGGCAACCCTTCAAAAAATAATCTGCTCCTTTTTTTTTTCTACCTTGTGTCGAGTGATTACATTGTTCCAAAAGTAGGTGTTAAGTAAAGCACCATCATTAAAGAACTGGTTGCGAAATGGTTGACCACATTGAACCTCAGTGAACAATGCTTTGAAGCACTGTTTCCCCGGCGAGGTTCTGAGTTCCCTGTAAGAGCAGAAGTGACTCACTTGTCTTTTTAGCAGGGCTTCACTGGAAACGGGACAGAGAGAGAAAAAAAAAAACACATCAGACATCTCTGGGTGGTTTCATTTGCAAGTTTAATTTTTCTTTTGTTTCTTGGATGTGTGGTTGAATGGGTAGGTACTCAAGATTGTCTCTGTAGATCCGTGTCAACAGTCTTGATGGAAAGTCATAGATGTTGCATAGTCACTTTTTTGCATGAGAAGGGAGAGTCCCTGTATAGCACCTGAGAAAGTGCTTCTTGATGCGACTTTTTTGGCACACATTTACCCAAGAAATTGATAAAAAAAAAAGAACAAAAAAAAAGAAAATTCTGGTTGCACTGTCGTCACCAAAAATCACTTTCATTTAATATTTCTGCTAATTTCTCCAAGAAATGTTGGCGATTTTTAGGGTATTCTAAAACAATGCAGACTATTTTCAAAAACTTTATTGTAATTAGTCTGTTTGTGTGTTTTAAGGCGCAGTGCCAGGACCTAAGAAAGCGCAAGAACCTGGAGATTCAGATCCTGTCAGAACCAGTCCGGGGCTGGGAGGGAGACAGCATGAAGAGCCTGGGACAAGTGGCCTATATGTCCCAGGTTCATGTGAGAAGTGGAAGCAATGAGGTGAGAGACGGGTTTGAACTGATACCGTCTGGAACACACAGAGCAAAAATTCATCACCTGCGAGTGGTATACATTTTAAAACCATATGTTTTCCAACACCTTTGTCATTCTTCTTAAGCTCTGGTACAGTTGATATAAAATGAGGCTACTCGTATGTTAACAAACTAAACTCTGAAATTATTGAAACTTTTTTCGGTCATCAGTATGACACGTATCTAGAAAATGGAAAGTAGATCTGTTATAAGGGATAAAGAAAGATCTGAAAATCGAAGAATTACCTGCATGTCTAAATGCAGACCCAATAAAAAAACACCTTAAAGCCCTGAACACACCAAATCCGATTTTGCATCCGATCCAACAGAAAATCATTTCGTACGAGGTTGTGGCATTTAGCACTCTTTGTAAGTCAATGGGGATGATCACACCCGGCACGATTTTACTCAAGAGAATTTGCGTAGCTCCGACTGAGATACACACCAGGTCTATTTTATTCGGACTATGCAGCAATTCAGCGACAATTTCATGGGTCGGACAGGAAGAGAGACGTGGTTACAAAGTAAAACACGTCTGCTTTGGAGGAAAATACAAGACAAAATCTGTTAATCACATGGGAAAACATTCTGTTTTGGAGTCACACAATCGCATACATAACAAGTGAGAAAGACTCATGCAAATAAAACATAAAAAAAAATACTTTATCCGTTTTCTGTCCTATTTATCTCCTATCATTGGTAAAGTAGTGATCCTCTTTGAGCCTTGCTAAAACGAGGGACAGAAAGCGCAGTTAATCACTCTCCTTAAAAAACAAAACAAAATTAAGGACAGAAAACAGATATAGTAAAACAGTAATCCTCTTTGAGCCTCATAAAAAAACAAAACAATGAGGGGCAGACAGAGCAGGTCAGCGGGACTCCTCACTCTCCCCTCTTGATGGAAAAAAAAAGAAAACATAACAAATCTCTCTGTGAGAATCACCTCTCTCTGCCTCAGTCGGCATATAGCCACCCCATGGCGATTATTGCTGCATTTTTCTTTTCTTTAGACATAGATCTCATTATGTTTTTAATATAGACCTTTATGATATGAGATGCTGCACAGACCTGTTAAGTGGGGCTTTGCTTCATAGAAATCGCCCGTGGTTTTGTTTTATTTTTAATACATTTCCATAATCTGTCCAAGTCAAATGTAGGAAAGCGTTTCAATTTGTGTATAGCACAGAGACTGAAGTGAATAAAAAGATATACACAAATCTGCTCGCCCTGCCTAGTGGGAGCATACTCTATACCCAGTCAGTGTGATATTGGAAAAAAAAAACTGGATCGAATATTAAAAAGTCATATGCAGCCTGTTTGTTCAGGCCTTAATGAACTTTTAGAGTCACTTTAATTCAGGTTTTTCTGTTTTCTTGAGTAGGACTCTGATTTAAAAGATTTTGTCTACCCTTTTAGTTATATCTTAGTTATAGCTGTACAATTGTTGGGACAATTTTTGTAAAAACCTTCTTAAAAACATTTTCCCCCCTCTTAAATCATAGTTTTGGTTTATTGATTCACTTTGTTTACTTCAAATCGACTTGATGCTGTATCTTTGGTACAAAAACCAAAAAAAATAAACAAGCCTACAATTATTCACACACCTGGTGCATTAAATGATTAAAAGATATGTTTTAATTTCCCCAAAGGGTTTACAATTACAAGCTATATTAATACTTTAAGTTGCCCTACAAGAATATTGACGTGGTCCTGATCATGGAAAGTCATCTAGTTTGTCTTTTGTGGTCTGTTCCTGGTGATTGTGGATATGGTGCACTAGATTTTATCTTCCTCTGTCACTTAAAGCAATTTCTCCCTCAAGTATCACAATAGAAACCTAAATAGGCCACATGCAGAGGACAAAGAAAGATCTGCTTTATTGTGGGGTTTCTGTCTAAGGGTCTACATCGACGCCGTGGTTGGAATACAGCCCAAGATAGCTGTTTAGTTTCAGCCTTTATTAGTCATGCCGAACCACTTTCCAACCACGTTTGCTGTCATTAATTGTTTGGGTGTTTTTTCTGTTTATACAAAAAGTTTTGTTGGCTGTGCCGACCATGTTTATGCCAACAGATTGTTGGGTTTGCAAGTGTGGGCTGAGATTATGGTTTTGCATTACCAGGTGCAATCTAAGCATGCATGGGTTCTGATGAGAAATGCTATAATCTAGTTTCAAGGTTACTATGCAGTCAGAAAATGTCTGGCTTTACGTTTGATAATTTTCTAGATTCAAATTATGAATAAAAAAACATTTTCACACCTTTTTCTCATCTATTGTTGTGTACTTAAATTGATAGTATTTGTTTACACGTCTCATATTTATTCTAAGATTTAAATCAGTGTTTTATTTATTTGTAACTAACCAACTGAATTAATACAAAAAACCTAAATATTTGTTTTTGCTGTTTTTTTTGGACTTTAGAAACCTAGAGAAATAAGATTGAGGTGGGCCTTTTGTCTTTAAATGGAGTCTGGTTAAACAGTATACTTCAAAGTAAAACATTTTTTCTTTTAAGAAATGTTCCTAAATTACATAAAGCTACCAATGTACTTCAAGTCAGAATCAAAGTTTGAAGAATTTGCACCCGATAAAAAAAACCTATAGCCCACCAAGCAACAGTGAAATGATTGACATCTAAATTTGGCTGAAAAAATGAAAGCTGGAAATCCCTAACTTTCACATTTTTGTCTATTGTTGGACAAAAGTGGGACAAAATCAGACCAACCAAACACAGCCTAATTTTTAACAACAATTTCTTGACTAAATTAAGGCTATGATGAACCGACCAGCAAATCTGGCAACCAGCCAATCTGTTGTTTTGGGGGGGTCGTGTTCAGGTTGATCCAGATTGCCCCATGTCACTTTCAAGAAATCTGAACCCAGTTTCTCACTGTGTTGGTCGGTGTTTCGGGGAACCTGAAAATAAGACGATTAAAAAATCAGTTCCATGTGTTAATTAATCAAGCCTTTTTATCTGCCTTTCAGGAAAAGGAGGAGCGCTACCTAATGCTTTTCCCAAATGTCCTAGTTATGCTCTCTGCCAGTCCCCGGATGAGTGGCTTTATTTATCAGGTAAGCCATAAGGTACTGTGTTTTGCAAAATGGGAAATATTGTCAGATAAAAACATGAAATAAAAAACTTTGGATGGGGCTGCAGCTTGCGTGAAGGTTGAGAGAAGCGTTGTTTGTATGACATCTTATTTTGGTCTACAGTGCTTAGCAGCCCACCTATTGACGTTTTGCTTATTGATTCTTTTAGACGGAATGCTGATCCTTGAACATTTTTTAATACTGAAATTTTTACACTTAAATCATACAGAAATTTCTCTGAGAAGAGCTACATTAATGGAGGAGCTTGAAGAAAAAAGAAACTAGGGAAAAAGATGCAATTTCTAACTTACCACTGTATTCCTTGTTCTAACAGATCAAATCTGATGTGTATTTGTTGTAACAGCACCTTTTGGTAATTCATTTTTTTTAACATTAGAAAGCCTCCATTGTTTCCCCTTCAATTATGCCACGCTTCTGTTGGCTGGGAAGAGGAGCTGTACCCACAGAAACAAGGCTTTGACTGAGTCAGTGAGATTGGTCGACATCTCACTCATTGGAATTAACCCCAGCTTTTGTCATCACTGGAGGTCATTTTGGTGTAGAGACCAAACAAAACAGATTTCTTTATATAAAAGCAGAAATCTGAAACAACCTCAGTCTGGGGATTAATTGGTTGACCAAGGCAAGAAGACTTGAGGCTGGTTTATTTGAAACTTCTTCCAATGAAGAGAATCGGAAAGCTAGACACAGTGTTGACCTTTTTGGTCGTTAAATTTACTGCCTCTTGAAACTTCTGTCACCCAGTTTGATAATCAACACTAAATAGAGTAGGAAAAAGAACCAGCTGGTATTCAGCTAATACCAGCATTCATGAAAAATGCGTTTTTTGTGGATTTTATAAAAAAAAAAATGGAGTGACAGCGAGATCCAAAAGCAGTTTCTGGCATGCCAGTTTTGAAAAATGGTATATGCCAGTTGGGAACCAGCCTATGCCAGTTGGAAAGTGGTTTATGCCAGTTGCTAATCAGCATATGCCAGTTGGAAATTGTTTTATGCCATTTGCTAACTGACTTATGCCAGTTGGAAACTAGATTATGCAAGTTGCTAATCAGCATATGCTAGTTGGAAACTGGTTTATGCCAGTTGCTAACCAGCATTTGCCAGTTGGAAACTGGTTTATGTCAGTTGCTAAACAGCATATACCAGTTGCTAACCAGCATATGCCAGTTAGAAACTGGTTTATGCCAGTTGCTGACTTATGCCAGTTGGCAATTGGGTTATGCCAGTTACTAACCAGCATATGCCAGTTGCTAACCAGCATATGGCAGTTGCTAAACAGCATATGCCAGCTGCTAACCAGCATATGCCTGTTGGAACTGGTTTATGCCAGTTGCTAAACAGCACATACCAGTTGCTAACCAGCATATGCCAGTTGGAAACTGGTTTATGCCAGTTGCTAACCAGCATATGTCAGTTGGAAACTGGCTTATGCCAGTTGCTTATCTGCATGTGCCAGTTGGAAACTGGATTATGGAAGTTGCTAACCAGCATATGCCAGTTGGAAACCGGTTTATGCCAGTGGATAACCAGCATATGCCAGTTGGAAACTGGTTTATGTCAGTTGTTAACCGGCTTATGCCAGTTGGAAACTGGTTTATGCCAGTTGCTGACTTATGGCAGTTGGCAACTGGTTTATGCCAGTTGCTAAACAGCATATGCCAGTTGCTAACCAGCATATGCCAGTTGGAAACTGGTTTATGCCAGTTGCTAACCAGCATATGCCAGTTGGAAACCGGTTTATGCCAGTTGCTGACTTATGGCAGTTGGCAAATGGTTTATGCCAGTTGCTAAACAGCATATGCCAGTTGCTAACCAGCAAATGGCAGTTGGCAAGTGGTTTATGCCAGTTGCTAAACAGCATATGCCAGTTGCTAACCAGCAAATGCCAGTAGGAAACTGGTTTATGCCAGTTGCTAAACAGCATATGCCAGTTGGCAACTGGTTTATGCCAGTTGCTCACCAGCATATGTCAGTTGGAAACTGGCTTATGCCAGTTGCTTATCTGCATGTGCCAGTTGAAAACTGGATTATGGAAGTTGCTAACCAGCATATGCCAGTTGGAAACCGGTTTATGCCAGTTGTTAACCGGCTTATGCCAGTTGGAAACTGTTTTATGCCCATCCCTAACCAGCATATAATAACATATGACCAGCATAAAAATGTGTCTCATTAAAAAAGGAGCAAACTTTTCAAATGGCTTAAGGGTGTGTTTCCAAGTATTACAGTCAAAAATCATTCAATTGACCAAACATAAAATTCTTTTCTTCAAAAGTTTTCCTTTTTAATCACAATGTGCTTTTTTTTTCCCTTTGTGGCTTTTCTTCAAATCAGGGAAGGCTCCCGCTGATGGGCACCACGATAATGAGGCATGTAGAAGATGCAGAAAACTCTCATCATGCATTTGACATCACAGGTTGGCATCTGACAAAGAAAAACCTCAGATCACTAAGCTGCAGAGAGCTAGTTGGTCAAATAGTTGCTGCATGTTTTTTCTAAAAGATTTAAAAACGAGCACAGATATTTGGTTCACTTTTGACTGGGGCTGGGCAGTACTGTGAAAACAGATTCAGTAGTTTAGGAATCCTCCATGTTTGGGATAGACACATTGCACATCATAGCAGTGACGATATTTTTTAAATGTATCATCCAACCCGACTAGACTAGTTTTAAGTGCAATTCTAACTCTTGGTTAAATAGTGTCAATTTAAATGGTGAAGTCAAATTATAATTTTTGTTTTGTTGATTTTAAATCTATTCTTTTCTTGCAAAATTGTCAATTAACTTAAATTACTGAGTCAATCCAACAGATTTCAGCATGTTTTCACCAGATTTGGCTTTAATATTTAATTTTGTTTTCATTTCTCCGCCTCGCCTCCTCAAACAGTGCAAGTTTGAATAATGAGAATATGAAAAGTCTCGGTGACATTGAATGTTATTGTTCATTGGCTCTTCTGCTCTTAAACCCTCTTTCTCCTTTCAGTTGTGGTTGATATTATCTCACTCTAATGAGTGGTGTGTCAGCAGCACATTCCACTTTCACTGAAGGAGATCTGTTTTCCTTGCTCCTCTATAGGTAACCTGATCGATCGCTTTGCAGTATTCTGCAGCAATGCTCAAGAGTTGCAAGAGTGGCTGGAGCACCTGCAACCTTATACCAAATCAGGAAGTCCTGCCGGTACTATTTCAAAGGTCAGGACACCCACACACAATGAAAAACGCATACAGTGTATAAATTCAAAACGATACTCAGAGTGGTCCTCCCACCTCTCAAACTGTTTGACGTTGTTTGTAATTCTAAAATGACAAAATAATCGACTGCTTATTTGGTCTCCCCAGCAGAATATTGATGGGAAGCCACAGAGCACAGTCAGCACCCCTGCACACCTTCCCCACATAGGTCCGAGCGCTGTCAGCCGTGGTCCCCTGGAACCACCAAAGACCAGCAAGCCATGGACCCTCAGCTGCCTTCGTCCTGCACCGCCTCTCAAGCCCTCTGCAGCTCTGGGTTACAAGGAGGTAGGAAGCTGCAGAGCTGCACAAACCCACACCTGTTTCTCACAATCAGTCATGTAGCATCGTGGTAGACAGAACCTGCAAAAAGTCCCCCTCCTCTACATGTCCACCTTCCCATCTCTAATTGATCTCAGATATATTCATATCGTGGAGGTCCTGGGGGATTTTTTTGTTACATTTCCAGCACATCCTTATAAAAAAAAATAAAAAATAACCCACCTTTAATGAGTTTTCAGCTGAAAATGAGATAATTTCAGTCGTAAAAATCAAAGATTTATTTTTCCACACAGGCCGCTATCCTATGTAGATATTCCATGTATCACTGTGTACATGGAAAAGCTTCGAAACAAATACAAGTGTCCCTAAAATGTGGTAGGAGATGTTTATTCCAGTAATGTCTGTATGGCCATCAAATATGTGACTGGCATTTCAGAGCAGTGAGTTGACTGGTGGTTATGAATAACTTGGCTTTTGATATAAGTTGAAGCTCGACGTGTGGTCCACGTAGGCGGTGGAAGCTTTCATAAGTCAGCACTTTCAGCTAAAACTTTCAGCTATTACACATTCCTACCACACAATCAGACCCTGAACATACCGACAGACAGCCTTGTGATCCCTTATGTGTCTTCTTGAAGATGCTCCCTAACTTTAAAAAAAATGCATATTCTTTACACTTTTTTCCCCCCCTTTCATTTGGAGACAAAGGAAGAGGAGTGCTTTCAGCTACTTTAGTGTTTCTATCTACTTTTCAAAGATTGTTTCCACAGTCTCCTGAATGCAAGTGTGTTCGATTTATCACTTCCCTCATCTATATCCTTTGAGTGCATCTCTAGCCCAAAAAAGTATGCAAATTATGTAACATAAAAAAAGGGGAGAAAGACTTACAAGTTTAGTTTTATAAAATAGACAAAACATTTGAATTTTTTATGTTTTTTTTTCTTTCTGCATTTACTGCTTTTTGATTTTTCATATATACTGCTAAGGAACTAAATAAACACATTGTTTAGATAAGGCCAGATTAGTTAGGAAGTTTGACAGATTTTTTAATGAATTATATTCATAGAAAATGTTAAGGTTCCCTCTAATTATTGTGAAATTTCAACTAATTTCTTTTCGATTCTAAAACAACATTGAAACCTTTTAAAGAAAGTTTTAAAACTATAAAAAAGAGCAATTGAACTTTATAATCCACTAGAACGAAAATATTTATTTTCTTTAAAATCACTGCAAGTTACATAGTCCTTGCTCGCTGTAACTAGAATTCTATACATCACCATGAAGTTCTCCAGAGATTAAAGGACTTGTATCATCTTTATAAGTTGTTCAAAGTCACCTGTAGGAAAATATATGACGAAACTAGAAAAGCACTTGGGGAGGGCACATTTCCTCTGACATATTGTGACTTCATTTTTAAAATCTTTCCAAAAATTCCTGGATCCAGATGGTGATCCGGATCATCACCAATATATAATAATTTGTTGCCAGCCACAATGTTTACCTTCCCTGAAAATGTCATTAAAATCTGTCCATAACTTTTTTAGTTATTTTGAAAACGAAAAAGCCAACATCGATGCAAACATATTTCCTTACACAACATTTGAATTTTTATTTGAAATATTAGCTCTTGTTTTCCAGCCCCCATAGCATATATCGATACTCAAATGCTGTATCTGGATACTATACAGTACCTAATTGGTGTAGTATCGATATCAAGTAATGTTGTTTGCATGTTTTTAATTTTGCTAATTTTAGATTTCTCAATTTTTAGCACAATAAAATTATAATACTTCAGACATCGTTAAAATGTTGTCAAATTATGTTTTGTTTAGGTTATTTATTTTCCCTTTATTTGCAAAATTATTAAGGTAGCATCTGCGATTTCTGTTGAGAGAGCAGGATCCATGTTGAGATTTTTCTTTTTTTTCTCCCTATGGTGAAGAAAGCAGTATGATTTGTGGAATATTTACTTTGGTGACAATATGGATAATTCTAATACAGGCTGAAAAAAGTCTTGTGACTTCTTTAGGCCAAAGAACAGATTCTTACGACCTAGATATTAGCTAAAATAAAAGGAAAGTTTCTCCCATGTGCAGATCAGGTGTTACAAAAAAGTCACTTCGTCTTAACCTTGAGCCACAATCATCGCGCCCTGCCTCACATCACTCCTCCCTGATCAGAGAAATTGTTCATTTATTTACAGTGTTGAAGCATGGCTAAGGGAGCTGCCTCCTAAGGGGGGCTATTATGTAAACACTGTTTTTCACAGGCCAGGGAGGGGCTGCTGCTGAGCAAAGCTCATGATGATTACTCAGAGATGCATGAACCGAGCCAAATGCCACTTTTTGTATGAGTTCGATAAAGGAAGGAGCATTATGACACATGAGCAATATCAGAAAATGTCATTTTGCATGACTATGCCCTTTAATCAAGTTTATTAATCCCACAAATGTGTTATTTTGTTAGATTTTGCAGGGCGACATAAAGCAACTAACATGCTTCTGACAAGTTAATTTAATGTTGTACTCCTTTTTAAATTTAAGGCAAAGATACCTTATTGTTTTATCATTTTTAGTGCAGAAATAAAGTAAATAAGAAACAAGAAGCTCTTAAGGCGATTGTGAAGTAAAGCCCATTCTAAAGTTTGCTCAGGGATATAAGCTTGAACCGATGCTTCAAGAGGCCCCCCCCACACAAACATCTCTAGAGCAAGCTCGTCCCTTTGATTAAGCCTTTTCTAAAATAAAGACGGCATCGCAAGGTTCTGTTTTGGCCTAAAGGGGAAAAAGTTGTTCAAAGTCCTGTTTCCTGGTAAAGGCATATTTACCATTTTATAGGGAAATCAAGGTCTTAATGTTTAGAGAAATAATGTGGATCCACTTAATGTCAGGGATAGTTTTGGGAGCCATTTTATCTTGTGTTGCTGTCTGGTTTTCATTGAGCAAAATGTCAGTGCTGCGCTTTACCCAGAGATTTTACGACAGTTCACGCCTCAATCTTCTCACCAGATATCTGTAGATGCTGCTTTGATTTTCCAGCAGAACTTGTAGCAGCCAAAGCTACCAAAAGCCAAACCAATGACCATGGCTTTGTTGAGTTGCCCACAAACTCAGCGGAGTTTAACTTTTCGGGTCATTTATTGGATGTTTCCATGAGGAAAACAAGGGACTGACACATCTGAGCAGAACAGCAGGCCTATGCTACACTGCACGGATACAGTTGCTAATTCCAAAATAGCCTGACCAATTACTGAGTACCTCTACTTTGATCATAATTTATACATAACTTATTTATTCTATATCACTTTTCCAATATTGTGGTAATCTGACATTATTTTTTGACCATAATGATCACAAACACAAAAAAGTTCCAGTGCATGTTGTGGTTTGGCCATTTTCAGGTCGCGCAGAGAGCTAAATCGCAAATGCAAAGAGGACTCTGTAAAAGCTTGCAAACTTTCTGCACAGTCATCGTTATGTTACTGCTGGTGATTTCCGGCATAACCCATCTACTGCGGAGGTCTTGAAGTGCTCTTAACGCCACACAGAAGGGAAGAAATTTTAAGCCAAATCCTGGCATGCATGTGGAAGTAAATAGTTTTGCACACAGAGGTTACAGTACAGTCCTGCTGCAATGGACTCTGGACAAGTATTCAGGTCATGAAAAAAAACGGAAACCCTGAAATGAAACCTCTACATGCCTGTGGTTAGTGCACTTCCAGGCCACCGTAGGTTAGTGCAAAAGAATAAACAAAATAAAACGGCAGTTGCCGTGAAAATAATCACAATCTTGATTTTTGGCAAGATCGTTCAGCCCTTCTGCAGATATAGTCTTGTTAGATCAGGTTATCTGTTGAGGGTTGGTGCATTCAATGGCAAAAGAAAGAAAAATATAATACAGATTTGTGGTCATCAAATCGCATTTCTACTCTGTTTCATTAATAAACACATGGTCTAACCTCTATACTTATACCTGTTAGCATTCGTTGTGAGAATGAGAACAAATTGCTTTAAATAAAATGCAGTTATGGAGACTTTTTTACCTTATTTCTTTTTCTTTAGTCATGAAAATTACACACATTAGCCTTTTGATTTTTCTCCTGTCCTTTCTTGCCCTCTTGTTCACAGCATATTGATATATCCATGAGAGATTAAGGTTTTAATTGCTTACCAATTTTTTTGTAATAATTATAGAAAAATTCTTTTTATAATATCCGTTTTTCAATAAGCAGGTTTAAGCAACTAGCCACCTGCATGCAGCTTTTTAAGAACGCACATCTGCTTTCCTTGAATGTCTTGTTCTCTCTTGGAGGAGACGAGAAAGAGACCCAGGAAACAGGAAGTTGTCGATGAGCACTATAATAATCCGGTGCACAGATTAATTTAAAGATATGTTGTACAAGGATATTTATTGTATTCAAAAGAATTTGTTTGCAGGTTTTTATAAATCTTTATAAATCTTTCATAGTTACATAGTTTTCTTGAACATTTTTTTATTTTTTTGGTAAAAGGTAAAAATCACATTTTAGGCTTAAGTTTGTTAATTAACTGCATACATTTAATTAAGGTTTGGATATCTGAAATTAGTTTAAAGTAGATTCTATTACTGTGCTTACCCTCTTTTTAATGGTCTTTTTCTAAATTTTTTCTATCACTTAAATGTTAGGTTATTCATCCTGTTCTGCAAAGAGAAAAATTTTGATCCAGCAAGGGTGTTTGAAATGTTCTCTCTCTCATCAAACCCTTCACTCATTGTAATGTTTCATGCACATTTTTTCCCCTTTTTTCTCTTTTTCCGTTCTGCCTTCTTTAGAGGATGTCTTATATCATGAAGGTAAGGTTAGATGTGTCTATGTTTCTGTGTGTGTGCTTGTGGTTCAAAATGTGGGCAGGGGAGGTGGGATGGGGGTTGCCTGTATGCGAGTATGTGCGCGTGTTGAGCTGACATGCCATTGCTCTGTTTGCTTTACTCATTCTCTTTCATTCTCATCTTGTTGGTTTCCTGTTTTCTGTTGCCCTGCGAGTTTTCTTTTCCCTCCATTCCCTCTGCGACAAGTCAGTCAGCCAGCGATACCTTTTTTTTTTTCTTTTTTTCATATTTCGAAATTCTGACGCACAGGAGCAATAAAATTCCACCTGAGCAGCTACTTTTCTGGAAAGCTTAGTTGGGTTTGTCCCTCAGCGATGGATTTTTTTTGGATGCAATCGAATAAGCATACTACTTATGTTGACATCATAGAATAAAGGATGTCATTTCAAGTGACATTCTAAAGAAAGGACAAAAAAGCGAGAGTTGCTTTCCGCGCATGGGTTTCTGCAGTCTTCTACACGCTATAATCATGCAAATGATTTTCCAAGCGGCCTGGAAAACTGCCTGTGAGACATATTACTCATATTTAATTTTTTTTTTAAATTGACATACCTGTGGATTATTTGTGCACTTTTTCCTACTTTTAATGTGATCGTCATGCTTGTGCAAGGAGCACAGTATAAAATATAAAACAAATTTACCTAAACTGCAGCAAAAGTTTCTCCAGCTATGTAACATGAAAACTCAATCAATAGAGGTGTGCACTGTGGTGATTTGTTTAGCTAGAGCCAGTGTTCTGTCAGATCAGCACACCCTGTCAGACCATCATACCCATAGTTCAGATCACCATACGCTTCAAAAAATAACCCAAAAGTAAGTAATTAAATAGTTTTTTTTGTACAGGACTAAAGGGATACATACCTGTTGACGTAGTTTAAATTGTATTTCTCGAACAAAACAAAAGGGATAAACGGGTATTGACTATGGGTATGCTGGTCTGACAGAACACCAGCCCTCATGGATGCACTAAGGAATAGTGTGTTAAACCATTAATGAACCGGTGACATCAGAGTTTATTTATTTAAGTGAAGGCTAAATTTAACCATCAAGCATTTGCTTTAGCTGCAGGCAGCAATTAGGCTTAAATTAGCACTGAAGAAGTATTCAGTGTTTTTACTAAATTACACATAAACATACTTTTAACTAAATCCCATATTTAAAACAAAACAAAAAGATAATTTTTTTTAAATATCTTCAAGATCCTATTCAAAAGCACCAAATTTTATGTAAAACATTGACGCTTTTTTCCCCCTATTTATACTCATATAAAGATGAGCTTTTACTATGAATGCTTTAAAACAATAGGAGGACCATTGATTTCCAAACATTGTGTAATGCCTGCAGGGTGACTGCATGGGACAAATTACTAATAACAAAAGAAATTCCATGAGTTATTGTTTTCACTACTCAAGTGCTGACATAAGCATGTCACACAATGACTTCACTGTTTTTTGTTTGTTTTTTTCTGTGAATTTATTCATCCCACATCTGGTTTTTGATGTTTCACAGAGGAAACTTTTTTTTTTTTTGAGAATTATATAAAATATATGAAAACACAGGAGGAAGAGTTAACCCTTATATTCATAAAACCGTATCTCTGTGGTTCGATATTTAAAAGATAAAAAAAAGAATTTTAAATGTTAAGGCTTTATTTCAAAGGCTTTGCAGCGATACTAGAGATAAAATACTTAGTTGGTAGTTAGATGAGTTTTACATCGCTTTATATGTTGTCAACAGCGGAGATATTTTTGAATAAATATTGTTAGACATACAGCATATGACCTTTAGTACATGTAATTAAATCCTTTTAAAGCTACAGTGTGTAATAATTACAGGGATATACAGTCAGAAATGTAATATATTATACATAACTATATTATTTATCATCATCTACGAGCTCAGCCTCTTAACCTTAATATTTGCGTTGCCTTAGAATTCGTTATTTATAATTACATAGGAGCGGGTCTCGCAGCCATGGAGGCAGACATCTTTGCGCTACGGCAGCGCAGAGCCAACAAACTTGCGATTGCGAGAGCACCAAAACCTCACAACGATGTAGAAAAAATAACTGGTATATTTATTATCTTAAGTCTACATCTATACCCTACACAGACTAATGAAATACTATCTGTAAAATTATCTATGTAAACAAACCTCATCACTTGAGAAGGTAGGTGATGCGGACGTCGTGGAAGACATTTTGTCCCGTAACGCTCGCTGTACTGTTGGGGGGGAGAAGCGGTGGGGGGGAGATGTTCATGTTGCTGCAGTCTGCAGTCTGACCGCTAGATGTCGCTAAAAGTTACACACTGTAGCTTTAAGCAGAGTGTAGTTCTACTCAGAGACGTTTTCCTGCCAGTTTGGTCTTGGTTAACTCATGCTTGCTGCCCTGTTTGTTGATGGTCCTTTTGTTTCTTCACTGTGTGTACATTCGGGATGCACATCCCCATAAGCTTGCAATCTGTTTGGACTGGAGCCTCATGTTTCAGCTCTGTGTAGATCTGAGATGTTTGTGTTTACAGAAATTCATTGAGTTTGTTATTGTGCTCCTACAGGACTCCAGTAAAAGCCCACGACCAATGAAAAAGTTCCTGCCCGGCAACAGGAAGAAAGAACGCAAGCCCTCTGATGACGAGTTTCAGATAAGGAAAAGTAAGAGTTTCACTCTAATGGATGTTATTCTACCAGTTCAACCCGAACAGGAACCTTTCTTCAACTAAATTTCCAAATATAACGTTCTTTAACTAAAGAGGCCCTTTATTTTATTTATGAAAAGTCTTTAAAAACGTAATGACCGTAATGTCATACATCAGTTTTATCAACGTACTATGTGCAGCATTTGCAACATGGGCTTATATTTACTTCCAGCTTTCTCCTGTTCTCTGTGCTTCATTAATTGAATTTTAGAATATCTCAATTCTCTAAGACACTGCTGTGATTTACAGATTTCCATGTTTTAGTGGTAAAAAAATTTAAATTATCCATGAATTCTTATAGAATATTTCCACATTAAGGCAACGTCTTTAATTGCAGACACTTTTAAAGAACTATTAGGTTGTTATACCTCCTGATCCTGATTAGAAATCCTCAATTACATAGATTTAAACATCGTTGCTGTCATCTAAGCTTTACTCTTTCTATATTAGTTTTATAGAGCAAAGTAGAAGCAGTGTTTGAATAACCTTGTTGTATAATTATTTATGGAGGACCTAGAGAGGCACTGAAAAATAAAACCAGCCATTTAAATCCTGCATTTTCAAAAGCATTTTCTAACTGCACATTTTAAAGTGAATTATCAAAGAGGAATAGTAAATTATATGTTTTGATCCATTATTAAGTAGTGCAGCTTGAAAATGTATTTTCAAACTCTATTCCTAAATGGAGATTTAAAAATTAAAATTCATAAATCTGGTTATAAATACCTTTCCTAATCACACATTTAAAAATATCAATGATTTTTCCGTCTTCTTTGTCAACCGACATTTTCAAATCCTTCCTTAAATTGTTAAAAGAATCAAAGTTGTTCCTGAGATGTAACCAGCTCACTCTTTGGTCATTTTTTTATACCAAACATGGCGGTGGACCAGAAGGGTCACAGAAAAGGTCAATTGGAGCAGGTAAAGAAAAACAAAATACAATTTCAGTAAGGATGAAAATGCAAGTTGAAAAATAAAATAGAAATTGATAAGGAATTACTTTTTTAAATGTGTTATATGGGATGGTATTTATAATCAGATTTATGAATTTTCTTTTTTAGATTTCCATTTACAAATAGGGTTGAAAATACATTTTCAAATTCCAGTACTTAATGATGGATTAACAAATACAATTTATAATTCTTCTTTAATTGTTCAATTTAAAATATGTAACTAGAAAATACTATTTAATTTGGATTTCAGATTGCATGATTTAAATGTTTTGTTTTCTTTATCAGTGACTCTCTAAGTCCTCCTTACTTCTTAGTCTTTACTTAAAGTTACAAATGTTCAAGATGATGGTTCACTTTTTTTTAAGCAAAGCTGAATTTTTAATTAAAGAAACAACATCTCAGTAGATTGGGATATTTTAAGAGGCTATCTAGATTTTTGAGAGGGAGAACCACAAACTATTGAGATTTATGGTGATAAATTATTTACACCACTATCATAATAAATCACTCCCTAGTTTGTGCAAATCTAAGATCTCAATTGGAGTTTGGCTTTTCATTTAGAAACAGTTATTTAGGTTGGAGAAGGTTGTGGCAAAAAATGGCAATAAGTATTTTTTTGGGGGGAAGAAAAATCCTATTGATCAGTGATGAAATCACCACAGTGCCAAATAACAGCCATTGATTAATAAATGTAAATGCAAATACATAGAGCTGATGTTGTGCTTAAAAGCTAAGCATCATGATTTCAAAACCGGCATTGAGGGACCAGTGATTAGAAAGCATTTTATTAGATAAGAGGCTGATATAAACTAGTCCTGAAACAATTCATTGGATTAATCGTGATTAATCAATTATTGAAATAATCGTCAACTGATTTAGTATTCAACTAGTCGTTAAATGGAGAGTAGAGACTCTAAAATGTGTCTTTAGCTGACAGAGCGTCTCACCAATTAAACCAAAATTGTACAAAAAATATGTAAACATTTAGCATTAAGATAAAAATCTTTTTCGTCTGTCAATCTGGTCTATTCAGAACATCTCAAGTGGAAAAGTTTAAGTTTATCTTGTTTGATATTTGTAAAATGTCTTCTTTAAGAACCTTTGGCTATCCGATTATTAATCGGCTAATCAAAAAAATAATCGACAGATTAATCGATTTGCAAAATAATCGTTAGTTGCGGCCCGAATAAAAACCACCATGCTATGATTTTATGTTTGATATAGATTTTGGGCTGGACAATCTCAATAAAAAAAAAAAAAAAAAAAAAATATTTTCAAATCGCTTGGGCAGATGATTTTTGGTGACATCACATTTAACTTTCTCACAAAAATATTTTGATTTTTGGGGAACACTGCACAGCCTTAATATATGTAATAACATTTTTAAATCAATTAAAATTTTTATGCATCTTTCCGTTGGTTGAAAACATGTTGATCATGATGTTTGATTGTCTAAACAGCACAAACACAATTTATACATGCTAAGGTAGCATTTATAGTTTGTTCATACTGTAGATGAGGGAAATGCACCTTGCTTGTTTTATTGCAAACAAAACAAAAGGTATAGTGCCATTCTTTGAATTAAAACCCATAGGCTCCTTGATAGGCACAGCTGCCCTGGAGGAGGACGCTCAGATACTTCGGGTGATTGAGGCTTATTGCACAGGAGCCAGCCTTCATCAGACCACCACAGGTGTGTGGATTACACAGAGATAAATCAAAATGTTTTATATTAAGCAAAAGCTCACCTGTTTTTCCGTGTATACGTGTGCAGCTGTGCGGAAAGAGTGTATCCCCCAGGTCCTACTTCCTGAAGAAGAGAAGATCATTGTGGAAGAAATTAAAAGCAACGGACAGACGGTGACAGAGGAAAAGTATGTCGTTGCTTTCATCAATGAAAGCCTATCCTATTTTAGCATTTTCTTACAATAAAAGAAGCAGACTGCAGAACTCTATAAATTACTGCTTGCATTTTGTTATACAATATCAATCTTTTCATATTTGAACTTGCAGGAGCCTGGTTGATGCAGTTTATGCTTTAAAGGATGAGGTTCATGAGTTGAAAAAGGTAAGCTGGAAGCATTGGTATAACAACCTGAATCAGCAATTAAGCAGTGGTTGCAAACTTTTCTTAACCTATTTAAAGGTATAGTGAGGGATGTACTTTTTCTGGGTGGATCATCTCAATAAGTGGTCCTTCTAATTTTCAATCATCCTGGTGATATGTTTATGTAAGGCCGTCCTATGTGCTCGTCCCCAGTTAGCTATCTTTTTTGCACATGCACACTTTCAGGCTTACATGTGTGGTGAGCGTCATTGAAGTTTAACTCATTGAAGTTCAACTTTCTCTCTTGTGAGGCCGAGAAACAAGACCAGTTTTTTTTGGGAGATTCTTTCACATGATGGCGTACACTGAAATCGCAGGTGGGGGTTTCCATTGATGCCTCGGTTGCGAAGTTTCTACTCGACAAAAGTTTTGCACACGATTCGGAAAAATCCACTTCACATCACTGCTAGTAATAGTTATCTACCTCGATATTGTAACTTTCAGGGAAGATGCGTTTATTTATTTTGTAATTTGCATCGTTAGTAGTTATACAGTTGCCATAGATCCTTATTTACCCTGCAAACATGTCCACATTTCCACTGCAGCTCACACACATACAAGCATGTCATGATTTTTTTTAATGTACCGTATTTTCACGACCATAAGGCGCACTGTACTAAAAGGCACAGTCTCAGTTATGTGTGCCATTACTGTATTTAACACACACATAAGGCGCACCAGATTATAGGGCGCAGGTTTTTAAATACCTCTACTGCGTATTTAAAAATAGAGCGGGAGCAAAACTGAGTATGATTGTGCTTTATTCATGTATTTATTACAAAGTATTAATTGAACCCATCAAAGTCATCATCCTCTGTTTCTGAATTTAACAGCTGCGCTAAATCAGACATGCCAATTTCCCCTTCGCTGTCAGAGTCACTTTCCGTGCCGTGCGGCTCCTCGGAAATAATGCCGGCTTTTGCGAAAGCTCGAACAACAGAGCCAGCAGACACGTTAGTCCAAGCATCTACAATCCATCCGCAAACGGTGGCGTAACTTGCCCGGCGCTGCCTTCCACTTTTCGTGAAACTGTGGTCTCCGTCTTTCATCCATCGCTTCCATGCCGCTCGCAGCCTTACTTTGAACGGCCGGTTCACACCGATGTCGAGCGGTTGAAGTTCCTTTGTCAGTTCTCCCGGAATAACAGCAAGCACAGCGTTCATTTGTTTCACCTTGTTTTTCACATCAGCTGTGAGATGGGCACGCATGGAGTCACAGATTAACAGCGATGGTGATGCGTGGAAAAAACCACGTGGTCTCCTTACATACACCTCCCTCAGCCACTCTTTCATCATCTCCTCATCCATCCAGCCCTTTTCATTTGCCTTAATAACGACTCCAGCTGGAAGAGTCTTTCTCTTAAAAATCACCATAGGCGGCAGTTTCTGTCCATTTGCGTGGCAGCCAAGCACAACACAAAAAAAAGACGTTTATATGCGCCTTCTAGTCGCAAAAATACGGTACCAGTAGTCTTATTTGCGGGGAAACCTTTTATATATAAATATGGGTGAGATGAGCAATGTTGAATTCCACTTGTTAAGAAACTCTTTTTTTTTCCCCCCAGTTCTGGTGGGCAAATGAAGATAATTATCTTCAGTGTCTTTGTTTTTGTCCTAAAGAGAATTCTACCATTTTGTGCACTATTGATCCATCCGAGCTAGAGTCTTATCATTGTGTCTCCTCACCTCCTCGATGAGAAATGGATTTTTAATAGGTGTTTCCCCTCAGGAACGGGTACAGGGTTGTGCATGTGCATTGTTTTTTTAAAGTGGAAAGGGCGGGTCTTTTCAAGAATTTGCAAAAATCCTCCACTATACCTTTAACAGTTAAAGTGCGTCTGAAGTAAATTACATATTGCAAAAAATGTAGATATATAAATTAAAATCTCCTTTAAACGAAAAAACTACCGCCTTTAATGTGTAATTACTTAATGATTAACTGTTTAAGGATTCAGTATCATAACTTTTTTTTGTCAATTTTTATCCTGCCCCCCTGCAGTTAGCATTGCCCCATTCTGACTAAGCTATTAGTTGACAGGTTAGATGCTTACTGATGTAAATTCTCAGCAGAATCCATTGGATAACATGTGACCCATTGCTCAGAAAGTTGAGTTAGACGTGAGAAGTACGTAACGGCGAGGCTTAGATTGGAGTTCTTCATTGATTCCATCATCATAGGAATCTTTTTTTCCAAAGCCAATGGGTTCCTTTCCAAGTCGCCTGTTTTCATCAGTTGAAATGCCTCTTCTTGTAAAATGTTTTTAGTATCCCATCGTTCCTACTTGTTGATATTTCAAAAGAAGGAAATAGGAAACATAGTGAGATCGTCTCTCCATCATTTTGACTTAAGATCAGCTTTTACCACCAGCTTCTTGGTAGAGGAGCTAATGTTTTGACAGTCCAAACAGCTGGTGGTTAGAGTCAGATCTGACTTTGATCTCTAAATTGATCATGAAACAGCTCTGTGGAAACCCCCCTCTGTGAAGACAACAGGATGTTGGTCTAACACATTCCTGTCTGATCTGTGCTGCTTAGACTATTCTTTAATATTTCAATGTCCAGTTGTCTCCTCAGATGTGCTCTTAAACGCAGCACAGGCAGACCCGACAACCCCAAAAGGCAAAGACGGGGCCCTTTGCCCTTTGGGGTCGTCAGACCCTACTCCACTGCCGTGCCTTAGGTTGATTCTTTCTGATCTGTCATGACAGTTAGATTGGATTTAGTTGGTTGAAAAATACATGCCACACTTTTTGATTTCCAATAAAATCTTAAACATGTATCATCTTCCTTCCACTGCACACGTGTGCAGCAGCACTTTGTGTTGATGTCATATAAAGCTCATTGACATGACTTCATGATTTTATTATAAAGTTTAAAAATGGAAACGCGTCATAGAGGGTATCTATAGGACACTGTAATTGATGAATGGAATAATTGCAATTTCTCTAAGCAGTAGAAAACCATTAGTGACCCCGTTCTTCTGATCCTTCATGTTTTACAGGAGAATAAGTGGATGAAGCAGTTTCTGGAGGAGGAGCAGAAGTCTCGTAAAGAGCTGGAAAAGTTAGTGAGAAAGCTGAGTAAGCAGAAGAACGACTGTGGCTGGGAGGACAGCAACCATTGAAACAGCCAACCGTCCTCACACCACAGCTCCTTGTTCACAGGAGTAGACTTTTTGCGTGTTTATTTTTGTATGCCTGTCTTCCGTCTTCACATTTCAGTCAAAGTAAGTCAGACATTACAGACGATACTTCGAGTTTCTTTCGCCTCCATCCTGATGCACCGTTTGACAATGTGATGGAATCCGATCCGTCTTCCTGATCCAGCTGTATCAGCCTTGTTGCTCCTGCACAGCTCGGCTAATCCTCCGTGTTTCAAGCAATCTTCAGCATATGGACTGCAGGATCCATCCAGCTCATGGAGCGATTTCGGAAGAAGAGAGAAAAAAAAGGAAATCTTTTGCTGTCTTTGAAATAGAAAAGGAGTAAAAAGCCATCGAGTCGCCCCACTGACAACGTTCTCCTCTAATCATGACTTTGTCACTGTTATATTTTATCACCATAGGGCTTCCTTGTTAAGAAGTATCGACAAGTTTTTCATGAAAATACAGGATTTTTAACATAGCAAAGATTCACGTAGTTTATGTCTATGGGATTTATACAAAGATTTTAATAAAAGCCAGACTCATTTAAGCCTCCAAACGCAGCTATATGCTGTTTATTTAAAAAGTGCATGGATGTACAGTTTTTCTACATTATGAATTCTGCATCAGAAATGCGATAATCGCTATATACTCAGACATATATATATATAATCCAAAGCATTGCATCTGCATAATAAAATAGGAAAGACTTAACTGTACCATCTGTTATTATTACAATTGACAAAGAGGTAACCCCTCATTAAAGCATAAAGAAGAATCGTTTTAACATTAAATACATAACCTTTCTTTGTTTGAGGTTTTTAAATATACTCTATATTTATTGCTAACCCAAGAATTTAAAATATGATAGAAGCCTTATTTTTTACAAAGAAAGCCCTGACGTGTTTGTGTTGCTAAAGAGGAAATAGCAAATAAGTAGTTATGTTTGCATTGAGAATTTAAAAGATTTCTGTCTGGGAACAGAGGAAGTAAACAGATGTTTGTGTGGAATATTGTTAACATTTCCAAGTGCCTCCCGAATGGGTCTGAAAACCAAAAGAGTTGAAGACCGACTGGGACTAAATACATGAAATATATTCAAAGTGTCAAGCTTAGAGTTATAATGTTGTGTATGTTGGGTTTAAAAAAAAAAACAACAAAAAAACAGCGCTTATCTTTCTATTTAAGGTCGTGGCCTCTTTCTGAGGACGGGCCGCGGTACATTTCCTCATGGGGGGACGAGCGTGTGAACTGGCTACACAGTTCTGTGGTGTCGCTGTGCTGCACAGAACTGAGTGAATGTAACTATAATGCAAAAAGTGACTGCTTTACCGAGAGACGTCTGCATTAAAACCAGCAGTGATCGTTCAGATTCAAAACAACCCGCAACACTGAGGACTGAATTCATTTACTACCCAACCCCCAAAATAACGCTCCAGGCCACCATTACTGTTTGGTATTTTATTTAGCTTTATTCAATTGATTGTCTTGGCAAAAAAAAAAAAAAAAGAAAAAGCTGAGGTTAATATTTGTTCTCATGCAAATAATCAAAACTGTTGAATTTGTCTGCTGCTGCGTGGGAGGTGGCGGTTTTTGTTCTTTTTTTTGTTGTTTTAGTTTTCTTTTTTGTTGTTGCATACACCTCATTACAGAAACTTTGCAGCACTTTGTAGCGTTTGTCAGTTTGACGCTCTCTGGTCTGCAGAGGTGTAAATTTGAAGCTGAAGAACATCTGAGCTCACCAGCTAGATCTTTAACTGTGGGACACTTTCATCGGTGACGTTGCAGTGATGCACCCCCACCCCTCTCTAAATAAAAACAGTTATTAAAAAAAGCTGACTGTTTCCATTAAGCACCACACACTGTAATTCAAATTTCTCAATAGCTTCTGTAAGCACTTAAAGGTGTATTTCCACACCGCTGATTTTTTTTTTTTTTTTTTTTTTTTTAAAGCTATTTCTATGCAAAGATTGTTGCAAGTATTTTATCCTTTTATTTTCTCAACATTCTGTACTGTATGTTTGGTTTGATTGTTCTTTTAATAAAAGTTTAATATAACAAGTGGAGTTTGGATTGAAAGTCAGTTTAAACCATGAATAAGTAATGGAAATCCATAACTGGTAGGCAGGTATGTGCAAGGCAGGAATTTGTAGGTTGTTCAGCCTTGCTATCAAGAAACCCTTTACACGATGGAAGGAGTGACTAGAGATGCAACAGATACTGTAAGAGTGGGTTTCCTCTGCACCTGCACGCCTCTATGGAGATTCACACTTTCCGAGCCGTGGTAATCCATTTAAAAAGCACGTTTTACGTGCCAACTTTGACCCACAGTTTAGAGTGTTTCGCTCACTATATAAATTAATCATTCAGTACTGCTTTTAATTTTAAACCTTGTTTTACTCCCTACCTTGGCTTCCTACTTGGAGGAAATGCTTTAATTAGCAGATTACTCATTATTTAACATGACGAAACAATGTGAAACTAATTTTAAACACCTAAAGCCTCTTAAAAAAACTGGTATGAGTTAAAAGGCTATTGCTTATCCTGATTTTATTATGAAACACACTTTGATACACCTTTACAAAATAAAGAATAATAACACTGGAAAAACTATTGAAATATGAATAACTGATTTTTTCTTCAGTTTAGGAGAAAAGTGAGACACTTTTCCAATGGAACAAGAAAATTTGCATTTAAATAAGGTAAAAACAATTGCTTTGTCTTATTTCAAGTGCATTTTATCTATCTTATTTTAAGAGTAAAAATACTCATTCCATTGGCAGATCATCTTTTTTACCTACTCAAATTAAGGGTATATACACTTAATTTAAGAAATGCTGACATATTTCTAGTTCGGTTTTACAGTGAAATAAGACATTCTGAGCCTGGGCATTCTAACATGATCGTAATGACTCTCTATATAAATGTTTATAATTGTTTTTTAACACATGGAATAAATGTTTTATTAATCTCAAGCGTTTTAAAGGATCTCTGTGCAGCATGGAATTATCCTGCTGGGATATGCTTGCCCAAATTCCTGTAATTGCAGTGAATACAGTCCCTTTGCTTGCTCTGTCCGTTTTTGCAGATCTGTAGGAAACATGATTGAAGCACCACTGACATAACTTTCAAAGCTAAAGAAAAATGCTCAAGTTCCTTCCAACGCCGTGCCTTGCTGCTCTAAAAGTCATGTCAACCAAAATGGAGCACTGGGGATATATGAAAATCTGAAGGAGGAATTAAAACATTTGAGGGCAATGATGCGGTATTACAGACAAGACAAGGGTCTCTAAAGTTTCCTGGATCTGCTTCAGAGCTGCTCCTTGAACAGATGTCTGAATAGTCTCAGAAGCTTTTCACATCATCTCCATGAACTGCTGCCATCCAGCAAACCCTTCAGCAGGAAAAACTACCAGGCTGTTTTTTATGTTTTTCCCACGTGGTTCTTCTCTGTTTTAGAAAGTCAAAGAATAAATTTGTAAACCTAAATGAAGTTGCCAATTAATGGGAAAATATTACCCAATGACAAACAAAGATGGCCTCATTAGATTTCTAGAGATGCTTTCCATCTTTAGGGCATTTTTGGTTTTTGTTGGCTGCCCTAGAAAATCAAAACCACAGTGGTTCATTCTGAGCAAGAGGAAGCAGTTTATCTGCTTTGTGTCATTAAAAAGTGTTGGTTTTTTTCACTCTCAAATGCTCAGTTTTCTTCTGAAGAAATATTCTACCAGAGCCCGCTGTAACTGCAATCCTAAATTTAAACCGCAAGGATGTTGATTCTTGAAATGGACAAAAAAAAAAAAAGCCAAACAGATTATTTTAGATTGTATACAAAAATATTTTAAATATAATTCATCTTACATTAATAAATATAAAGTAATCATTGACAAAACAAATAAGGACACAATATATTTAATAAATTATAGTTTGTAAATGTGTCTATGTCACAAAAAAGGTTCGTTGATCCACTCCTTTGAGTATTCTTAGTATCTATATCCCATCCATAGTCGCAGATCCCTCTTTTGGAGTCCTGGTGCATTGTGGGTCCTACACCTTATACATCCCAAAGCTTATTGCAGAGATATCATAGTCCACAAGTGAGCGGTCCTCCACCCAGATGCTGAGCTGGTTTCCTCTTTCCAGCTCAATCATGTCCTGCTGTGTGGCTGTGCACATATGAGGGTTGGACCCAGATTTCATATCGTTGTTCAGGCTGCAGTAGGCGATCATCACTGATTTCTCCTCTTCCTTCTCGCTCTTCCTCAGCTTGACCAAGCTGACCAGCGGGGTGATGGAGCTTCCCTTGGAGAATGTCACCTTGGAGTAGACAAAGTAGATGCCAGGCTCAAGGATAGTCAGCCAGCTGTTGTGGAAGTAGTTGATGTTCTTAAAAACTGAGTGCTGCATGTCCCACTCGATATAACCAGCTAGAAAGAAAAAGTTAAAAGATTCAAGCAAACGTTGAAATATACTCTTAGAATGGAAGTTTAATAAGAAATGTGAATTTTCTTACATCGATCCCCGTATAGAGTGGATGAATTCTTCACTACCATGGATGCTAGGGCTCTGTAGGTTGTTTCCTGTTTTCCAATGGGGGGAGCACCAACTGGAAAAGGGAAAAAAAAACAAATGCATGTCAAGTTTCTTTATCTGTCTTTTCTCTCTAGAGAAACAAATACAGCTCTAATCAGTAAAATCAATGTACCTCTTCTTTGTGGCGAGGAGTAGGTTGCCTGAAAGAACAAGAAAAAAAGATATATATCAAAAGAGCAACAGACAAAAACAATTCCCCCCATGCTGTATTAGATCTACTTTTACAGAACGCTGAAGAAGGGGGGAAGAATACAAATGCATGAGGTGTGATGTTTGTGTCATATTTAGAGGAGGATTTCCTGTGCATTTAACACAAAATTGTACATGAGAGCAAACGCTTGAATCCGTATCAGTACCTGCCTCATATGTTATTGGCTTCTGATTGTTATTTAAAAAAGGAGATTTAAACATGGTGCTCAGCTAAAGACTAGTATAAAAGTAATTTTTTTCTGTATTGAATAAAAAAAAAACAAGAACAAATGTGCTACTTACTTGTGAAATTTGTCTTTCATTGTAGTAAAGATAAAAAAATCCTACAACAGATAGGAACAATTGCAGCACCACCACACAAACCAAAAAGCGCAGAAGACTTTTGCTTTGGCCTGGTGAAGGAAGAGGAGCTGGGATGAGGACCGGCTGAGATCTGCCAAGGCGAGGAGGCACCGGTGGAGGCGCCTGAGGCAGCGCCACGCTGGTCTGGTAGGTGTTGATCATGATGGAGGGGAACGGCAAAACCCAGAGAGGCCTGTCGCCCCTGACATCCCATGCGCTTCTGAGCAGATGCTCCCTGAAGCAGATGAGTTTTACTGCATGTACTTCCTGGAAGCTTTGAGCCCTTCAGATGTGTGAGAGATATGACCTTTGGTTAAGAGTGTGTTGTGTGAAATACATCATATGCAGTCTTGTTTCCTGCATGTCACTTCCATGTATTGCAGAGTTAGTTTGTATTACTCAGGAAAACCAGCACTCAAAAAAAAAAAAAACTATTTTTAGGTTATTGTAAAATGTTGCTCAGCAGAGAGCTTCCTCAATGGGTCAATTTTAAAACAGGTCTTCATAAAGATATGTTATTTAGGTTTTTGTTTTTTTACCAGTGAGCTTTTATGATCACCACAGCAGCAATTTTCACATTAATCATCTAACTATATTTGAAAGGAGTAGAAAAATCTGCAACGTTGGTTTCTGCAATATGTTGCACACTGGTGTGCATCGGTGCACATTTTCATGCCATTTAGAATTTTGTACAACTGGAAGTACATTTATATACAGGCAGGGGTTTTTTTCAGTTTGAAGTTATTCTGTAAATCTTTTTTTTTTTTTTTTTTTTTTTGGTAAGAAGTGAAGAAAAAACTCATTCTATAATATATTATCAAAATCTTTTGATAAATAATCAAAGGTAAATGGCAGCCCCTACCCAGTGACTGCTGGAATCCGGTCAGCCTATACTGCAACTCTAAACAGGATGTAGAAGTCATAGATAATTTTATAATCAACTGGATTTTGTGTCTTTTTTTCCCCCAAGACGTCCAGCAAATCATTCTTTAAGTTTTTATATATCAAAATTCCTTATTGATGGAGTTAGCCATCTGAAACTCCATGGTTAGGAAACACTGCAGATCCTCCGTTCTTGTTGTTTAGGACCGGTGAGGACCCCACACACTGTGATTAATCTTCAGATTTATGAAACAAAGCTGCTGGTTTAGCTTCCCATACATAACAGGCTGTGTATGGGAATCACTACTTCACCACAGTATATTGGTTGTGGTAGAAACAGTAAGGCTACAGTGAACCATCTGAATGTGAGACAGTTTCACTGTTGCTAATTGGATGTTGCATGCAACAGTAGAGCTGTTATAGTGTGACTTAGACTGACAAGAGTTGATGGTTCTTGGTCTACAATTTTTCTTCATAAACTCGTCCCCATATTGACTAAGTTTTTTTCTTCCCAGGTTTGAAAGAAATTGATATTTTTTTTGTTTTGTTTTTCAAAAGCACCTAAACATTTTGAATATTTAACTTTCTAACATCTTAAATGTAAATTTCTACCCAAAATGATTCTTACACTGACAGAATATGTGATTTGATTGGTTAAAATGCAACCTACTCTTTTTTTTTTCCTTTTATATGCAAATGTAGCATTTTAAAAAAATAAGAACATGTTTATTGCAATAATGTTTATTTTTCTTTTAAGTGGATATAAATTTCTATAAATTTGAATGTGGTTTAACATTTTAAAGTTCATTGAAAAAGAAATAGCCAACGAAGGAAAACATAAGCAATGGCTAAACTGAGAATATCACTTAATCCTAATATAAACCATTATTTTTGCATATGAAGAATAAAAAAACCATAATGCTATCTTTATTTTAGAAAAAAAAAAAAAAAAAAACAAGCTACTGCATTTGCATCTGTGATTGAATCCATTGACCCTGATTGAAAAGAAAAAAAAAGATACCATGAGCAAACATGAGCAATCTGCAACTTTCATTGCATGAGTGCAATACAGTTTTCTGCACTTGTCTGAACACTTAGTGTTTAATTATAGCATCATATCTACCCTTAGAATATAACTTAGTGAAGTGAGAGTGATGGTTTATGTTGACACATTTTATTGTGTATCATAGTTTCCCCCTAGTGGTTAAGAATATTCTCAGTGTCAGTAAAATAACACTGCAGAGTTTGCATTCATTCTGGTATTATAAATTGATTAACAAACTAAATGTTATTGGATCCATTATTAGGCTTAAGCACCAAATGTTTAAAATTTGATAAACTTGAGATGTTTGTAACCCAGAAAAATTATAAATTGGCTTTTGGTCATTTGACAAAAATCAACAGTGTTTTGTTTTTTTTATCAGGAATCATAATGTGTTAACACTTTCTTTATTTGTAACAATGTGTTCACACACACCTGCAGTGTGACAAATACAATTTAACGGAGAAACTCAAATGTAACAGGAAGAGAGGCTGCAAATACATATGATCCCTTTGGTTTCTTGTGCAACCTTCTTATGCGGCAATATTGCACCTGAATGTTTGTAATAATTCTGGAGAAGTCTTTAGTTTTAGAAAACTTCTTGGCAAATAGCTGTTTTCTTCTACAGAATGATTAAAGGATAATATAGGAATTAATAATAATAAAGACTTTAACAAATGGAAACCAGGCAATTGAAAATGTAAGAATGAATGTTTCATGGTGTGTAATGGACAAACAGGATGTTTTTGTCACTGCGGTGGCTGCAGGGAGTAGTTTTTCTGGTGCTGCAGAGGAACTGAGGCTGTGTTGGGCTGGAGGAGGTTTGTTTCCGACCATCAAAGGCATCTGACTTCTGAATTCTTGGAGCTGGCTTTTCCGCTCCTTGAACAGAGTGTGGTTCCCCGCTGCACTTTACAAAGGCCACGAAGCACCTGTAAAACTGTGGGAAATACAAAATCAGCCTGATGAATATCTTGTTAAAAGCACCTAAACAGGGAAAAATACATCAACATGTTAAAAAGGGAAGTTTACAGTCATTTGTTCATTTATAGTTTGGAAAAATAACTGCATAATTTGCCTTTCAAGAGCCTGTTTTAATCGTTGACAGTGGTTTTAATAGATTTTTAGCCTATTTGTAGTTTTTCTTCACCACTTAATATTTAAATTAACCCATTTTCAGTCATCTTTTTATCTTTTCACTGTAGCCAAACTGAAGGACAAAGTGAAGTCAAAAGGCAACACAGTGGAAAAGGGATAAAATTTGATTTAATTTAAATCAGATTTGATTTTCAAGTCCCACAAAACTTTATTCTATCAAACTTCTTGGATAAAAGATAAAGTATAATTTTCATTTCCATGAAACTAAGTTCTTATTTATTATTTTTTAATGGATTCAGACAAATGTGCATCAAAACAAGAGTTAGCTAATTTTAATTTTATGTAACGTCTCAATGGTTGGGTTTCAGAATATTTCAGTATATATAGGATTTATAGATTTAAAAGAAATTCCACAGAGAATGATCAAGAGCTGGACTTTAAAATCGAAAAAACAACTGATGTATCTACAGAAAATCTATGAAAACCTTTAAGAAAGACTTGAGAAGTCTTGATAACACTTAAAAGACGAAGAAAAGGGGAATGAAAGAGAACTAATCATATCCTAGCAGCCTTCTTGAGAAGTCTCCTTTGTTAAAAAACTGTTTTAGTTTTATTTGGTATTGCTCATTCAATGATGGGAGCAGATTTAAACATTCAAAATTATCTAATATATATTCTGACACTTTTGACAAATTAAACCAGGGATCTTATATATTTTATAACTTCCCTAACAAAGTTTTCCCCTCACATTTTGTCATTTTGCAGACAAAAACCTTGATTAAATCAATTGAGACAAATGAAAAATTCAGAATCTGGGTCACATTTTATTATTCCTTCATTATACATACATACATATATATAGAAAGGGATAAGGCTTTGTGTTCAGAGTCCTTAACCCTCATAGCCTTATTGTTATAGTGCTAACAATAGCCTTCAGACATCATCCTATGTGTAAACAAAATATTATTGAACAAGCAGCACTATGAATACCAAAGAACAAGGGCAAAGGGGTCATGGACAAAGTCCATGAGATCTATAATGCAGGTTTAGGTTCAACTGAGTGGCTCTGAATAATTTTGGATAAAAACCAATGAAGAACAAAGTAGTACTCTTAAAAACTGCTTATGATAATAACAGTTTTTTTTCCTTTTTTTTTTTAAAGAAAAGCTGTATAAAATATATTCCCACAACAGAATGATACTGAAATCATAGGTAATACATCTTTTAAGAACTTTATTTTTCTCGTCATGCACTTTTTTTGTTACCTTTTCCCACATGCAAAGTGTATCCATCCTCTTTTTATTTGCTTTCCTTAGTCTAAAACCTAAAAATACCATAAATGATGGAACTAACCGAAGTTTGTGCTTTTAAAATGACATGTGAAAAAGTTCAAGCACTATTCGTCATCAAGTTTTTCTTGGAAAGCTGTTTTCTGTTATCTGTCATTGTTTTAAAGATTCTCCTATTTAGAGAAAACCCTTATAATGATTGTCCCTGAGCTCTTACCTGGTTATTGAAGAATACATAGATAATCGGATTGACCACCGTGCTAAACTTGGCAAGGATGGAGGGCACCACACTGGCCAGGGGAGTGATGAGCCCAGTCCTACCAAAGGTGGCCATCAGCGCTGTGATGCCATAGGGCATCCAGCACAGCATGTAGCAGGACACCATGGACAACACCATGAGCAGAATGTGTTGCTCTCTACGCTGAGCCGCCAGTAGATTAACCTTACCGACCTGGAGCCAGGAAAAAGAGAAAAAGACTAATCAAGCGATATAGAGTTCAACTTTAAGACTTTTTTTGCCATTAGTTTTGCATAATTTGACAGATTTAAAACTTCCTGTTTGTATAGTTTGTTGATTTAGTGCCATCCAGTGGTAATGAAAAGAATAACACAAAGATAATGAATCTGTAATCCTATTCTTTAATTGTCACTTTGGATCCCTGCAGAATGGAAGGGAGCTCTATGGCGCATATAAAATTAAAAATCCTTTGCTTTCCAGTTGTTATTTAAAACTAAACACTAAGCTTTTAATTGGCTGCAGCATCCAGCTGTATCTTTTCATTTCTTTTAGATAAGTAATGCTCATGCTCCAAATGGCAGGAAGTATAGATCTATTTACATTGTGAAATTGTTATGCAATTTGGGGAATACTACATAAAAAATAGATAAAAGTTGCAGCTTTACTAAGCCTCCTCCTTCAAGGGTATTTTGGAAAATAGGCCATCCTTTTAAAATTGAGCTGAAATTATCTGTCTTAAAAAAGAAATTTGTAATGTGAATATAATATTTAGCTGCTTAAATAAAGGTTACATGCATTCAAATTGATTTTGTTCTCATTCAGCAGTCGGTTGGCAGAGAAGGGACCTGAAATCAGACAAAGGAAATCCCCCACCACCTGCTTCTGCCGTTGCTTGTACAGATTTAACACCAAGATTAATGAAAGCAGTTAAAGTAGATTTTAAGAAATTACTTCAATGAATTAAACATTTTTTCAATTAAAAAGTACTTTAATATGGATACATTACAAAGTGTTATGTATTTTTGTAAGCTGGTGTAAGCGCTATAGCTTTTATTTACTCTATGAAGTACGGTAATCTCATCTATGTTGGCACATTTAATCCACAACAATCTAGGCTTTGAATGTTGAATCTTTGCATGAATGTTCCTGCAGTTTCTGGAGTTTATTATTTTTTTTCCCCTTTAGGTTTGGTATACCGCACTGAGCTGTTAAATCAAGCCGAGGACATGCAGATTTGTTACACTGACCCTTACTATCAAACACTTTCATTTTAAAGGATTGAGCTTTGCAGAGGAATTTGTACAGGTTCTTAATACCGGTAGATGATTTTTTTAAATTAGAAGATAAAATATAGAAACTTTGCAAGCTGAACCAATGAATTTAAAGTTGATTTCTTATTATAGTTGTTAATAATTTTGATACTTCAGAAAACAGGAGACATTTAATATTTGTAAACAACCATATCTAGTAGTGTTGTCCATCTAAAATGTGTGCTGTTTTACTGCAACTGAAGACAAGATAATCTAAATAAAAATAAAATCTAATATCTTCTAAACAGATTTATATAAACTTCTTTCTTTCTTTCTGCTGCAAGAGCACATTATCCAACAGGCATATTTTTAGGCACAATCTAAAACATCCCCTTGCAAACAGCCCTAAGAAAAGCCCCTGACTTGCTTTGGAGCTGATAATCTAATGATGTCTGCTGGACCCTTTTAACGCTCCGACTCCCCTGCAAAGACAGATTCTAGAAAAAAGAAACATGCTTGTATAATATTGGGTATCCAATGGTAACAGGTAGCTCACTGGGTCTAAAAATACCATCTGGGTGATTCATTCATAACAGTAGTGGTAGCAAAGAGCAACTTAGAGCCCTTAATTACCAATTATGGAAATGATTGACATGTTTATATTAAACTCAATAAAGGCAGCTACCATTTACCTGAAACTAACAAGGAATCATTGCAGAGTGCAAGGTCGCTTTCCCTAAATAAAATCTTGCCTCTTTCCTTCTCCTGCTGTATGAATTGATTTACAGATTCTAAACACACACCAGTGGCCTCTTCAGTGCTTTTGCCTTGATGAAGGAAACTTCAGACAGACACCACCTAAACTCAGACACACACGTTTCTGTTTATTACAAGTAAGTAGGAAGAAAAAAACTTTAGCTACAAGGGTGGATAACAACAATGGAAGCTTTTGTGGGAAATATTCCCTTGAAAATTACAGCTTTTGTTTGAGCTATGTATGGTTTCAGTGAACTGAAAATTTACATTTTATTCAGTTCTGATTGCTTAAGTCTTTAGGTATTGATATGATGTGCATGATTATGCGATACAATTGAGCTGCTCAGAGATACAGCAATGGTGTAATTCTGAAAAATCTGCTCAGAAGGTTTGCTTTTCCTTTAAGGTGAAGAAGCAGCTTTTTACTGCGACATTTATATTATTTTCATTATAGATCATGGAGACTTATTTAGTGGCCATTAATTGTGGGCAGTCTAAGGCACACATGTGCACTTATCATGACATCTAATCAGCATCATGATATGGCACACCTGTGAGGTGGGATAGGTTATCTCAGCAAAGGTGAAGTGCTCACTATCACAGATTTAAACTGGTTTGTGAACAATATTTATTGTGTATGTGGAAAAAGTTGTACATCTTTGTGTTCATATCAGAAAAAATGGGAGCAAAGCAGATTTGTTGCATTTATATTTTTGTTGAGTGTAGTTTGATGGTTGATTATATAAAATATCAAGAAGGCTATCTCCATAATTATTCATTTGTTATGGAAAAACAAAACACACTACATGATGTGCAAGAAATTAATGCTCTAGATTTTATAGGATTGGCCAAAGCAACCTTAAAATAAATGGTCAAAAACCATTGAGAGAAAAAAGAATTCCTCATGGTTCCACATTCCAAATTTTTTACTTACAAAAACTGGGAGGAATATAATTTTTATTGGTTTGTGATTCTGAGATTATTAAAGCACTACGTTTATCTAAATACCACAAACAAATGCTGCAGTTTTCAAAGTTAATTATTTAACCATATCCTTTTATCCCATAATTTCACCCTATAGAATAACAGAACAACTGTAAATTGTTCTGTTAATATTGTATGTATTGTTTGTAAATACTGTATGAAAAGCATTTTCATAAAGTCTTAGTTGGATAAAATATATTTGTAAATGATTTATTGGACAAAAACAACACTGTTTGGACACACTGAGCCTGGTTCTGCTGGAGGTTTCTTCCTGTTAAAGGGGTTTTTTTCCTCTCCACTGTCGCTACAAGCATGCTTAGTGTGCGGGATTGCCTTCAAGAGTCGATAAAATAAAGTTGTTTTCCTTAGATAGAAAACTTTGAGTCAATTTGACTGTATGATCTGGTGAACTGTAACATGCCTTGAGATGACGTGTTGTGAATTGGCGCTATATATATAAACAGAATTGAAATGGCTAATTATTAACTGTCTCTTTAAATCACATTTTGAAAAAATTTAACTGTAATTCTATTCCGTATTCATTGATAAATTTGATTAAGAAAAATACACTTTTGTATTCTCGAGTAACGGTTGCACTACCCAAGTTGATGGTTAATATTGTAATCTATTGGATGACAGGTGTAATAACAACACTACCTTTGAAGGACTGAGACATTATCAACCGTGATTATAAAAGACATTCCTTTAAGACATTGCATAGTTCTAAAAACAATCTATTAATGGTTAAAGCTCACTGTTATTTTTTAGAGGGCCAATTTTTTCAGAGGTAATAGAGACTAACTGTTAACCCATGTATAATTTGTAATCAATGAACGTTTGTATGGCATTTTTCTTCAATAACAACAATAACAAAAAAGGATCTGCAAATGTGCAGAATGCTTTACGGTATACGTCACTTTCCCTTTTCCCCATTAGTTATAAAGACTGAACTCTATTTGACTAAGTTTCCCTGAGACACTGTGGCTGTGTTCAAACACAGGCACTAACCCTTGTATGAAGCACTATATATGCCATTTTATATGAGTGTCTGAACATCTAGTGGATAACTCAAATTTCTAAAATGCACCTTGAAAAGTAGGTGGATCTGTCCAAACTGTTAGTTAACAGTGTTCACTATAAAATTCCCTATATAGTCCCTGCTCTATATAGTGATTTAGTGTTGTAGAGGTTAGGGCAGATGTTAAAACGCTACGGTCTTTACAATGGTCTTCATGGGAAATGCTGTCTCCCATCTGGCAGAACAATACAGCTTTTGTCCACTGGGGGGAGCCAAAATCGAACAAAACTGAAAGTTTTTTAGTACTGCTTTCACTTTAATAAATGATCAGAGATGATGAGTCTTATATTCCAGCAGAACTTTCTATGAGTGCCTCACTGACTTTAGAAGGATGATGGCATTTTTTTATTTTTGTTTTTTTGTTTATTAAGTTCTTTTTCATTGAAGGTGAAACAATGAAATAAAAGAAACACAACAATAGAGGAATTAGTGAAAATGATCTGATATAAAACAGATGTGTTTATATTAGGATTCAAATATTTTTTTCACTTAGCTTTACAGTTACAAGCATAATACCAAAACTACTATGTGTTACTGTAGACATCTCCTCTAACTTTGCACTCACCCTCCTCAAAGCTAGTAGGATTCTCCCATAAGAGTAGATCATGAGAATCAGGGGTAGCAGCAAACAGAAGATGAAAAGACACAGCACGTAGGATACACTGGTGGGTGAGCGAAGGTGCCACTGGATGGAACAAGTGGTTCCAGGACCTTCTGGACCATAGCTGCTCCAACCCAGGAAGGGTGGCAGTGTCCAGAGGAGCGAGTAGACCCAGATGCCTCCAATGAAGAGCCAGGCCTTCCTGAAGTCTGAGATGTCTACCTTGGAGGATTGCAGCACAGCATTGTGGCGCTCGAAGGAGAGAACTGACAATGAAACCAGGGACACAATACCTAGTAAAAAGGTGAAAAGAGTGAAAATATTAAATTTGAGGGCAATGGCCTCTTCCTTTCAACTGCTTCAGTCATATAATGCGTCTCTGTAAAAGTAAATATTCATTCATTTATCTTCCAAGGCTTTCAGTTCCATCATCATAAACATGATTAAAGAAAACGTCAACGACCCATGTACGGAGGCCTTAGTCCTCGATGCGGCTGACCCGGGTTCGAATTTTACCTGTGGTCCTTTGCCGCATGCCAAAACTTAAAAAAAAAATATATATAATAAAAAATAAAAATAAATAAAACTACAGTGGGAAGACTTAAAAAAACGAGATTTGAATCAAGGGATTGTGATGGGCTAATCAAAGGGCACCTCAGTCTGATTACAATGCTCCAGCTGGATTTTAAGAGGACCATAAAAAAACTTAATGCAGAAAAAACTGAAGATGGTTGGATACAGCTCCTTTACAATGTGAGCGATAGTTATATCAAACACACCTTTCATATATCTACATAAGACATGATTAGGCATCACTCTTATGCTACACACACACACACAATTGTTGACCTAACAATCTATACATAAATAATCTAAACTAAATGTTGCCTCTTTGAAACACAATCTTTATGTGGTAGAAAGGTTTCAGTGCTCGTATGATCCAGAAAACTACTACATGTTTTCTGAGACTTAACTAAAGCTTCACCGTTCACAGGCTCTGGGTGATGGATCAGACAAATAGCATTTCAAAAGCGTTCATGATGCTAAAAAGAAAGAGCAAATCTGATGCTCACTGTTGCTCATCAAGTGAAGAACATTATAGACAGACCAGTGAGCATTGAATTTAAATGAGGTAATTAATCTTTGAAATATATTTTTTATAGCTTAAACATACTTTGTAAATGTTCAGTGGGTTTATATCAGCTCAATCACTTTCACTATTTAAAAACTTTAAATAAGATTTATTAGAAGTTGTTAAATTGTTGTCTGATGATTTTCAATTATGTCTTTGAAGGATATTAAGGGTCACCATTTTCTTATTACTGTTTGGTCTTGTCATTCTTTCTTTTCAACTCACGGTAATTGGAAATTTTAGTCTCAATCCCTGTTTGTTTTGGCCTTCTTCTTGATGAATCCTGTGGGCATAAAACACCTCCAGAAATTTGGTCAGCACATATTCTGCATTTTAAAGTCAGTTTCCCCTAAATTTTCAAATGATATTCCTTTACCTATCTCACTTATGCAATTAAAGTTAACTCAAAGTTATACATTGACAGTTTTTTTTTTTTTTTTTTAAGAATACATTAATTTAAATGACTATCAAAAAACTATATCATTCATCGCTAGCACTATTCATTTAAGGGGCCAAAAACTTATAGATTGTGTAAATTATCTCCACTAACGCTTCAATTCAACTTGTCAAAACTGCCTAAAGGAAACATTTTCCTTGTTTTAAGCAATTAAACTATAACTGATGACTGTCTACAGTAATAGCAGTCACCCTTTGAATCTCATGTCATCACCTCAGATATAATGGAGAGATGTAGCAAGTTCTCATGTCTAGCTATCTTTGGTCAAAGAGCAAAAGAAAGCAATTCTAGGATTGTGATAAATGTGCAATATTCTATAGCCACTGGTGATTTCAGAGTTTTTGATTTGTGAAACAGAATTTATATTGTCCTCTTTTCCTTAGAAGTTTTCAAAAATTCACAGTTTTTTTTAATATTTATTTTAAATATAAAACATGGGAAATGTGTCCCAAAAGTGCTTTAACCATGCACATGAAGCAACTATATAAAATCTTTTCCTTCTTTAAAGTGATTATAATTCAGTTTAACAGTTAAGTATACAGTGTGCTTTGTAATCATTTGGTTATAAAGGAACAGAGCGCTGTGCTTTCCCTTTTTGTCTCACTTCAGTGCAAGTGAATGTAAAATCTGTTTGACAAAATCCCTTTCAAATTTGTTACAGCTGCACCTTTTAATGCACAGGTTATAAACTATAAATTCAGTGGCAAAATGATCTGTTCTAGATTTAATACAGAAATCTTTTTTTTTTTTTTTTTTTTTTTTTTTTTTTTTTTTGGGGGACCCTTTCACCATACAGATGGTTTGGGAAGACATTTACAAATTGTAGAACCTAGCTGATCAGCCTCTACTGGCACAGTTTACAAAGCAGCTTTGAATCCCCCAGTGGAAAACCACACAATAAATGTACAGTGTATGATGAAGTCTCAGTATACATTTCAGGTCTAATATTTAAAACATAACTACTATGCAAGAAGAAAAAAACCCTTTGCCAGAGTCATATTTTTGGTTCAAGTCCAAAAATATCACTAGTTGACAGGGATGTTTTGTGGTTTAGATTTCTAGTGTGGGAATGTAATTTTAATGACCATGGTTCCTGTAACAGAAAACTATACTGGGTCCTGAAGAAGGGGGGTTCCTGCAGTAGGAACAGACCTTAACATGGCTAACAATGTGGTGTCAGAGACAGGCCTGACCCTAAAGTTAAAGCAACATTTAAATAGTTGTTCCCAAGCACATTTAAAATCAATCTTAACAGATGTTAACTTTAGAGAACAGTTGAATTTGTAAAAATATTAGACTTTTCAGGGAAGGAAAAAAAAAATAACGCCCAACTTTTGAATAACACAGTAACACACTATAACACTCAAATTTTGTTAAAAGAAATAAAAAGAAAAAGGAAAAAAATATGAAAAAGAAGATAGTTCTGAGTTTACTTCGCAGGGGACGTTAAAAATAAATAGGAAAACGAACAAACAAACAAAAACAGGAGACACAATGGGAAAAGAAAACCTTTTAACACCTCTGATATGATAACTTACCAAAAAGGGAATTGGCGAAGCCGTACCATTTACAGCCGAACTCTCCAATCAGCCACCTACCGCGCAGACTCGCTGCGAAGCTGAACGGCGTCCCAAAGACGCACACCAGAACGTCGCTTAGACTAATGTTCAGCAGGATGAGGTTGATGGGGGTCCTTAGAGAGCGGAACTTTGCGAAGACCAGAAGAGTCAGAGAGTTATTGAGGATCCCAGCCACTAAAATAAAGCCGAGGCAAACCGCCACCGCCGTGTGTCCGCTCCTGCTCAGCCCATCGCGGCTGTGGGGCGTCGTGGAGTTGGGCAGGGTCGCGTCGCTGCTGAAGCTGGAGCTGTCCGTGGTGCTTAAATTATAGCCCTGGAAATAGAGGACCATAGCAAAGGAGCGAGAATTCACAGGAGTTAAACAGACAGAGGGGGAGTCAGACAGCGTCTCCAAACGCTCCAGGCTGGTATTAGGGAGTTCAAAATGACCAGAGCACATCTTTATACCTGCACACATGAAATGCATAAATACTCCCACCCCTTCAGCCTGCCCGGCACTAGCACTGATGTATTTCTTTCTTTCTTTCTTTCTTTCTTTTTGTAATCTTTCATTAACTAGTATGAGTCTTTTTGATCACAACAGCCTGCATGAATAAATCCATCAAAATTGATGGCTTTCCAATTGGGAATGCGTTGCCTTTCAATGTGATGTACTTATTCGTGCAAAATTGCATCCTTACAAGTTCTATTGGGGGTCTTTGCTTTTTCATGGTAGATGTAGGTCAGATTAAGTGAGTGTCCATAATAAACTTTCAATTTCCATGTTTAGGAGGACCCAATTACTCCTGGTGCCCCACATTAGAAATACAAACTTTGTTGCATGGTTTTGCTAAGCGGTGCATTTCTTCCTCAGCTTTCTATGCCACACTGCTCCTGCATTTAGCTGCATAAACAGGATGGCAAAATATTTCTGCTCGTCACTTTTAGAGGAATCTGTTGTTCTGTTTTGATTTCATTTTTGCCCAAGTTTCTCATAAATGTTCGATTCTGTGAATTAAATTACTTCGTTCCAGTTCGCCTTTTACTCCATTTATTTTGCTTTCCTAATCTAACCCAAGGTTTATTGTTAATAGGTCTAAACATTATTTTTTCTCTGTTGATTTAGGTTATTTGAACTGGTTGATCAATTCTACATGGTAAATTTTGGTAATCACTTCAGACCGAATGCTTCACTCTTTTGCTGTCACATAGGAGCCCAACAGCAGCCCTAGTTTCACTAAAGCACGTGAAAAGAAGGGAAGATATATGTCTGCTATCACCATGTCTACCTCCTGGAGAGAAAAAGATTGGCTGCTGCTTCTCTTTTACACCTGCTGCTGGTCTTCCTCAGAAACTGTCCACAGTTTTTTCCACAGAAACAGAGAAGATGTTACTGAAAGTCCCTTCAAGTCCTTTACAGCACTACATAATGCACCACAAGAACTGGTATTTATTATTAGTTTTAATAATATAAAATATGCATAGCATAATAAGGAAATCAATAATTATGTAATAATAACTCTGCCTCCATTCAATTTATTTAACGTATAATTCAACATTTATGTACAGTTTGTGTGCAACTACTCACACACCTTCAATATGCTATATAATATCTTTTAAAGGGGTTGGGTGTATCTATTTATTTTACAAATAACGTCAGAAAAGACTGGAATTAGTCTGCATCCTTGTTCCTTCACTCTAAAACAGACAAATTTTTTTTAGCGCAATTAAACCAACAACAGTAACCTTATTAGTTATCAGAGTCCCTTTTTCCCTGATTTGATCTCAGCATAAATCAAAAATTTATAGGAAAGCCTAAGAAGGTTTCTAAAGAACATACATGAAAACATATCCTCATGAAGACCAGGAAACACCGTATATCAGGGATGTAGTTGTTGAGAAGTCTAAACATGCTGCCAAACTATAACTTCAGCTTCATAGAAAAATAAAAAAATGGATTAGATACCTAAAAAATGTGAGAACAGCAGTCTGCAGAGAGAACAGCAGAGAGGATCACCGGGGCTCCTCTTCCCTCCATTAAAGTCATTTCATCCCAGCACTGCCTGTAACATTATAAATGACCCCTCACATCCACACCATGGACTGTTCTCCCTGCTGCCCTCTGGAAAGAGACTTTGAAGCATCCGATGTAGGTCCAGCAGATTCCAGACCAGCTTCTTCCCGCTGCCATTAGACTGCTGAATGTTGATTAAATGGGGTTATAAAAAACAAACAAACAAGAAAACTGTAAATAATATACAGTCGTATGTTTACATTTTTCACTGCTCCTTACGTTTCATCACTGCTGCACTTTAAAAAATGAAAATGTCTTGTCAGCTGTACTAAATGAAATTTGTTTTTGCATACACTCTGTGTGTACAAAATGACAATGAGAGTCTGTCTAAGTCTATAAAAAAATACAAGCAGGACATGACATGTCACCAAAACTAATGGGATTAAGCCAGAAGAGCATTAATCAGGATTAGTATTAGCTGTGTACTCATTTAATCTGGCCTTTATGAAAGAGAGGAAAAAAAAAAGGATTGATAAAAAATATCAAAAACATTTTTTGTGGTTTGCCACAAAGTTAGCGCAGCACAACAAACATATGGAAGATTAGGCAGTCATTAGGTAGGGACCAAAATTTCCTTTTGGCATACTGGAAAAATTATATTCTGTTCAGAAATCATATAATAAATATCACACTGAATTAAATCCTATTCAAAGATACTTACTTAACTGATTAAATGTTGATGTAACTCATAGGAGTTTGTTAAATTAAAATTACTTATATAGCGCCTTATTAAGTGAGAGGCCTCCAAAGAGCTTAACACTGAATTTATACCCTTTCACACAGATTCATACAGCTGCCCTGCAGCTCAGTGAGCTCAGTAAGTTTCTTCCAAGACTTTAGCATTTCGATGGATATTGGAGAAGTAAGCATTCCTCCTTTTAAATCTAGGAAGAGTCATAGAACAATTTCTAGACACATTTAAATGTATTATTTAAAACCTGGGAAAAGGGATCAGTCCAAACATCAGTGGCCAGTATCACTCACTGACACAGTAAAGTTTATGAATGAACTAAAGATGAAAAAAATATTATAAAAACCAAATAAATTAAGTTGTCTATAACTCATTTGAATGAAGATTCTGTGGCAGTACCTTAATAAAGTTCTGCTTAAAAACTTTCACATGAACTTTAGGGACCTAAAACTGAAGGAAAAAGAAACTTGCAAGTATGTCTGTAGTGAAGTGGTTACAGAGAGCGATTTAGTCAAACGGTTGGCTGATACTGAAGGACACTAAGAAGGGGAAAGAGGCAGATCAATAATTGACTATGTGAATTCAAATTTCTCAGCTGAATACCAAGAAAATGCCATTTAAGATTACTATTGCGCTGCAACTGAATGGAAGTGCGTTGCTGAATTGTTTCTGAAGTGCCTCAAAGGGCATCAATGTGGGACTTAGTGCGAAACTGTCTGATTAACTATAGTTGTTAATTATAACATTTAAATGGCAATGATAACTTAAATTCCATCTGAAAAATTACACCATCTGCAAATAACAAATTACCATATGAAAAGCTGATTTAAAACTCTGGAAAGTTGGTACCCTACCTAATTCTTGTGGTTTATGCTCATGTTATACATGCAGCTTGTAGATCAAAGTACATTTGCAAAGTCCAAGATAAATTATTTCAAATTGCATGTTATGTAAACTTCCTTTTCTTTTTTATTTCAAATATACAATTCTTTTCACTTGTGATTTTAAATTCTGGATGAAGAATATAAACAGTTTTTTTTTTTTTTACATATTTATATACATACATATAGAGTGCTTGAAAGTTTACATATCCTCCCAATGAAGAAAATTGCAGATTCACTAGTAATTTGAAAAAAAAAAAAAAAAAAGTAAAAATGAATAAAACAAGTACTAAAGAGTTTTATAGTAAAATAAAATATTGATTTAGATTTTTTTTTTTTTATAAAAAAATAATTTTAAAAAACAAACTGTCCCAGATAAATTAAGTACCCGGCTCACGACCAGTAAACTAACACACCTGCAACAAGTGCAGGTCTGAACATTACACTAAACACCTGATTTCAGTGATTACTCAAGTGCACTCCTTGGTGTTGACCAACAAAATTTTAGGAGTTAGGAATTTTAGGAATTTCAGGAGTTCTATTAGGCTTGATTAAATGTATTATTTATTGATATACAAATTATTAAAGCCAATATCACATTTTATTTTTACAAAATAATTCACAGTTTAGGATGAAACAATGTGGCAAATCAATGTAGCGGATTCTAGCATCATATTAAATTGTTTCTCTTCATAGGTCAATGATTTTGTGATGGCGATGCTAGTTGTCTACGTACTGCCTTAGATAATGCAGCCCCTTTGAAAAAGAAAAACTTTAAAAATAGCCATCTTTTTTGCCATCTTTGTTGAGCCTCTAGCTGCTACAATCAGACAAACTAATGTGCTTAAAGGTATAAAAGGTATGAAAATAGAGCATAAAATTAGTCTTAGACTAATTTAGATTACTTAGATTACTCTATAAATTGGTCTATAAATCTATAGTACTACTGTTACCAATCTTTAGATTCTTCCATCTCTAAATTTCTTTGGAAGGAAAAACCCCCTCTTATCAGCTTCAAGACACTACAGAAAACCAAAGACAGAGGGGGGACTAGATTTACTTAACTTCCAAAACTACTTCTTAACAAATACAATGGATAAAACATAAGCCCTTAGATGAGCCCTGGATAGACACAGAACAGGAAATATGCAGTAATATCATAGTTTCAAATTTGCCGTTTATTAGCTCTAATATCAAGCAGCACTCATGTTTTAAAAATATTAACATCAGCTCTTCCCTGACAGCATGGTGGGAATTTCTTAAAATGACAAAGTCATCAGTTATCCTATGCAGTTGTACGCCCATCTGGAATAACCCTGACATTCTACCAAAAATAATATGATAAACTTTCCAAACTGGAGGAATAAAGGTATTACATATCTGGATAATTTATTTGAAGGTACAGAGTTGATTACATTTGCTAGATTAAATTTGCAATATGGCATTAACAAATGGATGTGAAAAAAAAATTGAACGCTGGCCTATATATACATATATATATATATATATATATATATATATATATATATATATATATATATATATATATATATATATATATATATATATATATATATATATATATATATATATATATATAGGCCAGCTTTATATATATATATATATATATATATATATATATATTTAGAGCATTTAAAAAATCTAAAAAATCATTTTAAGTCAGAATCATTAAAGGACCTAAAATTTCTTTAAAATTCCATCACAATCATTTGTAATACCCGCAGCACCCAATATAAATATAAAAACAAATATCAAAAAGAGGCATAAAAAAAGGTGCTTCAAGCTCACAGCATAACGCCATGAATGCTTATATGAGAAATAAATAGAGACTAGAGTTAGAAATAACATCATTGGGGACCTGGGGAAGATTTTCCATTTAAGGTTAGCATAACAAAGCCCAAAATTCATAACTAGAAATAACCTAAACAAATTGATTGTACTAGAGATTCAGATTCAGTAAAGTCATAGCATCTCATGGAAAGAAACTCCACGTGATCTAATACTGTAGCAACAAAGTCAAAACACTAATTTTAATATATAACTTCATAAAAATGACCTTGTATAGTAATAATATAACTAATACCTGGTTTGGATTTTACTCAAAGTAGCGAGAGGAATCGCAATTTAGAAATAATTCTGCTAATAATGAATTACATTATAATTCTTTTCACTCAATAAAATACTTAAGCTGTTTTTTGTTTTCATATGTATCAGAGTGTTAAACATAACTTTAAGTTAGGGATCAAATGACAAATTTTGAACTTTATTGCAAAATTCCAATTGTTGAGGCAGGGAGTAAAAGGAGTGCAAATGTTTTTATTGTGTCTGAGAGAAAAGTCAAATAGAAGTTGTTTCTTCCTGAATTACCAACAGTACCATCTGAGGAATGAATTTACAAATATCTCTCAATAAAGGATGTTGGCTGTGATTTAACACTGAGAGCAGCAGTACTTTGGAAATCTTTGAAATATACTTGAAATACTGAGGGAAGATTGGAGAATGACACTGAAAGCAGGTGAGATTATTAAGAGTTTAGGGACATTAGTGAAGGAGACCAAACAGGCAGATCGAGGACCAGTCCACATGGAGAAAAAAGTGCTATACTACCATTTTAAAGATGTTTTTTTTTAAGTGCACACAGAACTACTACAAAACATTGTAATGTGCATGTCTGGCCCATTAGTGGCGCTGTGACACAGCATTATAAAAACACAAAAGTGTCAAAACACAGAGCATACACTGAAAAAAAGAATTTGAATTGGTTGAATTTATTTCAGCCCCTTTAGTTACCCGATTGTTTCATTTTTTTAACCCTTTCAGCAGGATAAGATATGAAAAATAGTAATCAATAATTAAAGTGTTAAAGTAATTGAAGGGTCTTAAATAGACCCAATAGATGCTTGAATTCTTTTTTTCATTGTATACATGTCAGTTTCCCTTTTTCTACAATGTCAATTTATCAGGCTATATAAATTTCAGTGTACACTGGGAAACACAGAACCATCCATCCATCCATCTTCTCCAGCTTATTCTGCCAGGGAGGCGGTGGGGCCGGTGCGGATGCAGTCTATGGGTGAGAGGCAGGGGAAAATTCTGGACAGGTCGCCATTCTGTTGCAGGGCAACAACCATGGACACACACACTCACACATAAGGACAATTTAGAGATGCTAATTACAGTCGTGTTTTTGGACTGTGGCAGGAACCCAGAATACTCCATGTAGAAAGGCCCCAGGCCGGGAATCAAATCCGAAACCTTCTTGCTGCAAGGCAGCAGTGCCACACAGAAATGGGGTGCTACTCAGATAAGACTGTACTTTTCTGTGTGGTTTTCAAAAATTCTTTTTCGCTTTTTTAAGTTTAAAGGTATAGTGGAGGATTTTCGCAACATTTTTAGAAAGACCCACCCTCTCCACACAAAAAAAGTGCATGCACAACCCTGTGCTTCTGAGAGAGAACGAGTGCACGCTCTGCTTTAATGTTGCTGTTTGCATCGCTCATACAAGCTGACTGTCCAAGAGAAAATGTGCAATTTTCCACTATGTCAGACTCACTACAGCTAAGTGAACATGGGGATGAGCTCATAGGACGGCCTTAGATAAAACATGTCACCAGAACGATTGACAATTAGGCCGACCACTTATTTTGATGATCAACCCAGAAAAAGAACATCTTCCACTAGTCCGTTAAATTTTTCATTTTCAGGTAAAAGTTTTATTTTTTTAAAGTTTTTTCTTATAAAATTCTTTCACCACCCAGAAGATGGCATACATTTATGGATACACCCAAGCTTGTCGAGATGTGGACAGGGCCTGAGAGAAAAAGAATGTTTACCACCATATTAATTTGCAATGAATAATACAATTAATAACATCTGTTGAGCAATAATTAAAAAAATATATATACATGCAAGTATGTCAAAGCCAAGACCTTTTAAACAATGATGAAAAACTAAAATGTAATCAAAAAACAAACACCTTCACTGACTGTTCCTTTTAGTGAGGTATTAATTTTGCAACAGCTTTTAAAAAGTTTATTTAAAAAGTAATACATTTAATGCCCAACATTGTTTTTTTTTAGGAAGCTTACAGAGTTCAACCACACAGAATTAAGACCGTCTCTACATTTCAAAAGCACAAGAATGCAAATCTTACCATCAGTTCATACATTTCTGTTAAATATAAATGTTTGTGCTTTAGTAGGTTAACTTATATTTTTAAACTACATGTGCTCATAAACTGATCACCACAGTAGGAGCAAAGTGGAACATAAAAGGTGACAAAAAATTAGTTTCTTCATATAGATAATCAAATATTAACATACACAGTATAAAGAGGCTGTACTTTTCCTTACTGTCTGACAATAACTCAGTAAAACTTGAACTTATTTTGGTTATTGACAAATAATTTAATTATGACTTATTATGACTAATTATGCCAGAATAATAATAAGATGTAGTTTTTCAGGTTTTATGTGCAACTCTTCATTAACATCTTCTTACACTGTTAAACTCACAGACATCAGTCTAGTATAATTACAGTGTAAGAGGTGTTGAATACTAACTAATGCCTTTAAATATTCTCAGCAGTATTTTTCACAATACAAAAAAAAAAGTTATAATTTTCATCAACTTATCGACTAAACACAGCTTTACTTCCCTGTTTCTATAATATCCGAGAAACCTAAACCAGCCAAGTAAACTTTAGGTAGATCAGTTTTTAGTCATTTTTTACACATAATAGAGGCTCAAAAGTTTTTGTGATTTAACACTGGTATGTTGACAGCAGAAAAACCCACCCAAGTGCACTGTGTCCAACTTCACCTCCAAACATGTGAAAACACAGCCTGTGCTCAGGGTGATTTCAAGGAGGAATTAGAAAAGCTGAAGAACTGGTTTGTCGGCGAGCTTTTCTTTCAGTAGAGGCTGTCCCAGTGCGCGCTCAGGTTCTGATGTCATTTCGGTGAAGAATGGAGAAAGAACTCGTAAGGAAATCAAAATGCTGCTCTGCTCGGTGAACAGAATGAGGCCTGGTGAACTACAGCTATCCTCTGTTCATTTCACACGTCTTGCTTTCACCTCAGTACCAGTACAAGTCCTTCTTATCCGCATGTCGCCCTGAATGCAAGGGAAAAAATGATCAAATAGAGTCAAACAATGCATGGTTAGGGAATCATAATCAATCCACCATCACAGTTTTAATATATTTTTGTATGTTTTTTTACTGCATGTTAGTCTAATCTAGATTAGATTACTTTAATTACCAGGTTCAAAGACAATAGGAGAGTCCACAGACTCCCTAAACCCTGGGGGGACGCTCCAGCTTGGTAAAGGGTCCGGCTTAGAGCTAGAGGCAATGCTTGCTCCAAGTTCTCCCCTGTCACCATGCAGCAGGTTAAGCAGGGATGTGGAGTACTGCTGTCCAGTGAGATTTAACCCATCTGGGGACAGGGAGCACATGATGGTTGATAGGGCCGGACCTTCACTCGATCTGAATGTGTTCCAGGAACCCGGGGTCTCCTCTGCTGAGCTGAGGGTGAGGATGTGTCCGCCTACAGGTGGTACCTGGGATTCAGAATAAGGGACGGACATTCTACGCTGACAGTCGTCTGTGCTCTCTGTGGGGGGCAAAAAATAATAATACTCTGAGAAATTGCAGTTAAATCATGTGTGATTTCAGGTATTTATTGTAAACACCTACCCATTTTTACAGTTTTGCGGATTTTCTTTGATCTTGCAGCGGTCTCGTTTGCCTTGATTTTGCCAAGAGCTCGCGAGAAGTGTTCATCCACCATGCTGTTGATGTCCCCCTGGAAGTATGTCAGGATGATGCTGTGAGGGTTTCCCTCCACTTTCACCGCTTTGGGGCTCTCTCCTTGTTCCTCCATGGTTCAACTGCAATTAAAACACATTTTAAAACAAAGCATCAAAAGAACACATTTCTTCATTTTCTTTTCTCAATAAAAAAATAATATAATGCAACCATTTTTGGCATTTACTAAATCACATATAGTTACTTTAACACAATTGTTTCATGTTAGCAGGATAGGACACAAAACAATTGTGTAAAAATAACTAAATATGATTAAGTAAATGCCAAAAGCGGATGCATTACTTTTTTCAGTATATAGAAATTGTTTTCTTTTGCGTAAAAGAATAAAAAAGCAGATTTTTTTTAACTGTTCCTGACATAACCTATTAAAAATAGCAGCAAAGCAGCTATAGTTATCCAAAAAAAAAGTAAAACAATGACAAGTTTAGCTTACTTTGTTTAAAAAACAACAACATTTTAATTTATCTGGGAATAAACAGCCCATACAGCTTGAATAGCAGAAACACAGAACCCATCTTGTACTCCATTTTAGTCCAATGGATGCAGCCCGTCAGCAAGTTTAAAAGAAATACATCCAAGTTAGAAATTTGTCTCTAGATAGAAAGCCTCTATCAAATATCACAATACATTGTACAATGGGTTTCATTCACAAAAAACTCATGGTATTCTATTTAATTTACGTTTGAAAAAAGCCTAACAGTGATAAAACTCCTTTTAAGATCGAAGAGAATCCTTTTTTCTGGCCTTTTTCGTCACTCTCCAAAGATTCTCTATCATATTTAGTTAAAGACCTAAGACTGCTTCAAAATATTGATTTTACTTTCAATTAGACAGAGCATGTCGATCTTTAAAATATTAAAAGATGACACTTAAGTTTCAATCTCTCAAAGGTATGCACAGGTATTAGCTTAATTGTACATTTATATACATCAGAAATTTTGCAATTTGCTAAAGAAGTAGTTCATACTGTAGCTCTAAAAAAAGTTTATAGTTCATGTTGTTAATTTTTTGGTATTTCCAAAAAGGTTTGCATTTTAGTGAATATTATTAAAATAACTTTGTACATGCTTTTAACTTGTTTTAAATGTAACTGAACCTTTGCCTACTTTCTGTGTACCGACTCATCCCGTGTATCTGATAAGAAGAGACATACTTGTCTTACCCGTCCTGATGACTGAACAATGTTGAACGAGGACCACAGCTTGCATTGACTGCTCGATCGAACAGAAGAACAGCAGAGTTCACAAGAAGATTGGGAAAATAGAGCATCGATTTAGTTAGCTGCTATCGTTCTCACCGTCTCCTCTACAAAGTGAGTTTTTTTTACCCACAGAGAGTGTAAGCTCACTGGATAATTTAGCTGGGGAGGGTGACAGCTATGATTAGAATGCTATCCAGCAGGTTCCTCTGGAGTTTAAACCGCAACTTAATCAAAACATTCCTGGTTAACACAGTTCAACTACAGCTCTTCTTTGACTTTATCTCAGCCTCAACTTTACTAAGATTGCTTTTGCAGTTACTGAAGATAAAAAAATATTCTTTCTCTATTTAAAGAGCAATTTGACATCAAATGGTCCAGGGTTGTTTAGTGGTCATTTTTAACCCTCCAAATTAGTGCCTGGTTACAGAAGTTACATCCCTTTAATTTTTACGCATTTTGTCCCATCATAACCACAAATTTGGGGATTTTATGTAGTTAATGATGTAGTAAATGTAGATCAGGGCCTCTGCTACCTTTCTTTCTGGCACCAAATTGCTCTTTAAATCCTCTAAAGTGGCTCTTGATACCTTGAGATAAAAACTGATAAATATAAAATTTATGTTTAATATAGGCAAGATATATTAATGACAATTATTTTAGCAAGTTTTCTTCTTCTTAAATGGGCCAGTGGTACGGTATATCAGATTAATTCATCTGTTCTGTATTTTCAAAACTATGTCTCTTTTTTATAACATACGTTTCCCCCCAACATTAGGATCCTGTTTGGGAAAATTTATATTTTTTTATACAAAGTTTTATTTTACTCTATTTTAAATGAAAATATACTAAATTGTGGCTATTAAGAAAATGCATTTAAGTAGTAGAAATTTAAATATATAAGTAGTCTTTTTAAAAAAGGTCATATAAGATTAGCTCCAGTTTTTTTTTTTTTTTTTTGGCTGGACTCAATGTCAAAGTGGCTTTTTAGACCTTTAAGTTTGCAGACTATACAAATACACAAATATATATATTTTTAGAAACAAAGGTCTATTGCTGTATATATTTTTTTATATTCCTTAAGACAACATCTACACAAACCACCAATCTTAAACTCAGTCAGATTAGCACATTTCCATTTCCGACAATCGGATGTTTTGCAGTCTGAATGTTTCAGGGCCTTTCTAATTATGATAAATTAAATAAACTCTATTGCACCTTTGGGTTTATGCTAAGGGTTGTTACACTGTTAGTAAAATAAAACGTTTTTGTGCGCACCAAATCATAACTTACTACCTTAGAGTTTGCCATTTTTTGGCCCCGATACCGATACCTGGCTGTGCAGTATCGGCCGATACCATAATAATGTAAAATAATTGCCATCATGGCTTTGTCGAGCTGCTGCCTACCTTTGTGAAGCAGGAAAAAATCTAATACAAAGTGAATCCAGTAGAACTTTTTATTGCCTACCAGGAGTGGGTGACAATAGTTGAATAAACTTATGGCTCTCAAAATGGTATCGGTGCCCTATTTGTTGGTACTCGCCGATACCGATACCACCATTTTAGGGCAGTATCGGGGCCCCCTCCGATACTGGTATCGGTATCGGTGCAACACTAGTTTGAAGTAATGAAAAAGTAAATGTTTTTATAGTTTTAATTTCCAAATATGTATAAAGGTCCATTAATGCTTAAGATTATTTTTTTTCCTCTAACAACATTTCATTTGTTGTACTGTTTTATTTGTTAAAAGTGTTTAAATTAAAACTCATTTGAAAGTAATATATCAAATAAACTGGTATGGAGCAGGGTGGTCCAAAGGTCTTGCATAAACAAAATCAGAAATCAAATTAAAATCTGAAAACTGAAAAAATAACAACAAAAAAGATCCATCCATCCATCCATCCATCCATCCATCCATCCATCCACCCACCCATCCATCCATCCATCCATCCATCCATCCATCCATCCACCCACCCATCCATCCATCCATCCATCCATCCATCCATCCATCCATCCATCCATCCATCCATCCATCCATCCATCCATCCATCCATCCATCCAGCCAGCCAGCCAGCCAGCCAGCCAGCCAGCCAGCCAGCCAGCCAGCCAGCCAGCCATAGATACACAAATGTACAGTCATATTAATAATCTTAATAGTCATGTTTTTGGATTGAGGGAAGAAGCTGGAGTATCTGAGGAGAACACCTTTATGCACAGGGAGAACATGCAACATCCATGCTCCCAGGACCTTTTTGCTGCACCACTAAGTGAAAAATAACATTTATTTTTAGAAAATAGAAAAACATGACTTCTTTCTCGGGTAGCTTTAGAATTTCAAAGCTCTGTTGTAGCTTCAACATAAAGTGGTTTTAAAAATTAAGAACTCCAAGTAAAAAAAAAAAAAGAAAGAAAATAATTGCATTATTTTATTTCAACAATAAATTATACAGAAGATATCTTATAAATGTTATTATTCCTATGCACTCACTGTGTTTAGTTATTTACATTACATTGCTACAATTTGTCTACAATAAAACACAAATACAGGCAAAACAAAAAAGTCCAGACTCTGATTCTCATCAGCTTATTAGTTTAAATAAAGGTAAATCAAGATTGATAGGTCACTTCAAGGTCAAAATTTGTGACACTTAAAGAAAAAAGAGTTAAACAAACAAAGAGTTAAAGAAAGCAGGGGCAGCATTTTTATTAGAATATAAAATAATTTTGATGTATGTGACAATAAAAACTCTTTGTGCATCAAAGCATTACAATAACTGGACTTTTGATATAAAGGATTTTCAGTTCCTTATAACTGACCATGCTGTTTATAACAATGCTTGTCCCATGTGAAAACACCTGAAACCTAAAAAGGTCTTTTTTGTGATCTCTCATTGTTTATTACAAAAGGAAAAAAAGGCTATTTTTGGAATTTGTGTCCTATCAATGAATCTCGGTACTCATTAAAATAATCATTACTGCCACCTAGCGGTGTGAGTGTGTTGTGGATTGTTAGGTGGAGTTGTTGGATCTGATGGAGGAGCTGTTATCTGAGGGAAGGGAGTCAGAGTTGACAAGATTGCGCTTTTTGTTACGGCGGCCCACCGTTACAGAGCGAGTCCATTCTGCATGGTAGAATAAAAAGGGAATAATAATCACTGAAAACACATTATTCTTGTGTTTATTTAATGCAAGGTAGAAATCAACATACCTAAGCTTTCAATGATCCTGAAACGTCGACAGCACAAATAAATCCTCCACTGTTTCCTCACATTTTCCTTCATCAAACAGTGAAACAGAAAAACAAAAAACCCTGAATGTAAAAACAAAAACAAACAAAAAAAAAACTTTATAATTATGCAAAAAAACACATACAAAAGTCATGGTAGTAAAATGAGACAGATCAATTCACCTTGAAAAGAATTAAGTATGGCAAACAAGCACAACACGACCCCCCGTCCAGGCCCGAATGAGAGGAAGCCCACTGACCAAGTCAGGCCCAGCAGCACGGTCAGACCAACAAGCACTCCCAAGTCCTGTACAGCGGTGCGGCTGTTGGCTGACGGATTGTTGGCCCTCATTTTTTTAATCTGGATCACAACCAAAATGAACACGGTTATGTTGCCCAAGAAGATGAGGAGAATAAATCCTACCACTGTGACATTGTAGAAAACTTTCTTCTGAAGCCAGCAACTGAGGGAGCAGAAAAGAAGGAAAAGAGGTGTTTATTTTCAGTTTTCCCTAAATATCCTCACAAATTCTTTATGTTAGTGCCTTGCTGCTGTACTCACAACTTTTCACTGGATTGAAGTGCCACACCTACTAGTTCAGGTGTTGAGCTACCATAAGCATCTTTATCAATAGCAAGCACCAGACTGACTATCAGCAAAGGAACACCTGTGGAGGACAAAATATAGAAAATATGATACTCTCTTATATAGAACATAGTTGTTGTGGTGTTGTTTATTTAATTTAAACAAATTCATATTATTGCCTTATTTATTTATTTATTTTGTCATGCTGTATTTTATTTATTATTTTTTTCAATATTTTTTCATTATTTTCAGCTGTGTTCAGCACTTTGTTTTCGGCTGTAGATGTTTTAAAACGCTTTTTATAGAAAACTCATACAGTCAGATGTTTTCATAGAAGGTAACGACTAAATGAAAAAGTTAATTGTGCAGGTGTTTAAAATTTGTACTTGAATTTCATATAAAAAAATCCGGATTTTTTATTTATTATCCTTCTACAAAAACAATAGAACATTTTTTTATTTACCCATCATTACAATGTCTCTATTATCACTTTATCTTCCGTCAGACATTGGTATTTTATTAGTTAACTGAAGTTGCTTTGGATAATAGATGATTCTTAGAACAGATCAAAAAATCATTTTTTTAATTTCTATCTCTTTAAATCTGCATTGTTTAAGGGATTTGACTCCGGTTAGGAATGTAAGATCAGACAGAGTTTGAGAATTACTTTATATTCTTTCGTTTTACGAAAACAGATAGTGAACTCATAATAAATGTAGAAGAAAAAGGTTTGAACCATTTCTTCATTTAGGTTCTTTGAAGTAATTTACTAAATTTGTTGTTTTTTTAGGAGACATGTGGTTTATCGTAATGAACATTGTTTTATCCAATATGCAGACTGAAGTGAAATGTTGCAAAAAATGAATAAAACATTGAACAAACTTTACATTTTTAAAATAGTAAAGGTTTATATTAGGGTCTTTCTTACCCCATCCAATAATGCATAGTCTCAATATATAGAAGGGCATATAGATGTTGAACACCTTCACCAGTGCAATGTACATGTGAACAGCTTCCAGGCCCATCCAGGTGCAAGAGGCCAAGAGGAAATAATGGAGGAAAGCAGCTGCTGCGATACACAGACCGTAGTTGGAGAAGGATGAAAGCCAAGGGTCAACAAGAAAGAAAATGTTCAAACCCAGCAGTGCAGTGGACAGGTTGATAAGAATCTTTGATGGATAGTCCTGACGCAGCTTCCTGTACGAGAAACACAGAGTCAGTCTCTTTGGGTTGCATAGATAACTATTTCCATAACATTCAAACTGCAGATGTTAAGCCATTAGTTGGAGCCAATAAAATATGAGAAAGAAGTTCTGTTTTTTTTTTTGCTTGTTTGTTTTTTGAAAACTGTTTAATTCACCGTTTAATTTATGACGGATTGGGAAAACAAGCTTTAGGGCTGTTTTTCTTCAAAATGTTTTTGAAAAGACAGAGAAATATGTAAAAAAAAAAGAAGGAAATTGGCAAAATTTGAAAAATGGATAAAAGATTAAAAACTATGTGGCCACAGGGACAAAGTAAAAATGTTTGTTTTGAAAGATTTCAATCTAAGGCTTTTTCTCATGATCAACGTCTTCATGTGCCTTAACAAATCAGATAAAACAGCTAAACCATAAATAATACTGAAAAAATATTTAAATTTGAGTGCTAGAAGGGTCAGAAGATTTTCGATGCAAAGTTTCATGTTTTTTCATTAAATAGTGGAGAAGAGGCGGGGATGCAAAAATATGTGTCATTTTGGATTTTCGTTTGTGATTTTTGAAAACTCTCCCAATGGATTTCTACTGAGGGAGTTTGGACTTCATGCTGGTCTAAGCCAAAGTGTAAGAAAAGTGTAAATCCCACACCATTTCCTGTATCCTGACAAAAATATCTACGTTTTGATGTATAATAGTAGTTTAAACATTTAGTGAGTAAGCAGAAGTTGTTTGCCAAAAGTAAAATGTTTGAAAGCGCTAGAGTGGCCCAGTCTAGGAGCACAAAGATTCCCACATTGACTTCCATTACAAAACCAAAAATCTTTAAAAAATCTTGAAAGGTTTGAAGCTTCACTGAAGCACAACTGTAAAAGATAGCAAAAAGCTCAGTTAAACATTAATAGCTGAAGGATGCTGAAAAGTCTTAAAATTTGAATGGTATTTTTAGCTAAAAATATGCAGAAGTTGAAATTTAGACTTACTCAAGAATAAGGTAGGTGAGTAAAGTTATTCCTAGAAAGAATCCGGAGATACCACAACCAAGGTATGAGATCACTGTGAGAACCTCTGTATAAGTATCACTGAGGGGGCTTCTGGTTACATCCTGAAAAACACAAACATGAAAAAAATTTTTATTTCACTGCAATTTTCTGTCTTAATATATAATAAAGGTAAAATCTAGATATTCACTAAGGCAGTGGTTCCCTAATGGTGTGCCGCGGCACACTGGTGTGCCATGAGTAAAGTGCGGGTGTGCTGTGGAATTTTGTGACAACCATGTATGGTTATTACAATATAATAACAGAAAAATAAAAAGCCTATACGGTCATATCACTACTTTTTTTGCATTCATTTTCACAAAACAGAGGCAAACTACATTAAAATAATCTAAAAAGAAAAAAAAACCTCAAGGAGAACTCCCTGACCACGGAGATGCGCAGGTAGGAATTATCATCCTGTGGCGCAAGGCTTTGGAACAGGGCACGATGGACATGTTCCCGCTGGCATCAGCTGCGCCGCAGGCAGCAAAGGAGCACGCATTATATGCCGAACACCTTAAGAGCTTAAAAGAGAGGTTTGAGCACTACTTTCCACATGTTGCTGATTACGACTGGATCCGAGACCCATTCAACCAGGAATCTTCAACAGAAAAACTGACAATGAAAGAAAGAGAGGAGTGCGCAGAGCTCCGTGCGGACCGCACATTAATACTCAAATTTAGTGAGCTCCCACTGGATCAGTTTTGGTTGGCTTCTGCATCAGAATACCCAAACATCTCACGCCACGCAATTGAGCAACTTCTTCTTTTCCCCACTACTTACCTGTGTGAGGTGGCGTTCTCTACTCTGGTCTACATGAAGAACAACAGGAGGTTACGGCTCTCTGTTGAACAGGACTTGCGTGTGGCCCTCTCCTCAGTGCCACCAAGGATTAAAAAAATCTGTTCGCACCGACAGGCACACGTGTCTCACTAATTTGTAAGCAGACAAAATATTTACAACAGCACACGTTTCAATGCTGATAAAAAAAAATGTTACATTTATTATTTGTAGTTCAGGACAATGGACAGTGCAGCTTCCTTGCATTGACAGTTCTTTGTGCTTAATTTTTGCTGAGTTTTCTTTGCTTCGTTTTTAATTTTCTGAACCATGATTTAAATAGGCGTGTGGCTGCTTTGATGAAGCCTATTTTGATGAAGTTTCAAATTAAATTTTGGAATATTTTGTTAATAAATATTTTAATGAGTAATATTGTTGTCTTGTCACAATTTATTTTGAATTAGTACATAATTATAACAAATATTCTGCTAAACACGATGGATGACACAGGTTTTAAATGCTCTTTAGCACAATAAGTGTGCCTTGAGATTTTTACTTGTCCTTTGGTGTGCCTTGGGCACAAAAAGTTTGGGAACCACTGCACTAAGGGATGGAGAGATGAAGCCTCTAGAAGCCCTAAGCCCCTCCTTTCAATTCCTTGACTCCTAAGCCAAGATGTCAAGATGCTTCAACAGCTCTACTGTGCCATCAAGTGGACAATAAAATGAAAACAAAAGTGGTCACCTGTTGTCAAAACAAGCCTTGATTACTACTTTGCAAAAAAAATCTGTCAACATCTCCTCACTTTTTAAAAATGCCCTTACTCCGAAGGTTAAAAACTGAAATTGGTCCTCATTCTTCTTCTTCTTAGTCAGTCTCCACTATGTGGTAGGATTGATGGAAAATGGTCCTCACAGTAACTAGACAGGTACACCGTACGACTAGACTTGCATTCATTTTATATGGCCTGAATGTTACTCTAACCCTAACCTAACATATAACTAAACCTAACCCCAACCCTACCTTACCCTAACCACAACCCTAACCTCATCCTGAAAGGACAGAACTTTACCATATGGGGACCAGTTGAATGTCCCCATATGGACCTGTAAGTCCCCACATGTAGGATATCTTAGAAAATACTGCCCCCCATTGTAGGTACAACACGTCCATTTGGTCACATTATATGTCTCTAAATGCAACAGTCTTTGTACCTGAGTGCATTTGCAAACTGAAATCTGGCTTTTTTTCAGTTTCTTCTTCATAACAGAATCTGTTTTACTTGGAAAGAATTCTCCTATCAGCTTCAGCCAGTGACTTCTGAAATTAATTTGGTTTTGTTCTGGGTTAAAATGGATATTTCCAACAAAAGCCAAATCATCACCTGGGCACAAAACTTTGTGAAACGGATCATGGCTGCACACTGCCTTGTTTTTTTTTTAAAATATTGTCAGTGGTTTGAACAGATTTACATGGCACCTTCCAGCATCAGGTAAAAGTACCCATGTAGAACCAGACTTGTGGAGTTCAACAGTTAGTTTTTCTAATTTTCCGGTTGATTTAATTTTACTTTTCATTCAACTGAAAAGTAAAAGTAAATCTAATCTATGTTCTTTTTAAATCGAATAAAGTTTGAAAATGTTGACTTTGGAAGTATATATCTGGTTTCTCCTGCATAGACTACAGGAAGCTTAGGCGAGATGTCCAGCTGAATTTTTTAAGGTAAAAATAAAATAAGGATTTGCATTGTAATATCTAAGTTTAGGTTCATGGGTTTATTCTAAGGATGCTCAGCAGTGACTCACCAGCAGGACAGCAAAATGTGTGAGGTGATCACAAAGACAGCTGGTCCAGTAAGCAGATTCACTCAGGGTTTCACAGCCACTGTTATTCCAACCACCATGGCCATCTGAAAATACACACAAACAAGCAAAAGAATACATTTACGTCCTTTTAAAAAAAAACAAAAAAACCTTTCTGTCAACTCAGCCTCCTATGAGTAAAACACTTTATGAATCATGTTTGTTCCCTAACAAGGTTCAGTTACGGTAAGTCCAACTGTACACACTGAGAATAATAATCAAAGATCAACTCACCGTACTTCTGGAAATCCCAGAACATACATTGCACTTCGTCCTCTGTCTACAAACAGGGAAATATTCATCATGCAGAACAAACAGTGAAAAGATTTGATGTAAAATGAAAAAGAAATGTTTATACCATTTTGGGTGTTTTATGTTTGAGGGTCACCACCACTCTTTCCTTTAGGTTGATGACTTGGCTGTTATTAACACTGGCAGATACTACAAAAGAGTTTAATGTCATATTCCTGGTGGTTTCATTGTTTAAATATGGATCCTGTAAATGACAACACAATAGTGGCTAGTAAAGCTACCATTATAAAACATCCTTTACAAATTTACTTTCTTTATTCATATTACAAATATACTACAGTAGGTACAAATAACATTCAAATTTAACCATTTTGTTTTGAAAGCACTTCAAACTATGCTTCTTTTTCTTTGCCTGTGTGGCAAGCACAGATTTAACAATTAAAATATTAATAAAAAAAACAGATATCTCTTTCTAAAGACAGCAAAAAACACATATCTTCTTATATGTGTAAAAAAGTACTATAAAGCAAAAAGGTTACTGAGCAACCTCAAAAATTGAATACACTTAGCTAGAGAAGCAATTAAATTAAACATTTTAGATATCTATAGAGTCATTATTTTCTTTCTAAAGTTGCAATTTCTATTTCAGTAAATTTAGAACATATGGAATGTGATCACCTTACTTCTATCACTTTTTGCTTTTTAATTTAAAATATACGTTTCCTTCTTTCGTGAATTATCCGTTTATTTGTACTTATTCTAATCGCTTTTCCTTTATCCAGGACTGAGTTGCGGGAACAGCAGTCTCAGCGGAGCCGCCCACACTTCCCTTTGCTCAGACACTCTTCCAGTTCCTCTGAGGGAGGCCATTCCAAAGCCATCCGAGAGACACATTCCCCCAAGCATGTCCAGGGTCATCCCCTGGGCCTCATCTCACTGAGACATGTATCAACACCTCCCGGGGGAGGTGTCCAGGGGACGTCTGACTGATGTTTGAGCCACCTCAACTGACTCCTCTCAAAGTGGAGAAGAAGCAAGACTCTACCAGATTGCTGAGCTTCTGATCCTATCTCTAAGAGAGTGCCCAACCACTATGTGAGAAAAAATATTATTGGTGGATTTTATATGGGATTTTGTTTTTTCAGTCATGACACAATTTTCATGGCTGTAGGTGAGGGTAGGAACGTAGACTGGCAAGAAAATCCAGAGCTTTGCCTTTTGGCTCGGCTCCTTCTTCACCGTAAGACAGAGGTCTTCAACAGGGGGGCCGCGACCCCTAGGGGGTCCACAGAGGTACTGCATGGGGGTCGCAAAAGATTTAGTTGATTTAGATTTTCTTTTATATTCCCCCCTGCAATTGTTTCCACTAATTGCAATGTCTTTAAAACACACTGTAGTAGATAAATGTAGGCAGAAGATGTCTTTCAGTCAACAATGCACACATTCAGCGACACACAGGAGCTCTTTCAAGCTGGGCACCATTTCATTCACAACACCTGTCCCATCAACCAGGAATCAGAATCAGAAATACTCTAATAATCCCAATATAACATAATTTCATACAATATATATAATTAGGGGTCCCCGCTCCATCTCGCCATCAGTTCGGGGGTCCTTGGCCTAGAAAACGTTGAAGACCTCTGCCGTAAGAGACCGCTGCAGTGTCTGTATTACCACAGCAGCTGCATCGATCCATCTGTTGATCTCTTGCACCATTCTTCGCACACTTGTGAACAGGATCCCAGGATCCCCTTGAAGTCCTGCACTTGAAACATGAACTCTCGTCCAACCTGAAGAGGGGCAGCCACTTTTTTTCAGTAAAAAAACATGGAAATGGACTTGGAGGAGCTGATCTTCATCCTGGTTGCTTTACACTCAGCTGTGAGTCACCCCAGTGCATGCTGTTAGTGTTAGCAGTTCAGCATGAATTGGAAAAAAGTCCAACTTAATTCTGGAAATGCAGACCATACATTATCTCTGCTTGTAGAGAGACTGAATGGCCCCAAGTAAAGGGCAACAAACTCCATACTTCTAAATTTGCCCCCTTAGGGCACCAAGAGGAATATGTTCAAATGCCTTTTCCAAGTCCACAAAGTACATGTGGTCCAGTTGGGCAAACTCCTTTGAGAACCCTCCAGAGGGCTTAGAGTTGGTCCAGTGTTCTACAGCCGCAAAGAAAACCACACTGCTCCTCTTAAAGAGAAGGTTTGATGATCAGCTGAACTCTTCACTTCCTGAGTTTCCCTTCTTGTGAAGGGGAACCACCAGCCCAGTGTCTGCCAGTCCAGAGGCACTGTTCCTGGCTGCCCCGTGATGATGGAAAGGTGTGTCAATAACAACGGTCAAACAACATCCAGATATACTCACGGGAGTCACATCTACCCTTATATAGTCTTTCCATCATGGAGTTTTTAACAACTTCTGTGACTTTGGCCTGGATGATAAACAAGCCTGACCCTGAACATCCAGTTTCTGCCTCCAACAGGGAAAGTGTGAAAGCCAGGTTGAGGAAATGGCTTCAGTCAAGTTAGGCCATTGGTCTGACAGGTAAGACAGATATATATTGGACTATACCACTAAATGCCCACATGATGTTTTGATGACAAATGTAATGCAGTGTTGATTCCTAAAACAAACCTTGCAATATTTGTCTGCTACTACTTTCATCTTTACAACTGCATCATCTATGTCTCAATAATAGATTTATTTATTTTGTTTATCTTACCTTGTTTTATGGTTGATTTTAGTTTGATGTGTAATAGAAGAGGCTTCTGTGGTCTAATTTTATGTAATATGTAATTGTATATGTAATATAATGACAGCAAAGCTATTCTAATTTAAATTCAAATTTCTGCTAGCATATTTTTTTTATTAGAAGAATTACCTGAAAAAGGTCAAGTGTTCCGTAAAAATGAAACTGCACCCTTGTTGTGTTTCTGACTCCATGTGGAAAAAAGTTGATAAGCTCAGTGGGCAAAGAAATCGTTGCGTGTGCCTCTGCATGTGATTGGTTGACAAAACTCTGGTTAACAAAGACCTGGAAAAAAAAGTAAGACAGACATTTAAAATCTTTTCAGCTTAGATTTTCAAATTCTATCAATACAGTAAAATTTCTCCTTTACTAGCTTTTGCCGTTTTCTATTTTATGATGCCAAAATGTGACACTTTATTCACTTCATTATCATTATCTCCTCGACCATATGGCTGTATAAAGAGAGGGTTTTTATTAAGGAATTGTCTGCAGCTATTTCTTTTCAGACCATATTAACACTGTAATATCTCCTGATACATAGATCTTGAGTCCTCAGAAAGTGTATATACTGTATGTTGTCATGTCTGGGAGGATATAAAAGAGATTTTGTTTAAAAATAAATAGCAATTCTTAAAATTTTATCAAAAGATTTAACCAGATTTCTGATCTCTATTTTTCGTTTCACAGTGGGTTTGTTTGGAATAAAGTCCTCCTTGGTTTAGTAAAGTCCTTTGGCTCGAACATTCTCACATTGGATGTTTGAAGGTCACCAATCCATCATACAACAGTTACCAAACAAGTACTACCAACTTATCAAACAAATACAAACACTACTAACCATATATTTTGAGTAGTATTATCCATTATTTCAGGGTTTGTTTTTTTCATTTCACAAGAGACATGTTAGTAAAGTGCAATTTTATTGTACGAGGTGTGTGTAAAATCCACTGTGCTACTGTATCAGATGGAGTAGATTACAGTTCTGTTGTAATGTTTGTTAGGCTATCTTTATCTGCCTCTTTTCCACAGTAGAGATGTGTTGCAGCTTGTCAGCTACTACAAACAAGCTGTATCTCAAAATGCCTTTGTCCCCTCCTTAGGACCTTTTCTATTCTGAACTGCAGTTCTTTAAATGTACTGTATAAAGATTGATGTAAGTCTTTTTAAACAAAGGTGAAAACATGTTAATTGTTAAAATAAATACTTTTTTATTCTTTCGTTAAAAAATTCAAAATCTGAATTTACTCAAATGACACTATAAGTCTTAGCTGCTTAATCATTAAATGGGTTGGCCAGAAAATTGAGTTGCTCAACCTGTAATGGTTTATTTTCATCCATGAAGACAACATCTCTACATAGCACAGAGTATGTAAATTCTGTAAGGTTATTATCCGCTGTCATAAGAAGTCAAGGTACCAGGCACGCATGTTGGGCATATGAGAAGATTACATGCAGCATCAGTTTTTTGAAGAAGGAATGGGGGATGATTATCTAATTTAACGATCATACCACAGCATTATGCTGCAGTCCTGTAGTGTTGTGTACCATCAAAATGTAAGAGAGATGTCCTACGTTACCACTTTACCTCAGGGTTCATTGTAGATGAGAGGGACACACTAAATGTGAGACCGTTAAACTCTTCTGGATCGACATTGATCATGGAAAAAGCAAGTGCATGAGCCTTGATGTTTGCATATTCCCCACTGAATTCCATATTGTTACCCATCTGGTCTGTCAGATCAAGGAAACTTTCACAGAGGAAAAAAAGGAAAATTAGCAAAGTAAAATATAAGTTAAATACAGAGTTTTATTTGAATTCATTGAGTCTGTAACTTTTCTCTTACATGTCAGCCACTGGTGTTATATCAGTTTCAGAAAGCAGGATATTGGCCACAATGTGGACAATACGATTCCCAACTATAGTCTCAATGATGCTTACATCAACCACTTCACTTAGCTTTTCCATCACCGATCCCAACTCTGAGAAAGACAGCCCCGGCTTATTACTGAGCTGAGCATCGACAGCGTCCTGAATGATGTCCACAACCTCAGCTGCATTACCTAAGAATCATTCATATTTATCATTTGTATAAGTAATGCCATGTATAGAAAGAGATGTATGTGTAGCTGATTGATCCTCTTACCAGGTGTGACTGTAATGTTGCTGATCTCTGATATAGTTACGACCTTATCACAGTATTTCATATCAGGATAAGCCCAGTTGGTTGTGTCAGATTTAATGTCTAGTTTACTAAAAAAAAAATAAAAAAGACAATTAAGTTGTACAAATTAAAAGCAGTAGTATCCATAATATACAGCTGCTGATCATTAGCTCAATACGCATCAACCATCTATTGACAGACCATATAAAACTGATTATTATACAGTAATATTGTAGATAGTGAAAAGCCTTTCATTACAGCAATAATGCACGTGTATTGAATCAATTTCCTGTTCAGGCTGCAGGATGGCAAAGATTGAGCTGAATTACATAATTAGAGTTAAGTCTCTGAGGGTAGTTTGAGTCATATTGTTCATTATGTGACAGGTTCGGGTTTTTGCCATTAGGTCTCAGTGAAAACATAGCAAACATATTATTATGATCAGCTTTTGTAAAAGATAGAAAGAGAGCTACAAAAACAACATCTCTAATGATTTGAGGCTTTAAAAAAGCTGCATGTCTTGTTTAAAATATATTTGATAATAATTTGTAATACATCAAATAAAAAATATTTTTTCCATTCTTGTAGTATAGGGTTTTGCACAACATGGTAAAATCTTAAACCCCTAGCATCGTCCCTTTGCTGCAAAGACTGGTTGAAGTTGGAATGAAAAAACAGACTTCTTACCAAAGTCTGTAGGCTCTATTTGAAACTGGTTTGATACATCCCATCTCTGCAATGTCTTGTGGAAATGTTTCCGGCCAATTGTATTGCCCATAAATAGATGAAATGTCCTGTTTTAAACAGTTTTTTGGCTCTGAAAGACAAAAAATAATAACGAAAGGATTATGCAGCATGTTTATAGGTTGCCTTTAATTATGTAATTTCATTCCAACTCCTTATATTTTGACACGTTACTGTAAAAAAACTTCAAATGTAGATATTTCATTTCGGTTTTAGGAGCAAAAGCAACATAAAGTAGTGGATAATTGTGAATTTTAAGGAAAACAATTTTCTGTTTTTATATATATTTTACAAATAAAAATCTGAAAAGGATAATTTCCATTTACAGTATATTCCATGAATTTTATTTCCATACTTCTAAAACAAACTCCACTGTAAGCAAATGTCTTTAAAAGTCCATCTGTGTAAACAGTAGCTTAAATTTTACAGTATAGCTGTTCAGTGAGCGGCTCAAAGGAACGGATAACACCCTGAGGACTACAAAGATGAGGCAGCATGTCTGAGATGAGATGTGGAGAAAATAAAAGCATGATTAGGTTATAAAATGAATAATCAATAGTCAGAGAGCTGTTAGATTCATTGCTCTAAAATATGGAAAAGACATGGCACAATTATTAAACTAAAATAACGTGACCATCCACTTGAAATTACAAGCTGATTATTAATCAACAGTAAAGGTTACCCTGGAGGAGCACCACAGATCCACAGCTCAGTTGAAAAAAAATTTCACTAGGGACCTACAAGACTTCTTCACAAACTTTGATTTTTGTTTCTTTTTTTAAGTGCACCTGGACAGAGTCATTGTTAAATGACAGCCATGTGCTCGCCATAAGCTATGCAGTACTATTCAATTCAATTCAGTTTATTTATATACATGTAGCACAATTCACAACAAGTCATCTCTAGGCACTGTACAGTTCACCAGATCATACAGTGATTCAAAGTTTTCTATCTAAGGAAAACCAGTTGATTGCATCGACTCATTGACTCGAATGCAATCCTTCACACTAAGCATGCTTGTAGCGAGAGTGGAGAGGAAAAACTCCCTTTAACAGGAACAAACCTCCAGCAGAACCAGGCTCAGTGTGAGCGGCCATCTGCCGAGGCCGACTGGGGTTCAAGGAGACTGAAGCAGAGATACAAAAAGAAGCTGTAAAAGGTGTTCCCGTCCAGGAAGCACACAGCCAGGCATGTAAATGGGGATGGTTTAACCGGATGAAACCAATTTTGTACATTCTTTTTCAGAGAGCAATGAACTCTTAGAGATGTTAAAAGGATGCTTGTGCCAATGACCAATTGGTATATTTAGTCCATTGGACTGCCCTGATCCTTAATAACAAAAACAGATAAACTATGTGAAGCTTTGGATGAAAGCATATCCATCTGCAATAATAGTCTAGTCAAAATCCCAAACTTGAATTAAGTCCTGAATTAAGTCCTGAATCAGCTTTTAGTAGAATTTTCCAAGGAAGAGCTGGGAAAAACTTGGCAAAACTATTAGTTATTGCTCAGAAGACGTGCAGCAATGAAAGGTGGTTCTACAATATTGTCTCAGTAGAGCTAAAAAAATTTATAAAATTATAAATATCATCGTGTTGGTCTCTTACAGAAAATGGCAATAAGATAGGTTTGCTGTTGTAATGTGTCAAAATTAAGCTTGCGTGGAGATGTTTACGGTTTAAATGGATTGTGTTAAAAACAGCTTACCTATGTGTTTGATGGATACATTCTTTGTCTGAATTTCAAAAGAAGCATTTCCATATTTTGATATCAAGGCAAAATAAATAATGGACTCAACATCAGCCACATTGCTTTTGCGAAACTCCCGAACATGGAAGGCGCAGTTGTACCTACAGATAAGATAAATTAAAATGAAGGACATAGGACTAAACAATAAACTAACATAATATTTTACTTATAGTCACATACTGTTCCTCTTCAGTGTAGGAAGTCTGGAATACAGGAAAGCAGATATTTAAGCTTCATTTAGACTGATTTTTTTTTTTTTTTGATGATGTGGTTTGTTTTGGTACTAAACTGAAGTGAATACTTACCATCAAATTAGTATATTCTTTCATGCTTCTGTAATTCATAGAACAGTTAAAGCCAGAATTGAATTAAAAGTGTTAATGACTATGATATAGCACCAAATATACATAAAGACAAAATAATAAAAACACACCTACTAGAACTGTCCTTTATAATAAGATTCACCACTGTCATTGTGCCATTGGTCTCAAGCTGATGCTTTAGCTTTAAGGAAAGAAGGACAATGTAAATGGTTTTGGAAATATGATTTTAGAGAGATCATTTCAAGATCTTACCCAGTTCTCAATGAAGTCTTTTGGTCTTAAAAGGCTCCCTCTAATGCATAAGGTCAGATTAACCCGGAAAAACTGGTCTGGCATGACTGCAAAAGGGATTCATGGAGAGTAAGCAGACAAGTTCTATTATACATTGTACTGCAACTTACTGTATGTGCCCCTCATCAAATCCTGTGTTATACTAACTGTCACCAGTTGTGTTTCTTATAGGACACCATTTAGAGAATACTTGTTTTGTCTGACAAGCTATTTCAGAGTTCATTTTACCAGCTGTTATGCACCTTTACTTTGGACAATGATCCAGTGAAGACAAAGTGTTAGTTTTATGGCAGCAACCGTAACACCCATCCTCCAACTTATATTTTCATAAATTCCCCAAAACATGTAATTTACACATATTGCTAAAACATCTACCACTTTTCTCAAAAGCATTTTGTGTTGAATTATATACCTATAGTAAAGAAGGATCTAAGTAGTAAAGGCTGCTGGTGACCTTTCACTGAAGTCAAGTTGTCCATATTCAACTTCTAAAATTAGTTTCTATCTTGTGTAAAGCCTTTTTGTATGGTAACGGTGAGTAAAATACTGGACGCCATGCGTGATGTCAACATTAGCAAAGCCAAAGAACCGGATGGAGTACTGGGAAAGTTGTTAAAATCTCGCGTCCTTAAGCTTGCTGCAGTTTTCATTAGCATCTTTATCCATTCGCTCAAATAAGCTAAAGTTCAACACAAGCCTAAATAATGCTAAAATGATCCATGTGCCCTAATACTCTGCCTTTTAATGATCTTTTTACAATCTATATATAAATCTGGTTTCTAGAGGACTAACCCAATGCGACGGTGCGATCTAAAGGTCCTCCTGTTGTTGACTTGTTGACAGGCTGCGGTTGGGGACTCCTTGTTAGACCTTTTTCTGTAAAGAAAATGAATACTTTTATTGCAATTCCTTGCAATACACTTGTTTTATGATTTGAACCTTTGATCTAGAACCTTACCTGAGGTGGTTAATGAGGCTGAAAGGGTTGGTGGTGGTCCAGTCACATGAGGCAAAATTACTGAAAAATGGAGACTTAATCGAACCAAATATTACCAAATTATGGAAGGTTGTATTTAAAGATTTTTACAAAAAATGCATTGGAGACATTACTCATCTGTTTTAATCTGATACTTTATACAGCCTTTTATTAATGATAGTTTAACCCGAGAGCAAAACAATAAAGGAACAAAAAGAATGAAGACATGTCTAAAGTTGACACTTTATATAGCTTTAATATTACATAATGCTGGTACTACACCAGAAATGAAAAAGTAAAGTAGTTACTTTATGTGTTTAAATCAATACCGCCCCTTTACTACTGTTCTTTGTCAGTTCTGTTTGATGGGTGAATTGTAGCATACAGGACTCACCAGAAGGAAGCACCATGATGCTGTCATAAACAACCTCTATGGTGAGGAAGTTGAAAGAGAAGATTGAACTCAGTAAGGCACTAATGTCCGTCTGAACCTTTTTTACATCAGCTGTAGGATCCACAATCACATAGACCTCACAGCTGAAACTAAAGAGGGAAATTATTAGAGCTTGTCAACAGATCATTCAGACTAGTTTACATGATCCAATCTCACCATTTCTCACAAGTTGTGTTAGATCTCTCTGCCATATCCTGTAAAACGTGAACAATTTACACCTTTTAAAGCTGGATTTAAAAGTTACTTTTGTATTAAGGTATTTTCTTTGTGAGACGAATTCTTGGCTGTTTAAAATTAAATTTTCCTTGGGGATTAATAAAATATTTTCATTGCAAATTGAATTTTTACGTGCTCTTTCATCAGCATGTAGTATTTAGTTGCATACCTGCTTTTGATGTACATTGCAGGTTGGCCTGTAGAGGAGACAGAGAAGTCAGAAATGCTTTTTGCTTTATTTCTTTTTTCTTTAGTACATTTCACCTGCATCCGTAAAGACATACTATGTCAATGTATTTTGATTATGTAATTATAGATAGCGTTAAAAAAAACGTAAAGTTACACCAAATGTTTGATTAAACCTCCTAGATTCTGTGTACTTTTACTACAGTACAGCAGTTAGTTAAACACAGACTGAAAGGAGAACATATTTTACCTTTGAGATGAAATAAAAATGTCCTGGACAGAAGTGCTGTTAGGAAAAATGCTCACAAGCTGAAAAACAGAAACATAGTAAGCTACTCAACATTTTTTTTTTTGTATTTTAGCCCTCTAGCACTTTTGATTATCCACCTCATCTTACAATGACTGTTAAATATATACTGCTTAAAATAAATAACTCTAATATCAACTTTGCATGGGTCTGATATTGTAGCGTTGCATCCTTAGTGAGGCCAGACCATCAAAAACATGTTGGAGATGTTGAAAAGTTGTGACATGTGCATCAGAGCATCAGTGCTGCCACATGCCACCTGTCAAATTTCTTATGTTACACCTACATTCTTTCAAATTACAAACAGCTTTATCCTTAGACAAACATAACCAGAGTAGATACAAAGTACAGCTTTCAAATGTCGATTTCATTCATTAATAAAAAAACTATCCAAACCCCACGTAAAAAAAAAAAAAATTTATATATATATATTTAAAACAAAGCTAATCGAACTGTGTGGAAAGACCAACTAAGATATTTATGAGGCTTTAAGGCTCCAATTAACTGTCAAAAAAGGTAAAATGAAAAAACACAGAGTAGTGAACCATCCCAATAGTGACCGACCGAGCCTAAAGTATTCCAAAAAAAACACAAATTTCCCTCTGACATTTTTCATATGATACTTTTAGTGTAAAGATAACATAGCATTTATGAAAGCATTGAATACTGACAGTCAAACACAACTTTGGTAGTGTCTGCATCTGTTTTACTACCTTAGGAGGATTTGTTTTAACTAAAGAAACCAGGATTAGAGCTCTAAATCAGAAAAAGAGAATTTCAAGTCCTCAGTCTCTGATATTAAGCCTGGAAACAGATTGAAATCATTCAACAAGACAGTAAATCCACCCAAGAATAACTCTATCCAAAAGTCACAGTCGAGGCTTAAACCATTACGTGACAATGTGACCTAAAAGATGTTGTTAATGCAATAATTCCTCCACTGTACAGTAAAAGACCCAATACCCCAACTATGCATAAAGTATGGTTGCTAAAGGTGGTGGAAGCCGTTATTTGGTTTATAAGGCAATCATTTTCCTACATTAAACTTTCAGGGTTTGGACAGCTTTTCTCTGTTGAAAATTATTTCTTCATTTCAAAAAAACACATTGAACTTGTTTATCTGTGTTATTCTTCTAATTCGTATGATTGGAAGTATTTAACATTAATAAAAAAGCAAATCCTTATTAATGAAATGCTTTTTCACAGCTAATATGGACTGCTTTCAAAATTTGCCCAAGTGTTTGTTTGTTTATTTATTTATTAAAGCAAAAGCCCAATGTTCCTCATTTATTCAATTTATTAATCTTTACTCTAATGCTGTTATACCAAATGAGGATTTTCTGACATTGGCGTGCAGAATACTTGGAGGGGCATTGGTCTTTATATTAACTAATTTGATAATGATCTTAACACTCAAAGCCCCAAACAGATTGTAAACAGTCATTTGACTTTCACCTTTAGAGCTAGAATCTTCAGAAGGTTGGTGAACCATTGAGTATTACAAACTAATATTGTATATTTAACACCCTTTTTCCCAATATAGCTGTAATTGGGATCAGTATCAAAGCTTTTTTTAAATTGCTAAATTCATTTACATTTAGAACCCAACAAAACAAGTTTTTATATGCATAGCAAGTCAGGAAGCAGAATAAAGTGTTGTGTTTGTACCCAGTATCTTGTGATTTCTTCTAGTAGCAGGGAGCAGTTTTCAGAGTTTCTAGGAGGACTTATGGATGTCCACATTTGAACTTTGTATTCAGACCAGCCTAAAAATTGAAAAAAGATCATGTTAGCACAGTCAAAGAGTCCATGAACCTCAAAACAAGGTTATTCAGAAAACATGTTCTTTGATACCAAAATCAGTCAAATATAATAATTGATAGAATCACTATTTCAGGGCTTTCATAAGAAATGTACACCACTTGAACATCTTTCACATTACAGCGACATACTAGAGTATTCTCCTGGCTTATAGCATTGGTTATTGCAATGTGACTGTTAGCAAAGATCCAATTTAATACAATTGTTAAGTAGGAAATTAAAATATGAAATAGTTGGTAATCATTAGTATTCAGTCCCTCTAAATACTTCTTAAAATAACTTAGAATTTCAACTGGAAGCCTTTTGAGTTCACTATTCACAGACTTAACTGTTCCCCCAACTGTTTTATGCAAAACTGCTCCAGGTCTGTTTGACTGAATGGATAACATCTGTAAATAGTTATATTTTAAGCTTTGGCACAGACTCTTAGTTGGATTCAGGTCAGAAATTTGACTGGACCATAATCATTCTATTGCAGTTATAGTTGTTTTCTAATAAAAGGCGAAGCTCTGCCCCCCAAGAGCGGTTTTTTAATCCCTGTTTGTATCTTTATGAAGCTCATTCAAATGAGCTCGTCACATTAAAAATGGGTAATTAAATGAATTCGTTTTTTTAGAGATCAGTGCATTTTCCTTAAAAAGAATGTATTTTGCTCAGCTTTGAGTTGAAAGAGTATTATAAGTAAACATAAGAGCAAATTTGAAGAGAAACAAAAAAAAGGGTAAACCTTGAGTAAAAGTTAAGCTTCCTTTTCTCCACCACATTGGTTCTGACTTCTCTGGTCATCTATTCTGTACTGAAGAGGCTTTGAAAGAGCTGGGGCTGCTGAAATTGGTGACTTTTAATCTATCTAACAGTAACTCTGAATGAAGGAAATTTTACACTTAATAATATTCCTATCAAATGAATAGTTTTTACTTTTTAGAGAGGTTTTTTTTATCTGTGTTCAAGAAAATGTTTTATTTAAGTTGAAGACATTTTGCTCCAAACATTTCCTGTGTTTCTTCCCTGTCTTGCAGAAAGTTCTATTTTTTTATTATTCTGAGCAGAGGACTCTTTTAAAATTGGCTTGTAATAGTATTTCTTACAACAACTGTCACTCTTTAGTAAATGCCGGATTTAGCAAGTGGGCCATGTTTTATTCCCCCACTTAAACCATAAATATTTACAGCTCATCTAGGCTTGATATTGATTTCTCGAGTGGTTCTCTTAATAATGCCTTTATCAGATTTGTCAGTTTTATTTGATAGCCATCACATTTCTGCTAATAGTTTTGCATCTCTAATTGATTCAGAATTGTTTCTTGGTTGAGGTATCGCTTTCTTCACTCCATTAATTTAGAAGCATCATTACTAAGGTGTAAAGTCAGACAAATTAGAGATTATTATTTTAAGATAATTTTTTTTCTCCATTTCAAGTTAATTTGTGTTAACCTGTCACTTTAAAGAGCCCTGTAATAAAAAAGTTCACTAAGCTTTACTCTTTTAACACCAATCCCTTTGCAGACCTAAATCATCAATTATATCAGAAAAAAAAAATGCAAATACTAACTGCAGTATAGATTGTTGACAGGCACAGGAGGGCAGTCATATTCCCACTGCTGCAGATCCCATCTCAACACGTCCCCATCTGCGCAGCCCAGGCTGCTCACTTCCTCAGCGCTCCATTCTCTCCCCCACATTCTGAATAGACCTATCTCACCAAGCAGGTTGGTAGCACTCTCTGGCTGCACTTCACCATCAGGTCGAATAATATGAGACACCCCCAGAGTCAGAGTGCCATGCTGTCCCAGTTGCTGGTGTGTATCTACTGAAAAAACAGGTTCTTCTCTCAGGATGGTTCCATTTAAGTAAACCCTCAGTCTCTGGTTTTCAGCAGACCATGTAAGACAGATGGAATTCCATTCCTTTGTTCCGAGTTCCTTATATATTTTGTATTGTTTTCCAAAAAGCCAAACTTTCAAGATGTCAGCCTTGCCTCCAAGTCCCAACTCTCTCAGTTTGGAGTCTCTAGATCTATAAAGAAATCCTGTCCACTCTGTTGAGAGAGTACGTTTTAAAAGGATGCAGATGCTCAGCTCTGTCAGAGCTGGAACCTTCACTTCTGGTCGGAGCTGCCAAAGACACTGGGGGCCTTTGAACTCCAGCTTCTTTCCCCACAGACTGGCATATGCAGAGCTGGCTGCTTAAAAGACACAGAAAAGACAGATGATAATCTAAACTGTAGTTATTAGTCTCAGCATACATTGCTGCAAATGTATAAAATAATGAAAAAAGAGTTTAGAGACCCATGGATAGAGCAATGAATGCATTAATAAGCAACGTGTTAGTGGCTTTCACAGTAAACTGATTTCTAATAAGCCAACTGACATAAAAAATGTGCTAGATGTGGGTAACAAACCAAGGAAGTAACACATTAGACAAATAATGGCAAATAGATTAATAAATTATGTTTGGCTTAGGAAGCAGAATAATCAACGCCTTTATAAAAACAAGATGTGAATTATCATACACAGCCAAAGATTTCTACACATCATCTTCCACTTTATCCAGGATTGGGTTGTGTTGGAAGCCGTCTTAGCAGATGACATCACAGGGTTCTTCAATGCTGGCCTAAAGACCAGTGTGTGTTAGCCCATCCCTACTACCATCATTTCACCCAAGGCAGAAAGCATGTAATGCGCTATACAAGTTACTTTTTAAAGAGTGGAAGCAGTTTTTACAACACAACAGATGGAGGGCTTCAGAAAAATGTAGCTTGACACAACCTACCAGTTTTTTATCCGGAAAAATACCTGCAGATGTTGCTTAGTGTCAAATTAAAATATATGATTTAAAAAAAAACACTTTATTTGGCACTATATAGAGTTTTTTAGAGCCAGAGTAGTGAAGGACTTAAAAATAACCCTTGATTCTCATTATTTATTTTTTTGTTCTCCATGTCCTTAGCCTAGTACTCTGTGTGGATTAGGCATATTAGATATATTTCTAAACTATACATCTTAATTGATTCTCCTTGTATTCCTGCTGGTAGAAATTCTGGTTCTTTCAATGACTTTAAATCTAATTAAGATAATCTTGCGTATGGCAATCCATGAGAAACTACAGCTGTTCCTTATCTGGTTACTTAATGTAAGTAATAATGAGCATTTATACCCTTAAAATAAGATAATATGCACTTGAAATAAGAGACTGCAGTTGATTTTTCTTATTCTAAATGTAAATTGTTTTGTTCAATTAGCAAAATGTCACCAAAAATAAAAAATTTCTTACTTAAATTTTAATTTTTTGCAGTATAGATAGATAGATAGATAGATAGATAGATAGATAGATAGATAGATAGATAGATAGATAGATAGATAGATAGATAGATAGATAGCAGATTTGCTGCCATATGCAATATTATTCTTACCTGAAACTAGAGGACACACTAGGATCAGTATAGACAAACAGATGAACAGTGGCGTTAGGCCTCCAATTGACTTCATGACAGCAATAACTAATAGAAATAACCTCAGGACTTCTGCAGAAACCAAGTTTTCATGTGCTGCAAGAGAAAAATAAAATTAGTCATGTTTTTGTTTATTTGCTTTCTTCTCAAGAAATAATCAAATGCAAAGGATGTATCCATGACTGCATGACTACATTGAGTAAAATAAAGCTAACTTACCACCATCTTCCCACCTCAACAATAATCCAGTTTGATGGTAAAAGAAAAGAAAAAAGTCAGCTCTCACCTCAATCAAGAAGCTGCCTGGGCCGTGACATCTAGAAAATACCCCTTTATTACTCTATGGGAACATCTCCACTCCCTCTCCCTTTGGTTGCTTGAGTTACTCATTAATCACAAGCAGTAAAATTAACCAACAAACATGATATTGCTTAACACAAAACCTTATGAAACAAAAAAAATATCTTTTGTACGTCTCATAAGGTTTCATGGCGATGTTGACAATTTGTTTCTTGCAATTTGAAAGACCACGATATAGATCTCTGTCTCATTGCAAAAAAAAAAAACAAATAATCCTTTAGCTGCTTCCACAAATACATTGATTAAAGAATCAGAAACATTTTTCAGCCAAGTGTTTAATGTTTTATGTCTTAATAAGTGACCATGGTGACAGCCACATCATGTTGACGTTTCTTTTCTGCTCCTCTGTGTATGTTTGTCCAGAGGATTTATCAAGTCATGAGTTCAACTTAATATTCTTATGCTTTGAGGGTTATCTTCAAGTGATAACTATCCAAACAAACTTAATTGCCTTTTCCATGACACATAAAATGACTTTCAGTGGTAAATGTCTGAGGGTAAGAAAAGGTCACTACGACATTGAAAAGGTTTGACAATTTGTGTGTTCTAAGATATTTTTTACACTATTACCAAGATAAATTTTTCATCAAAATTGGTGCTTTGTGTTGTTTTTCCTTCTACCTCTTCTTTTCCCATCCAGTGGTAAAACCTTGTATTGCAACTTTTTGAATTCAGTGATGTTGTGCACCCTCTGTTACCCACCATATGAGTCGAGACTGCAGCAAGGTATTGCTTACAGTAGAATTTGACCCCAGAAACACAGAGACAAACAAAGGCCCTATGTTGCAAACAAGGGCCCCATTCATCTATTTTTGTCCTTCCTTTTCATTTTAGTGCTCCAGACTAAAATAAGAAGGTTCCCCATGAGAGAATCTGATACGACCAACTGGTGTGTGACGTTGGGTGCCCATTTTGGGGACTTATATCAATGGATCTAAAGGCTGATTATCTCTGGTTGGGAACCCCTACTGCGTCACTAGTGAGGTTAAAAAAAAGGGATTTCCCAAGGCTCTTTCCCACCATTGCCTTCCTCTTCAAAATTTCGAAGAAAGTTTGGGAGATGGTTGAGATCAGGAAAAACACTTAAAAATTATACCTATATAACAAAATATTTGGATCTTTTGGAATTGGGTAAGTGATTAAAGTTTTGACTCTATCTATTATTTTCACAAAATATTTTTAACATCTGAACTCATTTTATCTTTTTTAAGGTTGTGTGTGTTTTTTTGAAGCCATGTTTACTTTTCTGATTGGAACTTCCTTCATAATGATGGTATGTTTGTTCATTTATTAGTTTCCTCTTCCAGAGGCTATCAATTCAATGACAGTGAAGAGTTTGGCTGAATGTTCTGTTAATGTGTTTGAACTTTTCCTGTATTTCATTGTGTTATGTAATGCAACCAACTATTTTTTTGTGATGGACAAATACAAAGAAGTGCATCATAATGAAGTGTATAAAATATTACCTATTTTTCTACATTATATCTACAAATATGAATCTAAACGGTGTCGCTTGAACTCATATTTACCCTGTCATCACCCTTAAGGAAATCCTGTGCAAACAATTTCCTTTAAAAAAGTTGCCTAATTAGTTCAGCGTCCACATGTGTGTGATTTTATATTAGCATGAACACATCTGTTTACATGAGTTTTCTATTGAGCAATCAACAGCATCTCGGACGACACATCACATTCTAATGAGAAAGAGATTAACGTTTAAGTTTTGTTGCATCTGAAATACGTAAAGAGTGAGTAGCACTCAAAAACATTCACGTTTCACTGTGGGAATGAAAGCATCATTCAGCAGGGACAGGGCATTTATGTTTAGGTGGATAAAACTGAATACAGGAAAATACAGAAAGAAAAACTCTTGGCTATAAAAAAAAAATTTAATAAATAGCTTTTGCACATACAAAAACACAAGGACTTTTGTAGAGCAGCACTTTCCAGCAAAACTGACTTAAATAAACCCATAGCTCCAATGAAATGCTGTAGATCAGAAGTTCTCAAGTTTAAGTCCTCTGGGACCAGTGCCCTCTAAATTGTATTTTATGCTTCAACACACCGGAATAAAATGCTCAGGAGGGAATTCAATGCATGTGTTTGAAACGTCTAAAGCAGCTTCAGAGGGCAGGGGTTTCAGACCACGAACTTATATGTATAATATCCAGGTCTTAGAAATGTCAAGTCCACTTTTGTTCAACGTCAATCCTCAAGGCCTTACAACCGTACAACATAGCTGAATCAAATAAATTGTGGTTGCATGAATTTTCTCCAAAATTTTAAGATTAAAGCAATTTAATTTCATAGCAAATACTCATTAACTTTTTTTCTTTCTTTTTTTCCCCCTTCCTTTTAAAAGGGAGTTTTCCTCTCCACTGTCGCTACAAGCATCTTTGTGTTGATGCAATCAGCTGGTTTTCCTTAGATAGAAAACTTTGAACCGATCTGACTGTATGATCTGGTTGAATCAACTCTGTAAAGTGCCATGAGATGACATGTGGTGAATTGGCGCTAAATAAATAAACTGAATTTAATAGATAATTTTAACATAGACCTATTAAATAAAGCTTACACTTTGAATATTAATTTGAATGATAAAGCTTATTTATTTGAAATACATAATTATTAAATGTATATATTTAGTATAAATAAAATATACTTACTTAGAATTAATAATAATGAATGTATTTATTTCAAATACATAAAATAGTTTGTCTAAATGGCATAAAAGTTACCTGATTATTATGCTATTCAAACAATATTTAATATTCAAACTATGTATATTTTACTAATTCTAAATTAATAAACCTCACAATTATGTATTTTGAATAAATAAGCTTTACCAATCTAATTAATATGCATCATGTAAGGTTTATTCAATCGTTTTGTGTTCAAATTATCCTAAAAAAAGTTTGGAATTTGTTATGTTATAAAATTACATAAATTTGGTAGAAATATTTTGGTGAGTGTGGATTCAGTTGGTCTAAAACAATAAATATCTAAAACATGCAGGACAGCAGCTTATATATAGACACTGCACTGACTGAAAATGTATACAGCCCATTCTATATATAGCCCAACTTTTTTGCAAAGGACAGTTTCTAAAATAAAATCCCATCCTTTAGATGTTAAAAAGCTGTTAGAGATCTATCTAAAAAGGAACTGCTGTGAGATGTGGATCTAAAAAGTTATAACTCAAGGGGCAAATCACATGCAGGTAATCCGCTTTATAAAATAGTTTATGATTTTGTTTTTTGTTTTTTTTACATTTTCAGATGATGCAATACTTCGTGCTTGTCTATTACAAAATCAATAAAAATATGCTGAATGTTGTGTTTGTGGCAACCTGTGAGGAACTTTAGGTGGTAAATCTTTTGCAAGGTATCATATGCTGATGATAAAAAATAAGAATAGATCTAAGGATGGCTTGCAAAACATTTACCAGTGTGTTTCTAAACTTTGACAATCCCTGATCTTTGTGTGTGTAGGTGCTATCTGAGCCCAGATGTGATCAGACAGAGTTCTTACACCAAAATGGCACCTGTGTTGAATGCCCTGTTTGTAAGCCTGGAGAGCAGCTATCCGGGGTAATGCACCACCTTTTTAGCTGCATGATTTCCTGCATTTAAATTTGTTGACTAAATCTAAACCATGTTTGTTTTCAGGATTGTGGCTTTGGTTATGGTGGAGATGGGGTTTGCATTCTCTGTGAAAGGGGGACCTTCAGCACAGTTACAGGTGTGGAGCCCTGCAGGAGATGCACTCAGTGCAACCTGCTGAACCGCCATATGCTGACCGATTGTTTTCCCACCAGTGACACTATGTGTGGGAAGTGTCTCCCAGGGTGAATCCCATCCACAATGCTGAAGCAAACCCCAGCTACATTTCAGTAGTATTTCAAAGCTTATATATATGTATGTATGTGTTTTATGAGCAGATATTATGAACTTAAGAGCATGACAGGGGATGTGGAGCTGCTATGTATTCCTTGTGAGAGCCAGGATGCACTCCATAAAGAGTGTAGAAGCTTTGCATCTCGAGGCTCTAAAGCGCGTATGAATCAAAACTCACAGACACAACAGTGGAAAAATTATGTTTAACTTTTCGTATGTATTGATAATTGTCTAAAAACTGTCATTTTTGACATCTGACAGAGAGCGCCATCATGTTACCTGTTGGAAAGTCGGACAAACAGACCGAAACAGGTAGTTTCACAGTTCCAGAGGGAGGTTTACATGAAATCTTAATGTTCTTGGATATCATCAAAGTTTGGGGCATTTAATGATTTATTTGAACAATGTTTTATTTTTATTTTTTATTGGTTGTTTGTATTTTTATTATCATAATTAGAATGATCATATACGTTGAATTAATAAAATGCTTAAATACAAGACTTTAGAAAACAAGTTAGAATTTCTTTTGAATTAAATATAATAAAATATACTGTATTTGGAAAGATATATAAAAGTCACTGATGTTGGTTGAATGACCACAGAATCCTGAGAAAAATGCAATTTTTTTTATTTCTTATTCATGACTTTAGCATGACTGGCTTAATTGTTCTCCTTTTAGGAATGAAGGAGGAAAGTATTTCTGCTGGCCTTATTGGTGCTGTAATAGCCTCCTTGTTTCTTCTTATTGCTACGTTACTTTGGGTTGTCCTCCTGACTGCTAAAAGATTCAGTAAGTAAGATTATTTTTAATATTTCAGCCATATTTGCTGTCTTATTTATGCATGGTTAGGATATGTCAGATTCTAAACACATTACCTCGTTCAGAGCAGATTCCTGAACGATGTATAAAACCTGAGGGGTTACTGTCTGGAGCAAACCTTCGGTACGAGTGTCCCTCTGGTCACACAGGGAAAGCAACGCAACAAGACACACCTTTAGAGACCAGTTTAACCGAAGATACAAGGTACATTTTCTGTAAATGCTGGAACAAAGAACATTACAATAAGCATTCATAGAATCTAAGTCAAATTTTGTTTTTTTTTAACTACCGGTACATCCATACCCAGAGGGCAGAACTCACTGAACCATGAGAGTGAGCTGCATCCCACTTCTATCGTGATTAATGTCACCACCAACATCAAGCCCTGCAGTCAGAAACAAGATAACATCATGCAGGACGGACAAACAGGCTTTAATACAGAGGAGGTATTTTGTTTTCCTTCTTAAAACTCTGAGAATCTTGCAAAAAATACTGAGCTCTGTCTTCAGGTTTGGGCAAATAACTTTCAAACTTCAGTTTTAAAGTAAATTCTAAATAACTTTTACGTTTAAAAAAAAACACTTCAGGATACTCTGATGAAACGATTGTATTTTTTTTTATGTTGCAGAGAGTTTTACTCTGAATATTGATTAACTTGCTTTTAACCCTTTACATCAGTTTGCCAAAAATATTCATTCATTCATTTAAATCGCAGACTTTTTTTTGTTCTAATCACTTCTATTATCCTGTATGTAAAATCAGACAAATAGGTATGCAGGTTGCTTTGACCATTATTAAATCTTGTGGGGTACCATGATAGGATGTCAAGTAAGTTTAGTTAAAACATTTTCTCTATGCTATTTATTACACAGTCTGCTGTTAGCAATTTTACAACAAAAAATGATCGGGAAAAAAGCGAGTTTAGTTGCAAATGGCTCAAACCACAGACCAGGGTTTCTTTCATGGCTTAGCAGATGCATCAAGTCTTACATCACCAGGTACATTAGAATTAAATAGATGCAGCAGAGGCGTGTAATCCAGGTTCAGAAATTAACAAGCTTGAACAGAGATTACCTCCAATATTTGTGTTTCCATGTCCAAAGCAAAGGATGCAGGAAGTCTTGATGGGGAAATTTACTTTCTGGAGCTGGAATTACCCTTCTCCGGGATGCAGTGCAGGAAGGAAGTGTCTGATCTGCACAAAATTCTCATCTAAAACTGATGTCATCTAACATCAATGTCTGACCTGAGAAATTACAAAACAAAAGAAAAAAGTCCTCTGAACACACGCTGAAGCAGTGTTGATATATAATCATATATAAAGGATTTATATATTATTATGAATGATTATCCTAGTTACTAAAGTACAGTGAAAAGCCGCATTAAAAGAGTGAGGCTGTTTAAATAAACATCAATAGTCTGTAATGTGCTCTGGTTTTTGAACCAGTTAAACACTAGAGGGCAGTAAGAGGCATTTTCTTTGGGAAAACTTCAGCATCATCTTGCTTTTCTCTGTGCCTTTATGAGTATCAATATAAATGAGTAGTTGATACGGTCAAGATTATTCTAAATCAGTGTTCCGTCTTTATGATCAAATAAAATTATTTAGATACTGAACAAACAAAGGTGGAGAGTTGGCCTAGTGATTAGAGCAGTGAGCTTGTGCTCTGAAAAGGTTGCAAAGTATCCGGTTCGATCCCCACAGCCTGCATTCTGGCTCCCTGAGCAAGACCCTTAACCCCACACTGCTCCTCGGACGCTGCACAATAGCAGCCCACTGCTCCCCAAGGGGATGGGTTAAATGCAGAGGTGAATTTCTCCAGTGTTAGATCAATAAAGTTCAATTATTTATATATTTAAAAAAGTGACCATGACTAATTTTCTATATCGACTTCAGATGGAGCAAAAACTGCAGAGAATATGGGAGATTGCCCAAGGTACGTACTTTATGTTCTCTGATAAATTTCTGCCGTAAAAAGGTATTAAAGTTCTTCAATTGGATGAGTTTTTATTTTGTTAAACCTTTTTTCTGTCACTTCTGTTCTGTATTTATTCAGGTCAGAGTATTGAGATACTGAACTATGACACCATTCAGGATTTGTCCCTGCTGCTCGACTCTCCTAACCACCTTTACATTTTAAGGAAGCTGGGGCTGTCTTTGGGTGTGCCCCCTCAGCTCACTGCTCATTTTCACAGTTTCCAGGACCTTTTTCAGTATCTCCGTACCTCCACCTACACTCAGCTTCCTCAACTGGCCCAGGCCGCTGCACTCCTTCCTAATTTTGAAGTTGTTTCAAGGATATACAGAGCTCTGGTGAACAAGTGATTGCTTACACCCTGAGGGTGTGTTCCCATGACTTGAACTATACCCTGATCTGCTTTAGATGATGAACCAGTCACCTGATCACAGTGTATACCTGTACCTACTCCTGGAGCAAAAGGACAATAGAAAATACTGAAAAAAAAAATAGTCTCCAAGTGAAATGTGATATTAATGAATGTAAATTGATCATTCATAAGAGGTTTGACTACACTAACTTCCTTTGTAAATAAATGCTGAAAATCTTAAGACACTAAACTACAAATGACATATAAGTATCAGAATGCAGTAGTACAAAAGAAACAGATTTCAGACTTTGTGTGTTTTGTCAACAATTTATATTATATCCATTTTAATTCAGTCACAGCTCTAAGCAAGGGTTTTTGCCTGTTTACAAAGTAAACAGGGTTAGCAGCCCTCTGGCTAAAGCATGTGAGACAAAGCCGGACAGAGAATACTGTGTTCACGGTAAAAGAGAATAACTTGAGCTCTGAAACCATTTTCAAATCCTCTTATTGGGAGATGCCTGTGAATTGATCATCTCTAGAAATTATTTGGCACATTAAATCTGGTAAGCGTTTAAATTATTCTATTCTTTCTTGTCAAACTTATGTTGAAAACTGTTTATTTATTTTTTTTGTTATAATAATAAAAGTGTTCTTAATTTATAGTTCCCAACGTCTGAAATTAATAAAATGTTCTATCCTAATTAATAAATAACACCAGGATAAGCTGATATGTTTTAAACAATAGTACTGGAATGGGGCCTTTTTTTTTAATAAATATATATATTGCAACTTAAAAACTTTTTTTAGGCAGGTGAAATACACTCTCTGAACGCCAGAGGGCGCTTGAATCATAATAGGATATTACCACAGTTGACTCGCCTTTCTCCTTCTTTATGCGCGATCGTTTATTGAACAGATGAAGTGCTAAAAACGTTTTCAGAAAAACTGGACGGAAGTCGAGTTCGAGAAAATGTATTTAACACTTAATGAAACATGAAAAAATAATATAAAGAACGCATTTAAATACAATTAGTAGCCAAATATTTTGCTAGAAATTATAGAAATTGTGAAAAACATTGATGCATTTACCTATATTTGCAGCAGTATGTTGAGCTTGTCGAATTGTTTATTGTTATACTTTGAGTTCTCACCTTTTTTTTTTTTTTACTTGTGTGTACCTGTATGTTTATATAGCCTATTTGATCTGCCGCCAGCACTTGATTTTTTTCTCTTGATATATTTTATATTATTTACCCATGAATTTATTACTTTAAAAATAAATACTGTTTCATTACACATGAGTTGTATAGCTGTCCCTTTTTAGAATTGAGTTAACGTGACTATATTAGGACATTGTCGGGCCTTGCTTTGTGTTATGGTTTTATGTAAATGGACAGAGTGAGACCTCACCTTCAACCATCTTTGATGTCCACGTACCCGCGGTGTCCGAGTCCAACCGGCTGTGCCGCTGTGTCGCGCGCCCCTGGTGTAGAAAAAAAAACACAGAGGGAAAACTTCATAGAAATGGCGGAAAGTACTACGACGCTCAAGGGCTTGAGAGCCCAGATGGGTAAGCGAAAACAGAAGGTTAACTTGCTATCGTTTCAGTTGTTTTTGCCGCACGGTGTGGAAATAAGGCTATGATCTTTTCAGGCTGCTTTAATCGTTCACCGGTTTTTTTTTTTGAGCGGCAAGTTTTTCCTGGCTAGGAAACGTTAGCTCCCAGTTCGGTCACCTGCTTACAATGGACGCAGACAGAGCTGCAACTTCTATATCTCAAGTTAACCGTGTGTTTTCTCTTCGTTCTTTCTTTCTATTTTTCCTTTAAGTGCTTCTCAGAAGTAAGCATAAACTTTATGAAAGCCAAACCGACTAATGCCACACATTAAAAGTTGACGTATTTAGCTAAATGTGCTAATGCCGGCTGATGTATCACAACGAAATATCACTCTTGACAAATATTCTCCATTAACTTTATCACTGTGTCCTCTTTGGATAACAACGTGCCATGTTTTTAATGACAAATTGCACACAAAGGCTGCTAACTAGCTTTAAATTGCAAACTCTGATGTTTTCTATCCTTCTGTTTTTATAATAATTTAGCAATGAACATTTGTCATCTCATCTTTTACATATTGTTTACAGTGATAAACTGCTTTTTTTATGGGTGCCACGTTCTGCTCTGCTACCAGTCAGTAGGCTCATGGTGCATTCATGTTGCAGCTTCCTGTTTGAAATTCCTCTTTATCTTCTTTCGCCCCCTCCTCATATGTTGTTGGTCATTTGTTTCTGTTTTGTTGGCATATGGCATAACCCCCTCCACCCCTAAAAGGGTGTATAGCAACAACGACTGACCTGAATTTTTAGGAGAGAAAGCTGGAGTGTCAGCCTCTGATTGGATCATTTCAGTCTAAAGCTGTTTTGTTGTTGTTTTGAGAGATGCACTGATCATTGATGTCTGTTTTGTTTTTGTTTTTTTTTTGTAGGTCTGACTGGTCGATTCTTTTATATATATATATATATATATATATATATATATATATAAAAGGGGTCTGAGCTACTGAATCAGATTAATATATTTGTGTAAGAGCTTACAAATGATGATGTTTTATATAACTGTTTAATATAAAACTCCAAAAATGCAATTCTGCACTTGTTATTAGTTTGTACATTTAAAGCCTGAAACTAGATGAGGTTCCTACTTTTGTTGGAATGAATGAAGAGCTGAATGCTGATATGTATTTATTTTTGTTCCAGTATTTGACCTGCAGATTTATTTATTTTTTACAACAAGGATTTTTTTTTATCCCCTAAAGCCTACAACTCATAAAAGATTAAATGTGAATGGAATCTTGAATGCTTTGGTAATTTAGTTGAAATGTTCCTGGAGTAGAGATGCATTGATAGGGATTTTCTCTAAAGTCTCATGTCTGATTTACTGATATTTTTGTTTAATTTTTTTCACTCCACCATTAAACATAACAGATACAATGTGTAGAAGATTTGTTGATAAAGGTGATACATTTTCATTTAGCAGGAAATTAACTTCTTCCCAGTTCATGCATCGAATTGCATTTCCCCTAGCCTAATCTATTGATTTAGAAAAAAATACATATTTTTTTTGTTCCTAAGCTCATTTATAACCTGAACATACTAAGTTTCTTACATTTACAAATAATGTTAAATTAAATAAGATATTTCACTAAGTTAGCTTCAGATAAAGGGGAAATTGTCAGATTCCAGTCCCTCGATTGATTGAAACCTTAAACTAGCTTTAGTTTTAAGGTCAGAAACCTGCTTTGTTAAGCAAAAGAATCCCAGCATTTTTGGATGCGGAGACATGTGGGTAGACTGAAGCAGCAGTCTCTATCAGTGCTTTTCATCTCTGCTTAACTGGGCTCATGCAGACTTGGATGTTTACTGTGTTTGCATCTGTGGGCATGAATGCTAGGCTTGTTATGGCTGTAGCAGCAGTCAGGCTGTGTGTTCAAGCGATTTAGGGTATGAGGGAGTTCTCTGCATACCCAGTATGGGTGTAGGCACGTTTTTACTCCTGGCTACAAGTGCACCATATTTAGAACTGATCTTCCGGTTTCTCCCTTAAATTTCCAGTCAGTATTTTCTATCAGGAATTTGCGTCCACCCAGTTCTGTGGTTTTATGAAAATGTCCACTGAGTGTCGAGTTACATGTCGGAATTCAGGCTTTGTGGGAATTAAAAAAGGAATCGTTTGACTGACCTTGAATGAGACTGGAGGACTCGAATTGATAAAATAATGCAAGAAATCTTGCTAGTGAGCATTGTCTTTTCCACAAGAATGTGAAGAAGGAGAAGATTCACCCTGAAGAAGCCAAAAATGATCTAAAAAATGCATGTAAAAATGTAAGCTTGTTCAGAGCTTGGAAGAAATGCTTCTGCAGAAATAATGAAGTAATTTATTGTGTGATGTGGGCTCCTGAAAAAAAGCACAAAAAAAGCCTCAAAGCACGAAATTTCAGTTTTAGTTTGCAGCTATTGTTTTGAATTATCGCTTCAAATATGTATGTTTCCTTACTTTGAAATATGTTTATTACATTTATGAATTTAACTCAAGTTTACTGAATAAGTAAGAAGTTTAGTTTAGTCTATTTTTTATTGATTGGTTGTATAAATATTAACCTTGTTAGCTTTCTGACTGTGATGTCAACACCCTTACAAAAATGAGGTTAACATTAAGAGTAGATTGACTTGAATGCTAAAGGGTTTTTCCTTTTTAAGCAGTTAATGTGCACTAGGTAACTTTAAAACTTACATATTTTTACTTTATGCCTAAAAATGTTACTATGTACTCACAGTAACTTGCAAACGGTTATCCTTCTTTCAGAGGTGTGCATTATTGTGTAATGTAATTAGTATCTAGGTATGGGTTAGGCATGAGTATGACATCCTCACACTGTGATTATCTTTGTGCAACACTAGGAGAATAGCAAAATGATTTTAACTGCTTAATTAGTTGGGCTGTCTGCTTAGACAGCCACGTTGAACTTTCTTACCTGCTGTAGTTACAAAATAGTCATCTTTGTATGAGTGACTGGTGCTTTATTTTCCAACCAAGTCTTTCTTTTTTTAAACTATGAAAAAGTGTATTAGTCTTTCTGCCTGCTGCCTGGCAGTGTGCAGTAACAGCTATGGTAGACCCAGAGCTGTGTTGCTTTTTAGCTCCATGCAGCCTTAGAAATCCCAGTCACTTCAGCAATACAGCTGACCTCTCATTCAAGAAGACTTTAAACCTTGGCAATGCTGTGGTAGAAAAATATTGCACTTTTTAAACACTGGGACTTCGAGTCGATCCATGCCTACTCAGTTATGAACACAATTTAGCATTTTCCCAAGAAAACTATTATTTTTCCACACTATAAATTGCTACTATATATTATATATTGCTAAAAACAGTTGCCTTCTGTTTATGCTGTTAACCTGATGTTGTGTCCTTAGGTTTAAATCAATATATAGATGAATTGAATGCTCCTTTATTAGCTGAACTATTAGAATTGAATTATATCATAAGCAAAATCATAGGGGCACAGAAGCGTACAGCATACACCCAATAGAAAAGTTATATTGCAAATAAAAAAAAGTAAATTTGTTACCAAAAATAAAATTGGAAGTCAGCCTTATATCAATATGTGGGGAATAAAGGTCTGTGATATATAGTGTATTGAATATAGGGCTGAAACAAATAATGCTGATTAATTCATTATTGAAATAATTGTTAATAAAATAATTGTTAACTGGCATGCCATTTTCGAAATACTATGGGCAGTTGATAAGAATAGATAGAATAAGTATACATTTTTTGCGTTTAATATAAAAAAAAGCGTAAATTGCCAGTAAATTTGCTCTAGCCAGAGCTCCTAAAGTAGCAGTTTTAGCTTCACCTGGTTAAAATACTGTCATAGAAGTATCTTCTATTAGCAACATTTTTTTTTATTTGATAAGTATCTTGATTTAATTATACAAATACTCAACATAATAACAATGGTTAGTTGAAAAAAAAACAGGCTATATAAAAGAAGAGCATCCCTTGGTTATTGGGAGTTAAACTGAATTTATCCTGATTCTTCATTTCTGATTTGTTTTGGCTCTATGTAGCCTATAAATAAATAATTACAGAAAAATGCATAGAAACAAAGGTTGACAGCAGGCACAATGGATTTATTCTGCTTTATTATGAAATAGACAAAGTATTACAACTTGTATGTTGAATAAATATTGTTTGTGTATATGAATAAAATAATTATTGCCTGCAGCTCTAAGAAAAATGGGTCTACCTGGAGGATGGTACTCTCAAACTGTGATGTGTCATCATTTCCTGCTTATACTGCAAATAGCCATGGCTTACGGTTGCATAAACAGGCCTTGGTAATCCTACAGCAGGTTTAGTGTGTGTGTTTTAAGATTTATCAGCTGTGTCATTTGACCTGACATTATTGGATGGTTGATTGTCTGAGATGTCTGGCGTGGTACCGTTGAACATTTGGTTTGTTTTAAAAAGAAGGGAAAAAGAAAAAGATGTTTTAAATATTTTTAATAAATATTTATCTATCATAGCCCACTTCCTTTTCTGATCCACCCCATTTATCAAATTGGTAATAAAAATCATGGTATAGCAGGATCTCATTACTAAAGAGTTCTTTCATTGATATTCTTCGTGTCCTTGCTGTGGGGCTGTGGAGATCATGGGGAGAAACTTTACTCCCCTACTTCCTTCTTTGTGGGTCGTCTGTGAATGAGAAGGTGTTATACATGCAAATTATCCTTAACTCTGAAATATTGTAGTTTAGCAGATCACCATAAGATAAAGAGCAAATCTTTTAACTTTTTTCTTCTAAACTGTTGAAGAAATACTTTCATATTTCTTATCTGTTTGTTAGTCCTGAATAATTGCTAATGAGCATTTTTGTTGATTTCATATCATCACAGCAAATTTTTAAGGAGCATGTTTCTCCAACCCTCTAACTAATAGCCTATTGCCCCCAAAATTAGTTTTCTGCTTCGGTCCCTTTGCCTTTTAATCAGAATCATCTTTAT